AGTAGTAATGTAGTCACAGCTGTAGTAGCATTTATAGCAGCAGTAATGAAAGTAGTAACTGTAGTCACAGCTGTAGTAGCAGTTATAGCAGCAGTAATGAAAGTAGTAACTGTAGTCATAGCTGCAGTATCAGCTATTATAGCAGCAGTTAAAAAAAATAGTAACTGTAGTCATAGCTGTAGTAGCAGTTACAGCAGCAGTAATGAAAGTAGTAACTATAGTCATAGCTGTAGTAGCAGTTTTTATATATCAGCAGTAATGAAAGTAGTAACTGTAGTCATAGCTGCAGTAGCAGTTATAGCAGCAGTATTGAAAGTAGTAATGTCACAGCTGTAGTAGCAGTTATAGCAGTAGTAATGAAAGTAGTAACTGTAGTAGCAGTTATAGCAGCAGTATTGAAAGTAGTAATGTAGTCACAGCTGTAGTAGCAGTTATAGCAGCAGTAATGAAAGTAGTAACTGTAGTCACAGCTGCAGTATCAGCTATTATAGCAGCAGTAATGAAAGTAGTAACTGTAGTCATAGCTGCAGTAGCAGTTATAGCAGCAGTATTGAAAGTAGTAACTGTAGTCATAGCTGCAGTAGCAGTTATAGCAGCAGTATTGAAAGTAGTAGTCACAGCTGTAGTAGCAGTTATAGCAGCAGTAATGACAGAAGTAACTGTAGTCATAGCTGCAGTAGCAGTTATAGCAGCAGTAATGAAAGTAGTAACTGTAGTCATAGCTGCAGAAGCAGTTATAGCAGCAGTATTGAAAGTAGTAATGTAGTCACAGCTGTAGTAGCAGTTATAGCAGCAGTAATGAAAAGAGTAACTGTAGTCATAGCTGCAGTAGCAGTTATAGCAGCAGTATTGAAAGTAGTAATGTCACAGCTGTAGTAGCAGTTATAGCAGCAGTAATGAAAGTAGTAACTGTAGTCATAGCTTTAGTAGTAGTAATATAGCAGCAGTATTGAAAGTAGTAATGTAGTCACAGCTTTAGTAGCAGTTATAGCAGCAGTAATGGAAGTAGTAGTAATGTAGTCACAGCTGTAGTAGCATTTATAGCAGCAGTAATGAAAGTAGTAACTGTAGTCACAGCTGTAGTAGCAGTTATAGCAGCAGTAATGAAAGTAGTAACTGTAGTCATAGCTGCAGTATCAGCTATTATAGCAGCAGTTAAAAAAAATAGTAACTGTAGTCATAGCTGTAGTAGCAGTTACAGCAGCAGTAATGAAAGTAGTAACTATAGTCATAGCTGTAGTAGCAGTTTTTATATCAGCAGTAATGAAAGTAGTAACTGTAGTCATAGCTGCAGTAGCAGTTATAGCAGCAGTATTGAAAGTAGTAATGTCACAGCTGTAGTAGCAGTTATAGCAGTAGTAATGAAAGTAGTAACTGTAGTAGCAGTTATAGCAGCAGTATTGAAAGTAGTAATGTAGTCACAGCTGTAGTAGCAGTTATAGCAGCAGTAATGAAAGTAGTAACTGTAGTCACAGCTGCAGTATCAGCTATTATAGCAGCAGTAATGAAAGTAGTAACTGTAGTCATAGCTGCAGTAGCAGTTATAGCAGCAGTATTGAAAGTAGTAACTGTAGTCATAGCTGCAGTAGCAGTTATAGCAGCAGTATTGAAAGTAGTAGTCACAGCTGTAGTAGCAGTTATAGCAGCAGTAATGACAGAAGTAACTGTAGTCATAGCTGCAGTAGCAGTTATAGCAGCAGTAATGAAAGTAGTAACTGTAGTCATAGCTGCAGAAGCAGTTATAGCAGCAGTATTGAAAGTAGTAATGTAGTCACAGCTGTAGTAGCAGTTATAGCAGCAGTAATGAAAAGAGTAACTGTAGTCATAGCTGCAGTAGCAGTTATAGCAGCAGTATTGAAAGTAGTAATGTCACAGCTGTAGTAGCAGTTATAGCAGCAGTAATGAAAGTAGTAACTGTAGTCATAGCTTTAGTAGTAGTTATAGCAGCAGTATTGAAAGTAGTAATGTAGTCACAGCTTTAGTAGCAGTTATAGCAGCAGTAATGGAAGTAGTAATGTAGTCACAGCTGTAGTAGCATTTATAGCAGCAGTAATGAAAGTAGTAACTGTAGTCACAGCTGTAGTAGCAGTTATAGCAGCAGTAATGAAAGTAGTAACTGTAGTCATAGCTGCAGTATCAGCTATTATAGCAGCAGTTAAAAAAAATAGTAACTGTAGTCATAGCTGTAGTAGCAGTTACAGCAGCAGTAATGAAAGTAGTAACTATAGTCATAGCTGTAGTAGCAGTTTTTATATCAGCAGTAATGAAAGTAGTAACTGTAGTCATAGCTGCAGTAGCAGTTATAGCAGCAGTATTGAAAGTAGTAATGTCACAGCTGTAGTAGCAGTTATAGCAGTAGTAATGAAAGTAGTAACTGTAGTAGCAGTTATAGCAGCAGTATTGAAAGTAGTAATGTAGTCACAGCTGTAGTAGCAGTTATAGCAGCAGTAATGAAAGTAGTAACTGTAGTCACAGCTGCAGTATCAGCTATTATAGCAGCAGTAATGAAAGAAGTAGTAACTGTAGTCATAGCTGCAGTAGCAGTTATAGCAGCAGTATTGAAAGTAGTAACTGTAGTCATAGCTGCAGTAGCAGTTATAGCAGCAGTATTGAAAGTAGTAGTCACAGCTGTAGTAGCAGTTATAGCAGCAGTAATGACAGAAGTAACTGTAGTCATAGCTGCAGTAGCAGTTATAGCAGCAGTAATGAAAGTAGTAACTGTAGTCATAGCTGCAGAAGCAGTTATAGCAGCAGTATTGAAAGTAGTAATGTAGTCACAGCTGTAGTAGCAGTTATAGCAGCAGTAATGAAAAGAGTAACTGTAGTCATAGCTGCAGTAGCAGTTATAGCAGCAGTATTGAAAGTAGTAATGTCACAGCTGTAGTAGCAGTTATAGCAGCAGTAATGAAAGTAGTAACTGTAGTTATAGCTGCAGTAGCAGTTATAGCAGCAGTATTGACAGTAGTAATGTAGTCACAGCTGTAGTAGCAGTTATAGCAGCAGTAATGAAAGTAGTAACTGTAGTCATAGCTGCAGTAGCAGTTATAGCAGCAGTAATGAAAGTAGTAACTGTAGTCATAGCTGCAGTAGCAGATATAGCAGCACTATTGAAAGTAGTAATGTAGTCACACCAATAGTAGCAGTTGTAAATGTAACAGTAGCGGCTGTCAAAATCAGCAGTGGTGTCACAACAACAAGTAGCAGCCCTAGCGATAATAGTATAACAGTATTGAAAATATTAACGTTTAAAAAGCGACTACTGTGTGCAAACATCACTTTGGTATATAAATAGTTTATGAAGCCAGGGCTTGTGAAGCATGGGTAGACAGTAGTATTCATATTATTTTGATGGGTAGTGAGTATAAACACTTCAGCCAATTAAAGTTGTGAAAAAGAGGTTGCTTGATATTCATGGGTGACTGCAAACACCCTAAATTGTGTAGGGAATTTGAGATCACGTGTAGCTGACTGCTATTGGCAGGACAGCATGGTAGCTTGAGTCAGTTGCTTTCAAAGTGTGAGGACATGTGTGAGATTTGTTCAAGTCCCATGAAAGTGTGAACTTGTGTGACAGTTTTAGCAGTCTGTTTTATTCTGTTGCAGCTTAGGTGAACTGTCCAGTAAATGTGGTGGATCATGAGTTGTACTTTGAAATGCTGTCAGAGTCATTGTCTAGAATGTACTTGTGTCGACCCACATGTTGTGGTTGATGGAGTTGTGGCTATGTGGCACATTGGTTGATGGCTGTCTTTAAGTGTTACAGAAGACATTATCGTAATGATGTTTGTGCTGACCAACTCGCAGTTGGGGAGGTATCGGGAATGCTGGTCAGCGGAGGGTGTAGTTCCTTAATATGGACTGCTGTGGTTAACTGAAGGTTGATCAGTGATACATCAACGAGTGACTAAGTAGCAGACTGGAGGTTTGGATCCTTTTCAATAAGTGGTGCATCTACCTTCGACCTTCAGGTGGTGGGGTCTCTAAGAGGGAGAGCCGTCAGATGACCGTAACTGCACATCATGTAGGTGTATCTGTGTGATCAGGCGTGAGTCGCCCATAGCAGACAACTGTACATAGTTCGCATGTTTTGTCCATGTTCTGCAAACTGCTCCTTCCTCTTCAATCGTCCTCCAATGCTATCTGAAGAAATCCTGTGTGTATGTGTGGAGGACTAAATTTATAAACACTATCCTCTAGATCAGGGCTATTCAACTAAGTTGGCTTAGGGGCCAAAATGATCAAAAACGGGGATCGTCATGGGCCTGAGGCCTCAGCCCCAGCATAGAAAGATCGAAAATACAATACAGCTAGAATTTACCCGCAGGCCATTTGCTAGGACTCGGCGGGCCAGATTTGGCCCACGGACCGCCAGTTGAATAGCCCTGCTCTAGAAACTTGTCGCTTCTCACTTGCCGCGGATCGGAAGGTCGTGGGGTCGGTCCCTGGCGGAGCTGGACTTTTAAAAAAAATGACCTTGGCTCCCAGGTTGACCCAGCCTAAGGTGGGTACCGGGTGCAGTCCCGGGAAGTAAAGGCGACCGACATGATGCTAACCACATCACCCATCTTGTGCCGAATGGTCTATAAAAATATAGGTCTAGCCCTATATGCCTAAAGGCATGGAAGAGGGTCCTTTGCTTTATTAGATACTTGGCAAGTGTGCGATGCATTCTCCGATTGCATGAGACTTGATTATATGACAACATCAAGGGTGAGGAGCAGAAGGAAAAAAGGTAAAATGACATGACAAAAGTGGAGGTGGAAAAGAACAACAAGAAAAGAAGAAGCAAGAAACAAAAGGATCATCTGAAGAGGAAGAAACGAACAAGGAAGAATAAACAAAAATGTTAAAAAGATAAAGACAAATGTGAAAAAGATGAAACAATCTGAAACAAGATTTTTAAAAAAAAAAAGTGAAAAGGCAGTAGGAAGAGGATGATGAGTAAAAGAAAGGAGAAGGCAACTGTCTTTGCCAGAAAAGACATTTCAAAGACCACCCACCTCTGCCATACACCATGGTCTCCTCTGGCTGCTCCACCACCTCTGGCTCCGGCTCGGGCACCACTTCGATGATCGGGGGCGGAACCACCCACACTTCCTCATCAGGCGGAAGGTTCCTGATGGGCTTCTTCTGCCTCGCCAGCAGCTCCTCCATCGACTCATCGTACTTCCCCTCTAGGATGGGAACCACTTGAGACAAGAAGCTCCTGCAAATAAATCAGCAGCATATTTTAAATATTGTAAAATATAACACATCTGCCTATAATAGAGGAAATTAAAATGGTATGACATTCTTTAGGGGGTTCTAGGGCCCCCAACTGAGGGGTGGGGTAGACCCACTGTCCCCTGTCAGTCAAAATATAAAAGACAACCTTCTTCTTTCATTCGCCCGGAATAAATTATCTATAACTGCAATGCTGTCTCTTGTATGAACTTCAGTCTTTTGTAAGTTTTGCCTGGAGATGTATTTGGGACAGTCTTGGAGGATGTGATCTGTTGTCTCTGGTGCCAGTCCTCATGTGCACACGGCTGATTCGCCGATTTTAAATTGTGTGTACATGTGGCTGCAAAGTTGACCGTGTCCTATTCTAATAATGACTTGCTCTGGTCTGTCCATAATATGTTAACTTTTGCCATTTGGGGGAAAACATACTCACTACCCCCAATCAATTACAACATAAAAGGCAGCGAATTAGGGATATATAAAAATCATGTATGTTATGCCAAAAGGTGCACAATCACAGCCTGTCTGTAAACCACAATGTACAAACAGCCCTTTTTAGGAAGAAGAAGAAATAGTTGGACATTCATTAATGTAGAGATATGTATGAGAGAGAACTCAAATTCCAGTTAACCAGGAGGTGAGAAAACTACATCAACTTATTCTGTTATCTTCCTCGGATGGAGGAAATTGAATGGTATGAAAAAGCTTTGAAAAAACCAAAAAACAAAAAAGCTGCCACTGTCTCCACAATGAAGACTGAGTGATCCGTGAGTCAAGGTTAAAACTAAAACACTGCAGATGGGTCATTCTCCGTTCCTTGGTCAGTAAAAATCACAAAAAATGTCCTTCACTCTCTCTTGTGGACAAACTGTGAAAGTTAATTCCAGCTACATTTTGAAGCCACGGCACAACCCCTGCACAAATGAAAGGTATTCCACGGGAAAAACAGCTCACAGGGCTGCACCAAAGCACTAAACTCAGTAGCTCAGGCAGCGAAACCGTAGACTACTGTCCTTATGTGGAAACTGCATTAGCAAAGGGCTGTCGGAAGCAAAAAATAACATTGAAGCTTAACATTCTGCAAAGCCTATCCTCAATACTGACTGGAAGTGTAAAAACATTTTCTGTTCACGATAAGATGGACCACAGAAATATCAGAGACATTTAAAAGTACTACGTATGAAGTAAACAGAAGGACCCGTCCTTGAAAGCTCTTTCTCCCCTGACGCCGCGATACATTTCCAGTAGTAGAGGAAAGAAGTGTGTGGTCACCCATTTCTTTCATTTACATTTTTTAAACCTTGAGCCAGAGAATTTTTTGATTACCTGAGTTCCTTGCAACATTCATCATTGCCCTCGGAAAAGTACTTGGCCACCTCCCGGTTAATGTCCGCCTGGTTGCCGATGTACTGCTCGTGGAAGTAAAAATGCTTGTCCTTGACCACACACTTCTCTTGTCTGATCTCAAACACATCAGGGCGGCCAATCAACTCGTACCTGACCTCTAACTGACCTACCTGTTGAACAAACAAAGAAGATTTAAAACCAAACAAAAAAAGCAGTTTAAAGGTAAGATGATAAACCGTGTTTCATCAGAAACTCTATAACAAAAAACCAAACAAAATTCCTTTTATGTCACAACCCTATGAGTACAGTCAGTGGCGGAATAGACTACACCGTAGGGTGTGCGTGTTGAGGTGACACCCCAGGGTTGACACAAAGGTTTCCTCCGAAGTCGGAGTACATCTGCCTGAGAGGCGGGGAACGAGTACTGCAAACAAATAAGCCAGTAAAACAGATGTACACGCAAAACTCAGGTCAAGGTAAAAGCCAAAAGTCCATTTTGGACGAACAACCGTGACTTACCACCGGAATTCACAGCCGGTGAACAAGAAGAAGAAGAAGACACAAAGGTCAGGGCCGTGACTGGTAAAGTCTGTTCTGTTATTGCATGGTGAAACAAGCGCTCAGGATAAAGCGCTTGGCCACAACAAGAAAGAGTGAACTTTGTTGTAGACAAGTTCGCAGCACGATTACCTCTTTTGGGACTGAGCTAGTGAACGGGTCAAAAGACACGAGGTGAAAGGAACACAGGGGATTCTGTGTACAGCGGTCAGAGAGAGCAAACATGTTAGCGAGACAGTGATAGTATATTAGAGTTAGGATATTTCTGTTAGTGACTGCTTAGATTATTTACAGTGTTCTGTTAGAATAGGTTAGTTTTTGTGTTGTGTATTTAACTGATACAAAGTATTATGTTGTGCCATAAGAGGTAAATAGGTTCCAGTTACTTTTGACCAGTTAATTCATTTAGGTACGTGTTCTGTGAGAGAATGTCTAACCTTGGCACTCTGACCCTGCACTAGACAGAGGCTGTGACAGTTGGGTTGGTCAGTGTGTCGATAGGTAAGAGCGTATCTCGTGCCAGTGTGGTTTGTGCACCAGGAGATTGCTTGTGGAACGGACTGGAGAACGAGGCGATTGTAAAGCTCGTTCGGCCAGAGGGTCCAAGCAATAGGTGGCCACACAGCAGGAAGTCAACTGTCTATTGTATTACCTGTACTTGCAATAAAGATTGTCGTGTGTGCTCTGTGTGCGTTCGGGTTCAGTGTGTGTTAAAGGTTAGTTTGTCTGTCGTAGGCCCAGTTACGAGCCACGGGCCAGCAAGGTCACCCAGAGGTCTGTGACATTATAGAATACTTACAAATACAAACTTTGATCTTCTCAAAGTCCATGCCGTGTGGCATTAGTAGTAACGCGTTGGATGTCACAACCTTCTGTCCCGTGTACTTTGTCAACTCTGACACAGATGATCCTCCATGCCGTGATGTCAAACTGTCCAGCATCTTTTCTCTAAGTCTCCCTCTGCCTCTACTCCCCCCCCCCCCCATCTTTCCTTCTGTCACAATGTACTCCAGTTGTTGCCTTCTCATCACATGACCAAAGAATACAACTGTGATACAGGTCACTAATAAATTTATTTGATATAAATTATTATGTCAAAACAGCTTTATAAAAGTTTGGTTTGGTTCACAAGAACCAATGCTATTTTTAGTAAATATATCCATATCCAGACCAAAATGCGGTGCAAGTGTAACTGTAGACGATGGCAAGAACTAGGCTTCTTCAGGAAATGCCACTACAGCAAGTCATTAAATCAGCTTTTACTTGACATTAGAACCATTGGCTTTGTGGCGTCCTAAGGCAAAAGGGTTTAAGTTTAAGGCAATTTTATGTTCAGTAGTTTACCATTGCCATCTGAATGGCTTCACTCTCATATTATTGTCAAAATCAACAGAGCAATCTGCTGCCAAAACCATCTGCCACTAAATTCAAACAGAGATGTCAGAATTATGATAATGCATTCATAACCATTCACAAATGGTAGTGTAGTAGCCACATGCTCACCTGCGGATTCGAAGGTCAGGGATTTAGGCCATAATAGAGCCGGAGTTAAAAATTTTTTTTACATCTTGGCTTCAAAGTCTACCCAGTCTTAAAGGGGTACCTACCAGATGTAGTCCTGTGAAGTACAGGCGGACGGCGTGATGTTGATATCACCCACCGAGTGTCAACTGGTCTATAAAATATAGCTCTAGCCCAATATGCCTAATTTCCCTCAAGGCAGAGAAAAGGGTCCGTTACTTTTAATCGTAACCTATAAAAAAGACACAAACCTGGCTGAACAGAAGTTCTTTCAAAGTTGAGGCTTTCTTTTCCTTGACTTGTTCATAGACTTGAGGGAAAATAAAGTACAGATACTTCTGCAGCAGTCCCACCACATCGTGCATGAACTTCTGACCTCTGCGGCACTGCTGGAAGTTGGATGTTATCTCTTCGGTGGTCACACAATCGCTCAGGAGCTTGATGGAATCGAACAGACCCATGCAATACTTAAGGCCATCTTCATCTATAGCATTCTTGGGTCCTGTTACCAATAGAGGAGTTCAAATTACAAACATTTCAGTCCGTGGCTAAGGCGTTGCGAGTCCGACTCGTGAGCCAGCATACCGCGATCGAAACCCACTGCAGGCTGCGTGGATTTTTGTCGTGGTATGGGACGTCGCAGGTCGACCCAGACAAAATGGGTACCAGGATGGGCTGTCCTGGGAAAGTAAAGACAGCCGGCGTAATGCTGACCACATTACCCACAGAGTGCTGATGGTCTGTAAAAATATGGGACGCTCTGCCCATATGCCCGATGCGCCGAAAGGCGTGAAAAGGGATCTTTACTTTTTTTTACTTACCCCAAACAGGGGAAATCCACAGGTCATGGGACAGCCTAATATTTCAGGGGGGTGGTAGATAGGCTGCATGGAGTCTTGGGACCTAGGCTGCACTCTCACGTGGGACGTAGGTGGGTTGGGGTTAAGGCCAGTTCTAGATATTTTGGGGTCATTAACAGCATCAGAAAGCCGGGAAACCCAGTCTTACCACCCTCTAAAATGCTGGACTGTCCTGTGACATCATCTGGGGTAAGAAAATTAAGAACCCACAAAACTATAGTAGAACAACAGTTAACATGTCTTATCATATCATATGGCTATACACACCGGGACATTCTGGGGTGAAAGTAAATGAAAGAGCTGACAGACTGGCTGTAGGAGGAAGTATGGACAGGGCAAGATATTTTGAATGTGCTGCATTCTAGAGACACTGAGATGGAGTCAGCGGCAATGAACCGCTTGTTGGAAATGGGTAATAAATGAGGAAAAGCATGCAGAAACTGTCTGCGGGGCAGAGATAGAAGATATGCCAGATAAACTCCTACTGGGTGCATTGAATAGGCAGACAAATGGCTGCTGCATGGGAGGACGGAGCATGAACAGGTCAGACCAATGTGTTAGGAGTTGATACGGACAACTAGTAACAAGAAACTTGTTTGTGTAGTAATGTATTTACGTGATAATTTGGCTTCATTTTTGTTTACCAACTGTAAACTCTGGTGCAAAGCTTTTGTTTCTAGTCCACTTCCAGTATCTGTTTTGCTTGCATATCCATTTTACAGATCTGGCTTATTTGTATGCAAACTATTGGTTCCTCACCTCTCAAGCAGAGATGCACTTCACTTTCGAAAAAATCCCCCCCCCCCCCCTCCCCCTCCCTTTTGAGGGTTTTGGCTAGTGCTGTCGCCACAGACTCTGCAGGTCAGGATCTTATTTTTAAAAATCCATGACCTTACCAAGGATTTGAACCTGGGTTTTGCCCAAGAGATGCAGGATAAATACAGAAAACCGTGACCCCCGGGATAAAAATGACACCAGAAGAAAATATTGAACAAAATGCTACACACCCCGACCACCTCTGTCTCTGGGCTTCCCTGTCTGTGCAACCTCAAGCTGCAGAAAGTGAACACCGGGCTTCATTTCAAACATCTGCTCCAACTCGGGAGAATCGGCAATCATGGGGTTGTCAGTGAGACTGACCCACTGGCCCTGCTTTGTAGGGAACACCGCTGACTTGGTAAGCAGGTCGACAACTTTGGGCATGTTGATTTCTGCTTTCATGGCTTCAACTGTTTTCACCCCTGGAGAATAATAATAATAATAAACAGTAGCATCTGAGTCTGTTACTGGGCAGTACAAGAGAGGTACACAAGACAGAAAAATGGAAGTTCACAAGAGGCAAAAGTAAAGTGCACTGGAAGCACAAGTGAAGTTCATAAGAAGCAAAAGTGAAAAGCAAAAGAAGCAAAGTTGAGTTCATGCAAAAGTGAGGTTCACAAGAAGCAAAAGCGAGGTTCATAAGAGGCAAAAGTGAGGTTCACAAAAAGCAAAAGAAGTTTACTGGAAGCAAAAGTGAAGATCACTGGAAGCAAAAGTGAAGATCACTGGAAGCAAAAGTGAAATGCAAAAGAAGCAAAGTTAGGTTCATGCAAAAGTGAGGTTCACAGGAAGCAAAAGTGAGGTTCACAGGAAGCAAAAGTGAGGTTAACAAGAAGCAAAAGTGACGATGACATGATGGTGACATGCAGCTTCTTCTTAGAGTCCACCAGCTGTAAACTCTGGCAGAAAGTTTTGGTTGCTCGTCCACTTCAAACTTGTTCCAGAACTTTAGTTCTGTGTGCACATTTATTTTACAGATCTGGCTTATCTGTACAGAGACTGATGGCTCCTCCCCTCTCAGGCAAATGTACTCTGGACTTCAAAGGGAACACTTGACATGCAGACTGTTGGCTCCTCCCCTCTCAGGCAGATGTACTCTGGACTTCAAAGGGAACACTTGACATGCAGACTGTTGGCTCCTCCAGTCACAGTCAGATGTACTCTGGACTTCAAAGGAAACACTTGACATGCAGACTGTTGGCTCCTCCCCTCACAGGTAGATGTACTCTGGACTTCTAAGGGAACACTTGACATGCAGACTGTTGGCTCCTCCCCTCTCAGGCAGATGTACTCTGGACTTCTAAGGGAACACTTGACATGCAGACTGTTGGCTCCTCCCCTCTCAGGCAGATGTACTCTGGACTTCAAAGGGAACACTTGACATGCAGACTGTTGGCTCCTCCAGTCACAGTCAGATGTACTCTGGACTTCAAAGGAAACACTTGACATGCAGACTGTTGGCTCCTCCCCTCACAGGTAGATGTACTCTGGACTTCAAAGGGAACACTTGACATGCAGACTGTTGGCTCCTCCCCTCTCAGGCAGATGTACTCTGGACTTCTAAGGGAACACTTGACATGCAGACTGTTGGCTCCTCCCCTCTCAGGCAGATGTACTCTGGACTTCTAAGGGAACACTTGACATGCAGACTGTTGGCTCCTCCCCTCTCAGGCAGATGCATTCTCAACTTCAAAAGAATAACTCTGTTGACTTTTACGACAGGCTTGTTGGGGGAGAGGGGGTCAATGGGTCTATTCCCCCCCCCCCCCAACATACAAATAAAACAGAACCCACACAGGGATACACGAAGCAAGAGTGAGGCTTACATACATTAAAAGTGAATTAGAATGCGTAAAAGACATTAACGTTTTTACCGTCAGTGAATATTTATATGCTTGCTGTTATTTTCTACAGGAGGTGCTGGTGTTAGCAAATAACATGCAGATAGAATGGCCGGTTCTGCACCACCTGACAGTAAACTGATGCATGACAAGCTAGACATTGTAAGGGACCTCTGAGAGCGAGTAAACAGCAAGGAGGCAAACAACAGATCATCATGGTCTGTAAGAATCATGCAGTGAGGAGTGTCCGGGGGGAATCTGGCTGACTCTCAACACTCAAGAATGGGGCACGATGGATATACAATAAGACTGTTAATGGTACCGCTGGAACTGGAACTCTGTGCTTGCTGCTGAAGATGGGGGGTGGGAATGTCCTAAGTGCGACAAAGTCAGTTCTTATCTCATAAATGAAATCCATACATTCTGTTCAAACAGTCTGCGAGAAACAGAGTTGAGTTGAGTTGAGTTGAGTCAAGAACTGACATCACAGCACGCAGGGCATTCCCATTAGTGCTCCGTCCCCATCCTCAGCAGCCAGTGCAGTTCCGATACAAATGGTGCCAGTAGCATTCTGATTAAACGTCCGTCTTGCCTTTTCTCTGAGCCTCGAGCATCTGCCAGAACACCCAGTCACACCCCGCTGCATCAACCTCAGACTGTCTTGATCCCATCTGCTCCTCCGAACTGTACACGTTCTCCCACAAGACACTAACCACGTCTGCCTTATCATGCATCAGTATTCCACCAATTTGAGCAGAGCCAGCCAGTTTGTCTGCCTGTTCATTTCCCAACACATCCTGAGAAAAATCCAGACAATACTCTTTACCCGTGTGAAGCATGTGAGAAACATTATGGGCGCATTGCTTTCTGAATGCCCCTGGCAATAAAAAGTCTTACCTCCTTCTGTCTTAGACACTTTGCTGAGATCTGACCCAATTTTTGAGAACAGAAATAAGACATCCTTCAGAACATCTGGGTCAGACACAGAATTAACTGTTGCAACGTGTTTCAGCAGCTGAGACAAATCAAATGTGCTTGGCTCCTTGTCAACTCGAGCTGCCCGCAATAACATCTCTTCCAGAATTGGGTACCATCGCTGCAGCTGTTCCACAGACATAAAACAGAAATTAGGTAACTTTTTGTATTCATATATACTCAATTATTGTCCCCATGTGGGATGCAATTTTTTGTTTTTTAAAGCCCAACCCCTGGCTTCTGCCGGGGGGCCCTGAATATAGCCGGGGCAAAGATATGGCCTAGCCATAGATATGGCCTAACGGCTGAAAGGGGTTTCAAGGACCTCTCTCCACGGGTGATACTCATCCGCATGGTGGCACTTTGTGTCACCAGGTGTTTATCGTTTGTGTGATGTCCTGGTGGGGTACAACCAACTATATGTATTTTTTTTTTTTTTATATAGTGCTCTTCAGTTTGTAAAATTTGAGATTATGCACCTTTTCCATTGCAACCAACGGATGTCAATCATAGACTCTTAATCACTGATGATAAAAAAAATTGGTGCCTTTAAACTGAAATGTCACAGAAAAATTCTTAAAATACCATGGACCAAGATGAAGACAAAACAGAAATCCTAAATGATCTAATCATTGAGGAGAACTGGCTCATTAAGAGCATCCTCACTTGAAAGCTAAGGCATTTTGGCCATGTTAAGTGTCACCATGGAGAGAACAGTAATGGAGTGTGCAAGCCTCTAGAGGCAAAGGTGTAGGTGGGTACAAGACACTGAAGATGCATTGGCTATGAAAGCACATAGGGCTGGAGAGTGAGCCAGAGAAAGAGAGATGGGTACAAGACACTGAAGATGCATTGGCTGTGAAAGCACATAGGGCTGGAGAGTGAGCCAGAGAAAGAGAGATACTGAGAAGACAGTGACGTACAGAAGAAGGTAACAATACTATGAGCAGTTTGAATGAGTTTTCATGTTCTGAGAGTAAAAAAAAATGTATCTATGACTGGTGCTTGCACAGAATAGAGTGAATAAAATGGTATGATAGAATCACTAATGTAGAGCTTTGGGTGAGAACTAAGCCAGTTCCAATGGACCAAGAGGTGAAGAAAATACACTGGTGTTGGATAGGACACACATTGAAAAAACCAGGGAAAAAAATACAATCAGAATGTCTTTGCACTGGGACCCACAGGGGCATAGGAATAAAGGAAGCCCCCCCCCCCCCCCCCAAAAAAAAAAACCATGGAGAATGGAGCTGGAGAATGAAGTTAGAAAGATGGGAGGGCATAGGGAGAGCTGCATGTGATAGGAAAAGAGTTGGCGGAGGGCCTATGCTCCATTGGGGCAGAAGAAGAAGAATGAGGAAGACAGATTTTGAAGATTAAAAAAAATTTTTTTTCAAGCTTTTCTTCATCTGCATTCCGAGCCCACGAGGCAAACATTTGCAAATATCATTGCCTCCATTCATCTCTCCTGACTGACCTTCTCTTTTCAGTTAGTGACTTTTGATATTTGTAGCCGTTTCACCTTCTTTGTCTGCCATGTGGCGCACTCTCCCATTCAGCTGTTTTGTGTGGGCAGTTTGCTCTCTGTTATCTGCCATGTGGCGCACTCTCCCATTCAGCTGTTTTGTGTGGGCAGTTTGCTCTCTGTTATCTGCCATGTGGCGCACTCTCCCATTCAGCTGTTTTGTGTGGGCAGTTTGCTCTCTGTTATCTGCCATGTGGCGCACTCTCCCATTCAGCTGTTTTGTGTGGGCAGTTTGCTCTCTCTGTTATCTGCCATGTGGCGCACTCTCCCATTCAGCTGTTTTGTGTAGGCAGTTTGCTCTCTGCTATCTGCCATGTGGTGCACTCTCCCATTCAGCTGTTTTGTGTGGGCAGTTTGCTCTCTCTGTTATCTGCCATGTGGCGCACTCTCCCATTCAGCTGTTTTGTGTGGGCAGTTTGCTCTCTCTGCTATCTGCCATGTGGCACACTCTCCCATTCAGCTGTTTTGTGTGGGCAGTTTGCTCTCTCTGCTATCTGCCATGCTCTCCATATTACATACCTGGTTTATTTGTATTCCTTACTGCTCAGGCAGATGTACTCCAATACTGTTATACCTGTTCTATCCCCCAACCACTGGGACCCTAGAACCCATACAGAGTTAACAACTTGGTATGATAAACCTTGTAGCTAGTGTGTACCTTCCATCAGCTGTCCAAGACCCATGCAGATGGTGTGCATTTCACCAAAGTGCAGTGACCAGAAACAAAAATCACATTGCACCAGCAAAGGAAAAGTAGCGTGGTGGGGAAGGAAATGTAATGAAGGAAAAGTATTGATGGGGAAAAGAAAAAGTAACGAGCGGAATCAACGAGATGGGAAAACCAAGGGTGGCAAGGGAATCTCATGAAGAAAAATGACAAGAAAAGTACTAGTCGAAAGGGGAAAAATGAATAGATGAAAAGTAATGGGGGGGGGGGGGGTGTTGTTTGGCAGTAATGAGGTGGTAATGTGTGGGTGGAAAGGTGGCAGAGTAATGAAGGGGGAGAAGGGAAAACTAGTCTTCCCCCCTTTTTTAAAGCTTTCTAGTGAGTGTTTAGTAACTTGGCCTAAAACAGAAATGGGACTCACAAACTTGCGCTTGGCCAGAGGAGATTTGTACAGTTCCAGAGAATCTCTGTACTTAGTAAACAGCTCTGTCGGGTCCGCCCACCAGACCTCTTCTCTCCTGAGCATCGAACCCACCAGGATCTCCCCCTCTTTGACCTGACTCTGACTCAGCACTGGGACGAAGATGGCAGGGTACTTGTGGAACAGATCCTGGGCTTCCTTCTGGCTGAGGTTGTCACTGAGATACACATACATCTGGGGAGAATGAAAACAAGCTGGCTGCTGAAACACTAACGGCACCACCAATGGTTGATGGGAGTAAGAAATGGCTTCAATAGACTTTACATTATTACACAGTGCACACATGTCATCCTACTTGCATAACACTGTAAATATCTCGTCTCTCTCTCTGTGCGTTTATACATGTGTATGTATATATAGATATATGGGTAAAACAAACGTTAGTTTCCCCATTTACACAGTGTTACACACTAGCTTACTCCTGATTGGTTGACCTTGAGCCACGTTACCTTGCCACAAGGTTACAGGGGTTTCCCACAATGCTGTTGACATCGCGTGTTGTATATTTCACTACGCCAGCACTTTTAACACTCCAAAAACATGGACAAACTGGGTCGAACACAAAACCCCTTTAAAGAGTGATGAAACCTATGTCACTGGCATTCTCTTCCTCTGAATAAAAATGTAAATGTAAAACAACCCAGAAAGCAAACAAGAGAGTGGCACACCCCTAACCTGCAGGAAAGTAGATCAGCTCAGCAATCTTATGAATGGAACGTGACCTACTTTGTTTGGGGAGACTAATGTCGAACTAAATAATTTTCGGCCCAGCTCTATAAAAAGTGGAAGAGTGAAATTAACAAAGCAGTACAGGTCAATATTTACAAATCGTATTGTCTATTTTCTTATAAAGATGCGAGAGTTGGACTCTCACTGTGGAGAAAAAAAAAAAGGGTGGCCGGGGGGGGGGGGGGGGGGGGGGGGGAAATCAGATTTTTTCAACTTAAATTACTATGTGAGTGATCAAGCGAGTCAGTGTGTGTGTGTGTGTGTGCCGGTGAATGAGTAGGCAGACAGAGTAGCCGGTTCTGCAACACTTCGAGGTAAACTGATTTATGACAAGCTGGATGTTGTAAGGGCCCTTTGGGATCGAGTAAACAGTGCTTAGGCACAGACAGATCATTACTGTCTGAGTAGAATGACATTACTAGGAGCTACAAGGAGATCTGACAAATGCTCAACTCTCGGGAAAGGCGAGATGGATATACATTCGACAGATATTAGTACCATCGAAATTGTAACTCTTCGCTTGCTGCTGAAGATGGGGATGGAACACTTATGGGGGTGTCCCGAGTGCTGTGATGTCTATTCTTTATTCAACACACACACACACACACACATATATATATATATATATATATATATATATATATATATATATATATATATATATATATATATATATATATATATATATATATATATATAAACACACACGTTCCCCTCAGAGAGACAGAGAGGGAGAGAGTCACATACATAGTTATTAGAAAACAAATTATGTATTGATCACCATCTCTCTCTCTCTCACACACACACAAATATATAATGACAGACACACACACACAAACACATATATATATATATATATATATATATAAAGACAGACATGGATTATTTTTGAAGGGAATCATAAAACACACCCATATTATTATAGTCAAATGTAAATATAAGCATCCCCAAAGACAAGCATACCTCATACAGATGTTTCAAAGTTGTGGAGAAGACCTTGGGTGTGTCTGGTAGAGCCTCATCCCTGCGGCACCATGAGATCAGAGCTTCCTTCAAAGTCGACACATTCACACTAGACTTGATCTGCGTAGAATTTTAAAAAAAACTAGTCATAATGTCTGTTCTGACACAAACAAGCTCTTGACCAATTAACACCATAGCTCTGTGATCAATCATCTCTCAACACCTTCGTTTGTCAATCCTCCCATCAAACTCCCTTTACCCCATCTACTCCTCACCCACTCCTCACTCTTCTCATCCTCCCATCCACTCCTCACTCTTCCCATCCACTCCTCACTCTTCTCATCCACTCCTCACTCTTCTCATCCACTCCTCACTCTTCTCATCCACTCCTCACTCTTCTCATCCACTCCTCATGCCCACTACTCACCCCTCCCATCACTCTCACCCATCTTATCAAACTCCCACTCCTCAAATCATTATCGGACATCAATCCTTCCATTACTCTCTATGGTCTAGGGTTGATTCTTAATTCAACATTGAAAACCCTCCCCAACTGACTCATCAATCCCTCTGTTAGCCGTCCACAGACAACGGCCTCCCATTCAACCCTCACGGCCTCCCATTCAACCCTCACGGCCTCCCATTCAACCCTCACGGCCTCCCATTCAACCCTCACGGCCCCCCATTCAACCCTCACGGCCTCCCATTCAACCCTCACCTGCAAGTACTGGGTAAAAGAACTGTTCTTCTGTGGGTTGACACTGAGATACTTGACGGTGTGAGCCAGCAGGTTCTCAATGAGTCTGTCCTGCACGTACAGCTCCCCGGGCATACGCAGGTCCTGGTTCACAGAGGCAGAGGCTGTTTTACTGTCCTCATGAATCGTGACCGACTTCCACTGGGCAGGAACCCATGACAAGGTCTCCAGGTAGATGGCGAAGGAACTCTGTTGAATGAATTGAATTATGTAAAACGTCAAATCAGCAATGCTGTATGGATCAATAAACACACCGAATGTCTAAAACAATAGCAAGGTCTAAACTTTGGAGCAAGTTCCGTTCCAGTTTAAGTTGAACTGAGCCTAAGTCAAATTCACTATAATCAGACAAAAAGATTATAAAACTGTATAATTGTCGGCGTCTGTGGCTTAGGACTTGTGAGCGTGCTACATCATGCCAGAGTGTCAAGTTCAATCCTAGCTGCAGACGATTTGTCTTCTCTTGGTTTTGAAAGAGATGCCGTGAGCTGATCGTTTCAAAAGCAATGGCAAAGTAGTAAAAGTAAAATATGCCTAGAAAAAAAAACCACATCAGCTAAAAAATGATAGGACTGGTTCTGCAACGTTCTGTAAAGGTTACCCAACTAACTTTGTTTTCAAACCGCAGTGATGTGTGTGTGTATGTGTGCCTGCGTGCATGTCTGCGCGTGTTTTTGTGGATGTGTGTGCATTTTTATGTATGTGTGTGTGTTTGAGTGGGTGGGCGCACGTGTGTGTGCGCTAGTGTGTGCCATGCATTTTACCACACATGCTTCTGTGTTGTTTCTTTAATATCCACAAAAGACATATTATCATATGAATATAACATGCTTTATTGATAAAATACAACTCCTGTGTGAAAGCCGGGTGTTTGAAAGGGCTGAATGTGACCCTTTGAAACTAAAGTTTGTTAACGCATTATTGTATATAATGTGAAAAAAAAACACCCAATATGCGTTAAGTCGACACATAGGTCAAAAGTCAAAGAGAAGTGTAATCATCATCATCATTCTGTCATGAAAAGCGTAACCTGTCATGTTTCACCATGTCACAAACACCAGCATCACAGATCAGGTCAGTGAACTTGTCTAACCACCATCCATATCGCTAAGCCATCCAGGCATGCCTCTCTGTCTTCCCCTTTGCTCCGAGTTCTGGACTCCATTCTTTCTCCAACATGCTCTGTCTCTTGTCCTGGTTGTACTCTCTCTCAGACTGCTGGCCGTCCATCTCTTGAGACTGCCCTCCAACTGGTATCGTTGCTTACCGCCTTTTGCCGTCGACCTTTTCCTCTAGTATGGTTTTTAAAGGTGTGTGTGGCGCGGTGATTTCGGTCACAGGCATGAGGTGAAGTTAAGTCTGATGTGATGTGTATAAGGAGATATTCCGTACCCCACTCGGGCGCCAGTCCTTCACTGTTCTGGTTTTACGGAACCTCATGCAAGACTCCTGTTGCACGTCCCCGTCGTGCGCCACGGATAATGTCTCAAATGAGCATTAACAGAGTTGGCAGGGGATCTCGGAGCTGGCGGCCCCTAGAGGTGTAGTGTCCTTTCTGGCTCTCACCAGCCCGCCCCCAAACGCATGGGTGAAAAGTAACAAAACTCAAGGATTGCTTGCTAAATGTACCATCAAATGACAACTCTCGGTTAAAATTCGGGAGCGAATGGAAAACTGTGCTGCTGAGACTCAACCCTGACCGAGAAATTAAACCGCAGCCAAGACGAGTAACATCTCTTGTGGGCGACTTCTCGCAGCAAGATCCTACCTACGTACATCCTCTGTCAATCCTCAGTGTCGTCGTCACCTCGCTGAGGTACACCATGGCAGCAACTATTCATATGCTGGCTTGAAAAAAATGTCCGACAAAGTTACAACCCGTGGCACACATGCAAGCTCAAAGTCCGACGACCATAACTCGTACCGATTAGGAAAAGTCTGAATGTCCGTATCCACTGGTCCAACTCGCCCGAGTGTTGGGACCAAACAGGTGAAGCCACGCCTGACGCATTTTGCTTCCCCATTCTGTCGTGCAAAGGGCACAGCTGAAACAACATTAAAGGTGTCTAACGTAAGATAAAAAAGAATGTACCTATTTGTGTGGCCACAAACGTCCTAGACCTGCGGGCGGCTCCCCGCTGATCTCCGGAGAGCGCACCCTTGTAGCGCGGGAAGCTCAATACACGGTTGTGAGGTTAAGCAGTCATAGGCAGGACGTGACGATTCCTTGGGTGAGCCCAGAACCAGAGCATCATGTGTCGGCTCTGCATTTATGGAAGCCTCCTTGGATGGCGGGGAATGCCCATGATCTGCCCCTGCCTTACCTTGAGGGCTGAAAACTCTACATAGAGCTGCCTTAAGGACGACATGCCGGGGGCCACACCTGTTAAAAGTCAAAGAGGACACCACACAAATAAGGCAACATCTCGACCCACACAAAACAATGGCCACAGTCAACCTAGAAATAGGCTTGACGTCTTCCTCCGAAGTCGGAGTACATCTGCCGGAGAGGCGGGGAACGAGTACTGCAAACAAATAAGCCAGTAAAACGGATGTACACGCAAAACTCAGGTCAAGGTAAAAGCCAAAAGTCCATTTTGGACGAACAACCGTGACTCACCGCCGGAATTCACAGCCGGTGAACAAGAAGAAGAAGAAGAAAGGTGTGTTATGTCTTTTAATGTGGCCAAAGTATTTCAAGTGAGTGTCTCTTTTTTTTTCTTCCTTTTTTTCAATTATTCTCTTTTTATTTGTAGTCTTTCCAGAACCTTATTACTGGACACAGGACAAAAGAAATACCTTAAGCAGGAAGCTGAATGCTGAGGGAGTGCTGGCGATGGGCTGAATTTCATTTTAGGCAAGCTGTGATGGCAACAACATTACGTAAAGGACTTGCTACTCAATGGCGATCAGTTCAAGTTGCTGTGGCATACAGTCAAAACAATTAAAATTTTTTTTAAAATACCTTAATATCTTCCTTCAACACATGCCCTGAGCCAGATTTCAGTCGAGTGTGGGTGAAACATTTGTATTTGCCGTCCCACTCCAGGTCAAGTAGCTCGTACAAGGCCACCATTTGCTGGTATTGCTGGTCTAACTTCTGATTGGCTGTCACCAACTTGTGGAACTCTTCACACTGGAAGTCAGTTACGGTATACCCATCAGAGGAATCAGGCCACACATCTTTGTAAACTGCCCAGGCGGTTTCATGCTGGGGATGGGAGAGATGTTCAACACATTTTAATGTGGTCTACAAACATGTTAGAATGGACAGAGACAGGTATGTTTGGTGCTGAGTGGCAAGCAACATTTCAGAAGTTTTAGGTAGTCAGCAACCTTAGGATCTTTTCTCCAAAGCAGGCTGGTGTGTTTTGAAATGTACAGACAAATTAGCTGCTTCTGCACCCAACGATAGTATTTGAAGCACGACATAAATTCAATCACAGAGACACATGGACGGGAGGGATATCTACAGCAATGAGCCTCAAGGGTTCAGATGCCAAAGAAAAAAGAAGAAAAAGAAGGAAAAAAAAGGAAAAGATGCTAAAGATAAAAACGATGAACAAACGAATGAACTTTATTTTCAAATTAGGCACTCAGGCCTGTCTTACATTCGGCCCTTCCAAACTCCCATCTTTCACACAGCAGTTGTATTTCATCAATGAAGCATGTTATATTCATGTAATGATATGCATATTATGGATATGAAGTCAAAAACAAAAGCATGGGTGGTAAAATATGTGCGCACGCTCACACGCGAACACACACACCCACAAGCCCAATCACTCACTTACACACACACATAGGCACCCAGTACACACATACATCCACATACATGCACACACACACACACACACATACATACATCCATACATACATGAGGAAGAGGAAGAGGAAGAAGAACAACAAAAACAAGTAGTAGTCATCCCAACTTCCTTTACTCTACAAACCCTTGTACCCCTGTTTAAAAGCTACAAAAGAGGTCTTTTCATAAATCGCTCACCATGAAAAAAAAAAAACAACCCTGGTATGTTAAAGAGTGAAATGTATGAAGGACCTCTAAGCCACAAAGAAAGATACATGTTACTTTTTACATTCACTATATTAAACTGAGCGAGTCCCCGCTACACTCTCAAGTGCGGATCGGAAGGTAGTGGGCTCGCTCTCTGGCGGAGCTGGACTGTTTAAAAAAAAGACAACCTTGACTTCCAGGTCGACCCAGCCTTGAGTGGGTACCGGGTGCAGTCCCGGGAAGTAAAGGCGGCCAGCATGATGCTGATCACATCATCCATCTTGTATGGATTGGTCTATAAAAATATAGGTCTAGCCCTATATGCCTAAAGGCGTGGAAAAGGGACCTTTACTTTTACTACACTGTCTACGACTATTCATCTTGTGAAATGCTGCTCTTGCTCAGTCAACACTAAACATGTTCTTTTCTTCAAATTTGTGCACCAGAAACTCTTAAAGTACTTACAATATTGCTCTTATCAAAGTGAACCTCAGACTGCCGCACTCGTAGAAAGTCCACCACTCCGAGGTCGGACAGGAAGTGATGCCAAGACTGCAAGTCGTGATGGGAAGGTGAATGGGGCAAGTAGGCACCGTCCACTAATGTCCACTCAATGCCTGAAACAGATAGGGTCGAGAGTACATATTACTTCTACTATTCATTTCAGAGTCAGCAGTGCAAGAGCTGATCGATGAAAAGACAACCAGATGACATAATATAAAGATGGGTCTGCAGTGAGAGGTAAAAAGAGTGGGTGGGGTTTATTGCAAAGTTGAATGGACACTGCTTGAGTTGAGTCAAGAATTGACATTCCCATGCATGCTCCATCCAAATTTTCAGCAGCCAGCACAGTTCCAATACAGATGGTACCGGTAACAATTTGGTCATATGTCCGTCCTGCCTTTCCCCTTGAGTGTAGTGAGCAGGCCAGACCTTCTGGTTACACCCAGATGCCTCATTCTCCCCAGGCCATAATAATCTTGTTTCTCAACAGATTCCGTTGCTTGTTCCCGAAGGTCCTTGACCACATCTGCCTTGTCACGTATCAATTCACCACCCAGAGGTGCAGATCCAGCCAATCTGTCTGCCTGTTCATTACCGACCACACTTGCATGGCCTGGAGAAAAGATCCAAAAGTATGCTCACTACCCGTGACTTTTCCAGTACAGCTTGCCACTCTGCTCGAAGTATCCCTGTCTTAACCTTTCAGAGACTGTTGCAATTACAACATGTGTATGTATCTTGTTCTCTAGCCACCGGAGAGCTCAGTTACCGCTTTCACCTCGATTCTCATGGATACTGCTTGAAAAAAAAAAAAAGAGCCTCATGTACAACTTCACTACATCCAGTTAGTTAACTGAAAGATTATGCTCAGTGCACATCAGACAAATCCATAGGCACTCAGATCTCATCTTACAGTATATCTCCCAGCATGTGGCGACTGACAACACTAGTTCTGTGTTGTATACTATTCTTCTTCGGCTACCTGTATAGTGTTCATGTTTGGCGACACCTCATTTGACCTGAAGTTCTTGCAGTCTTTTGAGTGTTGCCGATTCAATGTTGTCTCCTGAATATACATCCAGTATGAGAATGGAGGTGGAGGCAGTAATGGCAGTTGATGAATTGAGAACAGCACAGTGATGTGATTGTAACAGACCAACAGAGAATGCAGGGAAAATTTGAACTGGTGTCCTTTGATCAGAGTGGCTTACATCACTTGATAAGATCCAGATCAAGAGCATATCACAGATGTTCTGTTCATGATATTCAAGTGTGCGAGGTAACGAGCAGGCTGATAGATTAGCTGCTGCTGCTTTTCCGGCTGGTGAACTTCTATGGCCAATGTAGTACCTCCGGCGCTTTCTTATAAAATTGGATACATTATCTTGCTTGGTCTCGTTTGTTATTTGCATATTGGATAGCAAGCAATATACCTAGGGACAAATGCATTTGATTTAACCAATTTATATGCTTGTCTGCTGGTTTCTGGGTATGAGCTCTGAGTTAACACACATTTTGTTGTTGTTGCCAGATGGCCTTGACTCTCAGGTCAACTCTGTTTAAAACTGACACCAGGAATGTCACAGGAAGTAAATGTCATCAGCATGACATGATGGAGTTGTAAAAGGTTGGAATGAAGGCGTTAAGACAGAACTGGCTACTCAAAAAAGCAGCAGATGGGAGACTTGTCCAGGCCATAAACCGGTGGTTTTTCAGCAAAGGATAAAATTGTAAGTGGACAAAAAAATGGCTGCATACCGCTCTACCTATGTGCCAGTCCCGACCTACAGGTGCGAATCATGGACAATGACAACAGTTCACAGAAGCCAGACATGTGATATCTGAGAAAGGTGGTCCAAGTGACAAGAAATGACAAAGTTAAGAACTGTGAATACAAAATATTAAGTTGAAAACTGAATAATGAACACTAAGTTAAGACCTGTGAATACTGAACACTAAGTTAAGACCTGTGAATACTGAACACTTTGTAAAGATCTGTGAATATTAAACACTAGTTAAACAAAACTTGCAAATATTAAACAAAGTTAAGACATAAACAAATAGTAAACAAAAAGTTATGGCAATAACTTACCAGGAAATACTCGACGTAAGTCGATTTTATTCCCAAAAACAGATGAGAAATGAACATCCTCCTCACTCGGGGATTGGATCCCATGGTTTGTCGCCAATCGAGCGACAGATCTCAACTCCGACATGTCAACAACTGATGGGTTGCGGTCAAGCTCAGTCTTTATGTACACAATGTAGCTGATCAACACATCTCGCTTTTTTTCCTGTAAACAGAAATTTCAGTCATGTGGAAACATGTAGATAGAGATGGGGGAACTGATAGAGGTATTACTATTCCAATACAAAAGGCAAGAGGAGCTTTCATGTAATTAGGGAATTTGTGGAGGTCAAAATAAATTTATTACACTAAAAATTTTTTTATTCGAATATCAAATCAGTACTGTTGTATGGAGCAGAAACAGAGAGAACTAAGGTAATTACTAATAAACTACATAGATTCACTGCACAGAACAGAGGGAATTAAATGGTATGATAGAATCCTTAATGTAGAGCTGTGGGAAAGAACCAAAGTTCCAGTGGACCAAGAGGTGAGAAAAAGACGCTGGCGTTGGATAGGACACACTGAGAAAACAGGAGAACAGCATAACTAGAATGTCTTTGCATTGGAACCCACAGGGGCATAAGAATAAAGGAAGGCCAAAAAACTCATGGAGAAGAGAGCTGGAAAATGAAGTTAGAAAGATGGGGAGGACATGGGGAGAGCTCCATGCAATGGCGAAGGATAGAACGACTTGGCGTGAGTTGGTTGAGGGCCTATGCTCCAGTGGGGGATAGAAAGGCAGAAAAAGAAGAAGAGACATTTCCATTTTCCAAACCTAAAACTATAGCACCCTGCAATTCCTCTATATAAGTATTAAAGGAAATGAAAGAGCAGACTACTTGGCAGACATTAGACAGAACAGACAGATTCAGGAGGCACTTATGGAAAAGATAAAACCCAGATCAAGGCAGCCAATAAACCCCAGTGGAAAACTTCCCATCTAGAGCACATCCTAAGCCCCAATCAATCTACTCACATGAAAGATAAGTTCAGATAAGTACTAGACACAGCAGACTCTGCAACCGTGTTGAATGTTGAATTAAGAATCGACTTCACAGTACTCGGGACACCTCCTTGAGCGCTCAGTCCCCACCTTCAGTAGCAAGCGAAGAGTTAAAATTCTGATGGTACCAGTAACTGTCTGATTGTATCCTGTAACCACATGTACAAGAAATCCAAGACTGGGGATTCAGAGCTCTGCCCAAGTGGACAGGCACCACAGAATACTGAATATGTGCTACAGCCTTGCTCTCTACATGCAGGAGAGAGATCCCCCAGATGTGGCCGGTGGGCATTCGGATGGAAACCAAGCAGTATGTAACTGTGTGTGTGTGCTGAGTGAAGGGGGGAAGGTAAGAGGAGACTGTTTGTATAAAAGGAAAAAGACTAAATAAAAGGAGTCCCCATGTGGGTTCTATTCTTGTCATGCCTTCTAACAAGCATGTCATAAGAGTCAACTAATTAGAGTTGTGTTTTTTTTCGAAGTCAGAGTGCATTTCTGGAAATGACAAGAAGAAAAGGCTTCCCATGTGGGTTCTGGAGTAACATTGTAGGGAAAACAAGAATAGACCCGCTGCCTCCCCAACAAACATGTCATAAGAGTCAACTAATTAGAGTTTTTTTTTTTTTTTTCAAAGTCAGAGTGCATTTCTGGAAATGACAAGAAGAAAAGGCTTCCCATGTGGGTTCTGGAGTAACATTGTAGAGAAAACAAGAACAGACCCGCTGCTTCCCCAACAAGCATGTCATAAGAGTCGACTAACTGGGGACTTCCTTCAAAGTTGGAGTGCATCTGCATGACATGCAAGGAACCAACAGCCTGCATACAAATAAGCAAGATATATAAAACAGATGCACACGCAAAACTCACGCCCTGAAACAAAGTCCAGAAATGGATGTAACAACCAGGTCTTTTCCGCTGGAGTTTACAGATGCAAACAAACAAAAGAAAAAAGGCAAATGAAAATACCTTCCAGGTGTCTGACTTGAGGACGGGCATGATGTGACTGTGGATCAGATCATGGGCGGTCATCTGCTTGATACCCATCTTCAGCAGCAGCTTGACCACCTGGGAGTTCACCTCGTTGTCGCTGGTGCTAGTCAGTGCAGCATGCACCAGGCTCAGATCCTTCTTCAGCTCAAGCAGCGGGTCTGGGGAAACAAAGGAGGCAAAAGACTCAGCTTGATGGACTGATCCATCATCATCATCATTTGCAGTCAAGTAAAAACCTAGAGTAAAACTTGTAATTTCTTCTTCTTCTTCTTCTGCCCTTCTAGCCCCCAATGGAGCATAGGCCCTCAACCAACTCATGCCAAGTCGTTCTATCTTTTGCTATTGCATGCAGCTCTCCCTATGTCATCCCCATCTTTCTAATTTCATTCTTAGGCTCACTTTATATATTTAAAAAAAAAAAAAAAACCTTCCTTTATTCCTATGCCCCAGTGCAAAGATATTCTAGTTATATTGTTCTCCGGTTTGTTCAATGTGTGTCCTATCCAATGCCAGTGTCTTTTCTTCCTTCACCTGTTGGTCCACTGAAGCTTGCTTAGTTCTCTCCTAAAGCTCTACATTAGTGATTCTATCATAACATTTAATTCAATCTGTTCTGCTACAGGCTCCAGTTAATGAATGTCTGTAGTTTATAAGTAATTGCCTTAATTGCTCATGTTTTGGCTCCATACAAAAGTAGTGACATTAGAATTAGAAAAAAGTTAAAGTTTGCCTCCACAGAATAGAACGTTTTGAATTTATTGTGACTGATTGGACTCTTTTTCCTATATGCCCGATGCCCCTGAAGGTGTGAAAAGGGATCTTTATTTTACTGTGATCGTCTGTCTTTCCAGGCTATTGTGTTATAATGTACCCCTGATGGCGGAGAAGGGTCCTTTACTATACATCACCCTGTTGTGCAATTTACACACCACACATGGTTTGCAGTCCAGTGGTCTATTCGGATATATCCTGTGGAACCCATCCACTTTTGGCCCCTAATCAACCTTTGTTTTAAGGTCTTTTGACATCCTTTTCTTCTCAGTATATTTGTTTCCCATCCCAGTGCCCCTTGATGATTCTCTGCCCATGCCTCTCAGGATGCGCTAAAAAAAACAAAAAATGCCATCTTCTTTAACTCTGAACTTTTAACACCAGATGCTGTGCAGACATTTATCTTATAAATGTGCTGAATGTTGAATTTAGAATCAACATCACAGCACTCTGGACACCCACATAAGCGCTCCATCCCCATCTTCAGGAGCAAACAAAGAGTTCAAATTCTGATAGCACCAGTAACTGTTTGATTGCATATGCATCTCGTCTTTCCCCTGAGTGTTTTCTAGCCAGATACATTTATCTTATTTCGTCACTTTTATGATACATCATACAGAGAAACAAAAGAGTTGAGTCAAGTACTGACATCACAGAACTTAGAGCATTCCCATGTGTGCTCAGTCATCTTCAGCAGCCAGCGCAGTTTTAATACTGATGGTACTGGTCACAATATGGTTATATGTCCGTCTTGCCTTTTTTCTGTGCGTAGATGAGCTGGCCAGACTCTCTGGTTCCACCCAGGTAACTCATTCTCTCCAGACCATCATAATCTTGTTTCTCTACTGATTCTGTTGCTTGTTCCAAAACAATAACATTTAAATGAAAGGAATCACTAATTGACTTTGCTGCTTCCCAGGACATTTCCACATGGCTGTGTCCCTTTCAGCTGCTAATTCTTTGTGTGAGCGGTCCTTAAACTTTTTTCACTGCCGCACCCTTGTCAGGTTAAACACAAATTTTGCAGCGCACCTACCCTCAAAGCGGTTGAATACTTAGGGGGAAAAGGGGAAAAAATTGCAAATTGAATGATCAGATGTCTTTAGTGTGATGAATGAAACTGGATGCATTTTGCATTATATCCTTTCCATTTTCAGAAATTCTCTCCAGCATGGATGACCCTGCCTGAAGAGACAAAGCGCAGATTTCTTAACCTATATGTACTAAATCAGAATGATCCCATTCTAGATGTCTCTGTAATTTAGATGGAACCAAGCAACTGTTAGCACCACTTCTACTGCAGTAAACGCATTGCCCTTTCGGTGCCTGTTAATTATCAAACAAAGAAAGTTAGCTAGGATAATTTTCTAAGTTTTCCTTGTATTTTCTTTTGGTCATGAGTTGCCTTAAAGCGAACGAGGCAGCCCAGCGTGGATGACTCAGGCTCGCAGGTGTCTGCTGAGACAATGTCACCATAACTTTAATTAGAGAGACTGCACCTTAACGAATTCAGGTAGAGAATCTGCCACACCTTGAGATAAATACATGGACAATTCTTAGGGTAATGGTTGGCCTTTTATGCAGTATGAAACAAGGCTGAGTGTGAAAAAAAAAAAACTTTTGACAGTGGCGAGGAAAGACAACCTAAAATTTTAACTTAAGGTATCTGAATGCCTTTTTTAATAATTTCACATGTTTATCCGACTTTTCTTGATTACATCTGCGGCACCGATTTTGAGAACATCTGCTCGTGTGTGTGCGCGTATATGCACGCGTGCGTGAGAGAGAGTGTGTATGAGAGAGTGTGTGTGTTTGTGAGAGAGAGTGTATGTATGTTTGTGTGTGAGAGAGTGAGTGTTTGATTGTGTGTGAGAGAGAGTGTGTGTGAGAGTAAGTATGTGTGAGAGTAAGTGTGTGTGTGTGTGTGTGAGTGAGAGAGAGAGAGTAAGTGTGTGTGAGTGAGAGTGTGTGAGAGAAAGTGTGAGAGAAAGTGTGTGAGAGTGTGAGAGAGTGTGTAAGAGTGAGTGCACGAGTGAGCTTGTGTGTACAAACCTAGTGTCCTAACAATGCGGTAAAATGTGACCATTCAGGTGTTTGCTGAAACTGGGGCTTGATAGATCGAAACATGCGGATAACATAGTCTAGCTCCCAACCACAACTCAATGCGCTAGCCACTGTTTTAATGGCTGACACAGAAAAGGTGGTAGCCAGCCAGGAGTTTCCATACTGATGGCGGCGGTCACAACCTGACCAAAAGTCTTGTCTGTCTTTTCCCAAAGCAGGGCAAATAAAACAGACCACAAATATAACCAGAGACTGTTAGCAGCTTCGGCTAACTAGCAGCAGGTTGAGCTTTTTATTTTTTCTCAAAAGGAACTGTCTTTGCACTGCATGTTAGAAATTGTCTAGAATTAGACACACTATTTTACCATACGGGTTCCAAGGTCCTACTTGGGAGGGAATGGGGAGAGGGAAGACTGATTCCCCTCCACTCTTGATACAAATGTTTTTAAATAAAAGTGTTTGCCGAAATTAGACGTGTTTGGCAGAAAGGTGCACCCTAGCTGTAAACCACAACACAGTTTGCTGAGGGTGAACTCAAAAGAAAAGGGGAAAAGGGGGGGGGGGACATACTATTCAACAACACTTACCTCGAACCTTGCCTTTGTTCTTTGCCTGATTACCAGCCTCTGATCGTCCATCATTTAACAAGAACACTGTCACATCTGACAGAGACACTAGACTTCCATCAGACAAGGGGATTATCCTGTTTTACAAACAAAATACTATCACAACTATAAGAACTGTAAGAATATCTCACAATCAACACAATCATCCAAGAAAATCTTACAGCAGACGCAATCATCCAAGAAGATCTTACAATAAATGCAACCACTCAACAAGATCTTACAACAAATACAACCAGTAAACAAGATCTTACAATAAATGCAACCACTCAACAAGATCTTACAAAAAATGCAACCACTTAACAAGATCTTACAATAAATGCAACCACTCAACAAGATCTTACAATAAATGCCACCAGTAAACAAGATCTTAACAATAAATGCAACCACTCAAGATCTTACAACAAATACAACCACTCAACAAGATCTTTCAATAAATGCAACCACTCAAAAAGATTTTACAATAAATGCAACCACTCAACAAGATCTTACAACAAATGCAACCACTCAACAAGATCTTACAATAAATGCCACCAGTAAACAAGATCTTAACAATAAATGCAACCACTCAACAAGATCTTACAATAAATGCAACAACTCAACAAGATCTTACAACAAATACAACCACTCAACAAGATCTTACAATAAATGCAACCACTCAACAAGATCTTACAACAAATGCCACCACTCAACAAGATCTTACAATAAATGCAACCACTCAACAAGATCTTACAATAAATGCAACAACTCAACAAGATCTTACAACAAATACAACCACTCAACAAGATCTTACAATAAATGCAACCACTCAACAAGATCTTACAACAAATGCCACCACTCAACAAGATCTTACAATAAATGCCACCACTCAACAAGATCTTACAATAAATGCAACCACTCAACAAGATCTTACAATAAATGCAACCACTCAACAAGATCTTACAATAAATGCAACAACTCAACAAGATCTTACAACAAATACAACCACTCAACAAGATCTTACAATAAATGCAACCACTCAACAAGATCTTACAACAAATGCCACCACTCAACAAGATCTTACAATAAATGCAACCACTCAACAAGATCTTACAATAAATGCAACAACTCAACAAGATCTTACAACAAATACAACCACTCAACAAGATCTTACAATAAATGCAACCACTCAAGATCTTACAACAAATGCCACCACTCAACAAGATCTTACAATAAATGCCACCACTCAACAAGATCTTACAATAAATGCAACCACTCAACAAGATCTTACAATAAATGCAACCACTCAACAAGATCTTACAATAAATGCAACCACTCAACAAGATCTTACAACAAATACAACCACTCAACAAGATCTTACAATAAATGCCACCACTCAACAAGATCCTAACAATAAATGGCACCACTCAAGATCTTACAACAAATGCAGCCACTCAACAAGATCTTACAATAAATGCAACCACTCAACAAGATCTTACAATAAATGCACCCACTCAACAAGATCTTACAATAAATGCTACCACTCAACAAGATCTTATAACAAATACCACCACTCAACAAGATCTTACAATAAATGCTACCACTCAACAAGATCTTATAACAAATACAACCACTCAACAAGATCTTACAATAAATGCCACCACTCAACAAGACCTTACAATAAATGCAACCACTCAACAAGATCTTACAATAAATGCAACCACTTAACAAGATCTTACAACAAATACAACCACTCAACAAGATCTTACAATAAATGCCACCACTCAACAAGATCCTAACAATAAATGCCACCACTCAAGATCTTACAATAAATGCAACCACTCAACAAGATCTTACAATAAATGCCACCACTCAAGATCTTACAATAAATGCCACCACTCAACAAGATCCTAACAATAAATGCCACCACTCAACAAGATCTTACAACAAATGCAACCACTCAACAAGATCTTACAACAAATGCCACCACTCAACAAGATTTTACAGTAAATGCAACCACTCAACAAGATCTTACAATAAATGCAACCATTCAACAAGATCCTACAATAAATGCCACCACTCAACAAGATCTTACAATAAATGCAACCATTCAACAAGATCTTACAATAAATGCCACCACTCAACAATATCTTACAATAAATGCCACCACTCAACAAGATCTTACAATAAATGCAACCACTCAACAAGATCTTACAATAAATGCACCCACTCAACAAGATCTTACAATAAATGCTACCACTCAACAAGATCTTATAACAAATACCACCACTCAACAAGATCTTACAATAAATGCTACCACTCAACAAGATCTTATAACAAATACAACCACTCAACAAGATCTTACAATAAATGCCACCACTCAACAAGATCTTACAATAAATGCAACCACTCAACAAGATCTTACAATAAATGCAACCACTTAACAAGATCTTACAACAAATACAACCACTCAACAAGATCTTACAATAAATGCCACCACTCAACAAGATCCTAACAATAAATGCCACCACTCAAGATCTTACAATAAATGCAACCACTCAACAAGATCTTACAATAAATGCCACCACTCAAGATCTTACAATAAATGCCACCACTCAACAAGATCCTAACAATAAATGCCACCACTCAAGATCTTACAACAAATGCAACCACTCAACAAGATCTTACAACAAATGCAACCACTCAACAAGATCTTACAATAAATGCAACCACTCAACAAGATCTTACAATAAATGCAACCACTCAAAAAGATTTTACAATAAATGCAACCACTCAACAAGATCTTACAATAAATGCAACCATTCAACAAGATCCTACAATAAATGCCACCACTCAATCTTACAACAAATGCCACCACTCAACAAGATCTTACAACAAATGCCACCACTCAACAAGATCTTACAATAAATGCAACTACTCAAAAAGATTTTACAATAAATGCAACCACTCAACAAGATCTTATAATAAAAACAACAACTCAACAAGATCTTACAACAAATACAACCACTCAACAAGATCTTACAATAAATGCAACCATTCAACAAGATCCTACAATAAATGCCACCACTCAACAAGATCTTACAATAAATGCAACCACTCAACAAGATCTTACAATAAATGCCACCACTCAAGATCTTACAATAAATGCCACCACTCAACAAGATCCTAACAATAAATGCCACCACTCAAGATCTTACAACAAATGCAACCACTCAACAAGATCTTACAACAAATGCAACCACTCAACAAGATCTTACAATAAATGCAACCACTCAACAAGATCTTACAATAAATGCAACCACTCAAAAAGATTTTACAATAAATGCAACCACTCAACAAGATCTTACAATAAATGCAACCATTCAACAAGATCCTACAATAAATGCCACCACTCAATCTTACAACAAATGCCACCACTCAACAAGATGTTACAACAAATGCCACCACTCAACAAGATCTTACAACAAATGCCACCACTCAACAAGATCTTACAACAAATGCCACCACTCAACAAGATCTTACAATAAATGCAACCACTCAACAAGATCTTACAATAAATGCCACCACTCAACAAGATCTTACAATAAATGCAACCACTCAACAAGATCTTACAATAAATGCCACCACTCAACAAGATCTTACAATAGATGCAACCACTCAACAAGATCTTACAATAAATGCCACCACTCAACAAGATCTTACAATATATGCAACCACTCAACAAGATCTTACAATAAATGCAACCACTCAACAAGATCTTACAATAAATATATATATATGATGCCGGACTCAGGTTATAGACCAACTGCCACTCTATGGGCGATATGGTCAACCTTACTCCAGCCATCTTTAGTTCCCAGGACTTGGCTTGGCTTGCTTTGAGGAGAAATATCATCACGTTCAACAAGTCTCCCTATAGGGGGAGCTTAGGTTTTATTTACTTGTGGCTAGATGTGCACCACATAAAATGGCTTATCACTGTTTGCCACAAAGTAGCCCTGAAAAGGACTCTTGCAGTGTTGAAGCGATCAAAGGAGACAGACCCAAACCTCATCGGCAACAAAGTCGTCTTCCGGCAAGCCACAAGCCACTCGGTGGCCGATGTTCCCAGGACTCCCTCGGTACCCATTTAAGGCTAGGTCGACCTGGGAGCCAAGGTGCTAATCGTCTTCTTTTGCCCGTTTACCACCCAATGCAACAAAGATCCTCAACACAAAACAAAGAGTTTGTAAACATGCTCATGACACAAACCTGAAACTGCACAGCTTCTCGAAGATGTGTGTATTCTCCTGAAAGTCATCCAGGCTGCGGTATACACAGGCTAGCCACTTGGCCAACTCTGTCACTTGTTCTGTAAAAATAATCAAATAGTCAAAATTATTTCCAATTCTTCCATTACAGGCGGTCTTTTCCAAGGTAAAATGCAAGTTTCAAGGTCAGAGCCACAAGTTCTAGGCAAAAATCAAGTTTCAAAGTCAGCTATGAACCCCGTAAATTTTTTTAAGTTAGTTACATGTCATTCAGACCAGTGTTTCTCAACGTTTTTGTGCCTGTGGCCCACTAAAATAGGGGAACATTTGCGGCCCTCATGACAATGAACCAAACACAAACAAATGATAGTATGAAATTAAATTTGCTGACAACTGCTGCTTAGAAAATCTGATATACGTGACTACAGCGTTTTTTTCTGACAAACGAAGTGCTGCTAAAGCATCCATCTGATGTCTATTTGGTTTTTAATACGACATGGCTGAGAAAACCTTTTCACACAAACGAAGTAGAAAGACAGAAAAAACCGACCAACAATCTGATAATTGTATAGATATTTTTTTTTTAATTGTTGCTTTAGATAATGTTGCAAAACCAACCCCCAGGATTTGTTGTTTGGTTGTCATTTTACTAGCCAAAATTTCCCGTTCTTTAGCTTTTGCTTGTCACTGTTTTTCAAATAATTGAACAATCTGCTCATGATACCATTGTTGCAAAGTAGTCTACTGCCAAACTGCCAGCAGCTAGTTTCAGGTGAGGAAAAGACATTGGCACTGGATAGGACAAAGACTAAGAAAACCCGATAACATTACTAGAATGCCCTGCATTGGAACCCAAGGGTCAGAGGAATGAAGGCAGACCCAAAAAACATGAAGAGGAGAATTAGGTGAAACAAGATGACGGGGACATAAGGCAAGCTGCATATGATGGTAGAGGACTGGATGAATGAATGCAAATTAGTTGGAGGTCTATTTTCACAGCAGCAGAAGGGCACGCAGAAGGAGGAGGAAGGGGGAGGAGAAGGAGAAGGAGGTGCAGGAGGAGAAGAATAAGAATGAAGAGGGGTAGGAGAATAATTATAATGATAAAGAGAAAGAGGAAACAAAGGAGAAGGGGGAGAAGAAAAAGGAGAAGGAGGCGGAGAAAAAGAAGGGGGAGAAGAAAAAGGAGAAGGAGGCGGAGAAAAAGAATAATAACAATGAGGAGGGGGCAAAAAAGGTGAAGCTGAGGAGGAGAAAAAGGAGAAAGAGAAGAGAAGGAGAATAAGAGGGGAGGAGATGAATAAGAAGGGGCAGAGGAAAAGAAGATAAACAAGAAAAGAGCAGAAGATGGAGAAACACCTACCAGTGCCTCCATTGTCGTTCCAATTAAGTGCAATGGACTGACCAACATGAAGCAGGTGTTCTGTAGTGACCGTCTCAATGCCAAGCGCTTGTATCAAGGGATCGTCCAGAGCTGCCGCCACATCTGGGTGCAGGTAATACAAGCCCAGGAAACGCTGCAAGGACTCAGGGGAGATGATCTCCAGAACAAGAGAATCTTTCGCAATCACCGTCTTCGATGGGATTTTCCACTGTATGGCTAGCGGATAGACAGGAAAAAAAAAAGAATAAAACAGGTTAAGTGATTTAACTGGACTGATTGCTGATAATGCCTGTAGGGAGGTATTTAGCTTTCATATTTACTTTTTTTTTTTTTCAACTATCTCAATAGTACTTTTCCAAGTGGATGAGGTGAAGCTTCATCCTTGGCTCCATGCTGTATATGTAACAGTGTAACTGTCACTAGCTAAACAAAATGGTGATTAACTCATCTGCCATTGGATGGCATCACAATTGTGCCAGAGCACTGTTTGGATGAAATGCTTTGTCTTCATGAATAGTATTTTTGTTTTGGTCATAACAACATTAGTCTTGTTATTTTATTGCCAGATTGTATTCCAAATTGCAACATTTATGGTTTTTTTGTGGGGAAATGGAGGAATGAATCAGCACAACTATCTTGGAACAGTCATAACATCTAACAAGATACCTTGAAGAGACTGGAATAAGAACTGTCATGGTAAAAGTTGCTTTTCTGCAAGACAGTAGGCACTTGAAAAAAAAAACCATAACTACAGTGAGAATATAACTGTTTAAGGAAAGATTTAAAAATGGAAAAGAAGAAGGGAGGGGGGTCCAAAAGTTAGCCTGCTGAACATTCACTGCACCCAACAATCACTCTGGAATTGGAATCTGGCTGATTGATTATCTTTTCTCGGTACTAGTTTTTATGTAGACTCTGCAGCAGAGGCTGTCACTCTGCAGTGGACTTTTCACAGACAGCTGACGCTGTTCTCAAAACCCAGCAGCACAACTCCATGGTCCCCATAGAATGATAATCCTCCTATATAGGACAAGACACTCTTAAGCTGAAAACTACTTTAAAACAGCCAGGGGTATGAGTACGGAGTTTGTTAAAATACTACAGACATAAGAGTGTAAAACTAACGATTCAGAGTTGAGCTGAGTCCAGAATTGACATAACAGCACTCGGGAAGTTCCCATGCGTTCTCCGTCATCTTCAGCAGCCAGTGCAGAGTTTCAATACTGATGGCACCTGTCACATTCTGGTTAAATGTCCATCTTGCCTTTCCTCTGAGTGGAGTGAGCCGGCCAGACCCTGGTGCCTTATTGTCTCCAGGCCATAATAATCTTGTTTCTCAACAGATTCTGCTGCTAGTTTCCAAAAGGCCTTGACCACATCTGCCTTGTCATGTATCAATTCACCACCCAGTGGTGCAGATCTAGCCAATCTGTCTGCCTGTTCATTACCCAGTACACCGGCATAGCCTGGAAAAAAGATCAAAATTTTCGTCCAAGATTACAAAACAATTCAAACATGTGATGGGTTTTGTGGTACTAAAAGCAACAGAGGCCACACTAAAGACAAGCTTACATGCTTTGTCCTCTGTGAGAATGGGCATACACTCTTTGGCTCTCAACAGAGCCAGGATCTTGGTTGTCACTGGCTTGAAGAAGTCCATCACCTCGCCCTCCAGCGGGATGAACTGTAGGTACAAGATGAGGGCCTTGATTGGGGACAGGTCTGGGTGAGCCTGCAGATTTGAAAACATTCACCAGTTAGAGATATTGAAATGTGGGTATGCAGTAGATGTAATTTAGTAAATACTGTACATACACAAAGTGGTGTTATAGTTTAAAAAAAAAAAATACCAGGAGGGTATACAATATGCATTACTATTTACCACTGAGTTGAGTCAAGAATTGACATCACAGCATTCTATTTTTTTTTAAAGAGCCAAGTAATTGACCTTTAAGCCAAAGTGATGGAGGTCACAGGGTTACAGCATGAGTGACTCAATACATATGTTTTCGTAGGACCTACAGAATGTAATGCATTCAATGCTTTCACCCTGTTCATGTCACTGATTACTCCATATATCTTTATGTATTCCAAATTTATAAAGATATTTATATTCTTAAAAAAAAGTTTTAAAAAACAATATACAGATCAATGCCCTTTTAATGAATTTATTAGTGATCTGTTTAAAATTATTTTTTCTTCTTCTTTAATAAAAGATTTTTTATTATTGCTGCCTGTGCTGGTTTATGGCCCTTGATTCAATATATATAAATTTTTTTCAGTTTAACTCTTTCATTGTTCATTCAAAGATCAACTTCACTGCATTCTGGGGTTGATCATACATTCTCTGATCTCTCTCTGAATTTGCCTCTAAATGTTTTTACGCCAACAACTCCCATTCTGTTTTGGTTGATGACGGATGGCTTACCCACAGTTTTTCTTGTCTCGCTATTCAGTGAAAAACCATTTTCCACAAAATTGAAAACCTCAGTGTTTACTTCTCTTATGGCACTGATGATGTCCAAAAAGGGCCCATTCTTGATAGTCCAACTGCCAACCAGGGCATCTGCTCTCATACTGCCTTAGTTACATGATGTCTCTCCTGTCCAAAAATGGCACATTCTTGATAGTCAAATTGCCAACCAGGGCATCTGCTCTGATACTGCCTTAGTTACATAATGATGTCTCTCCTGTCCAAAAATGGCCCATTCTTGATAGTCCAGCTGCCAACCAGGGCATCTTCTCTGATACTGCCTTAGTTACATAATGATGTCTCTCCTGTCCAAAAATGGCACATTCTTGATAGTCAAATTGACAACCAGGGCATCTGCTCTCATACTGCCTTAGTTACATGATGATGCCTCTCCTGTGCCAAAAAAATGGCACATTCTTGAGTCAAATTGCCAACCAGGGCATCTGCTCTCATACTGCCTTAGTTACATGATGATGTCTCTCCTGCCCCCAAAATAGCCCATTCCTGATAGTCCAACTGCCAACCAGGGCATCTGCTCTCATAATGCCTTAGTTACATGATGATGTCTCTACTGTCCAAAAATATTTCAGCTTATACTGCCTTAGTTACTCTAAAAATATGATAAAAGCATCAAATACATTCACGACACGCAGAGGCACAAAGTAAACCCACCTTAAAAGCTTCCAAAGCCTCTACAAACAGAACATGTATCTCATTCCTTAGCCATTGGTTCCAAGAGCTATCCCTGTCAACATCTTCTCGGCTGGAGGGAACATCAAAGTCACCTAAAAACAATTCAGTAACTTTAGGAACATGGGTCTTTCAGAGGGAATATTAAATCACCTAAAAAGAAACAAGGGTTTAAACTTTCTTTAAAGAACACATTTGTTGGCGTGAACATTAAAGCACTTGAAAATTTAATCTGAATTTTTGGGAAATCTTTTGGAGGGAATATAGAAACTAATAACTTTTTCTTTTTTGTAAACAAAAACAATTTGGTAGGAACATTAAAAACTTTAAAAAAAATTTTTTTTAAATTTTCAAGAACACACGTCTTTTGGAGGGAACATTAAATATCTTTTGGGCTGTGGTAGGGAGGGGAAGGGCGCGAATGAAATCACCTGAAATAGTTTACATTCAACGAACTTCTAGTTCACCTCAATACGTTCTTCCAAAAATATCAGTATCAAAGTGTACTCACCTGCACTTAACCTTTAACCCCTGTAATGTTTTTATAATAGTGTTATATATTTTAGTCGGTGTCTGTGGCTTAGGCACTGCGAATGAGCACTGCAATTCGATCTGCAAGCCTTGCGCCGGTTATGAGAGTGGCATTACAACGCCGACTGCCTAGAAAGCAATGGCAAACTACTGGACGTAAATTTGCCTAGAAAAACACAGTAAAGAAAAAAAAATGCTGGGTTTGGTTCTACAAATGTCCTGTAAATGATATGCAACTATGTTGTTAAATGTGCAGTTTGAAACCTAAAAGATCAACACTCACCTTGCACAATGAACCGAAAACCGTATGACCTTAGAGGCAGGAAAGCAAAAACTGGCAGCTTTGAAGGTTTGGTCTGCAATTTAGAAAAACAATCTATAACATTTTATTAACTCCACAGTCTTCTTCTTCTTCTTGTTCTTTGTTCGCCCACTAAGCTCCTTTTCCACAGGGCCAGAGTTTTGTGTGTACATCCTTTTTACAGGTTTTTGTGTGTGCAGTTGGTTGTTCCTTGCCACTCAAACAGATGCACTCTGACTTCGAAGGAAGTCGCCAGCTAGTCGACTTCTATGACATGCTTGTAGGGGATGCAGTGTGTTTATTCTTGTTTTGCCCCACAATGGGGCCTTGGAACTCCACATAGTTATATCATACATGTAGAAATACTTACCATATACTGCAGTTATTAGCTGTTGGATACTAATGTATATCAGGGGTGGGCAAACTATGGCCTGCTGAGCACTTTTTACTGGCCAGCGAGGTTGGTGTAAAATTACTTTATACTCAGGTCCCCCAATCTCACAAATTAGAAGAACACAAAAATATGTCCGTAAGTAGAAAGAAAAAAATCAAAATATCAACGTCTAAAAAGGTGATAACCTCAATACAACAATATTATGTTACAAGGAAACCTGCGCTGTATGTTTATAATGTCCAACATAAGACCAAGGATAGCAGATACCATGAAGACAAAACATCACATTGATGAAGACAAAACATCACACTGATGAAGATAAAACATCACACTGAAATCTGAACACAATTACCAATTGCTCGTGATTATTTCTTTTATCTTATTTGACGATGGTCTTCTTCTTCTTTGCGTTCACCAGCTGTAAACTGTGGTGGAAAGTTCTGGTTGTTTATCCACTTCTGGACTGCTGTCCTGTTCTAGAGTGTTGTGTGTGCATCCATTTGACAGATCTGACACTGTGTGCAGACTGTTGGGTTCCTTGCCTCTCAGGCGATACACCCAGACCTCAAATGAAGCTCCCAATTAGTCGACTCTTATGTCATGCTTTTTGGGTAGGCAGTGGGTCTATTCTTTTTTTTCCTTTAATTGGGCCCCGGAATCCACACATAGGATTTGACTATTTTGAATTATGCAGCTTTTTTTCCTTCAAATTTTTGTTGCCGGGTCTTGGTATTTTCTTCTCAATATTTTTTTGTTAAAGTCTAGGCTGCTAGGCAGCCATCTGAAAAATGTTGAAAACTGCTATTTCAAGGGATGCAGAGGTTCTTAAACACATGTGGGGGTGCACCAAAACCAGGCACACATGGTAGGACCCAATGGATCTCCATGGCGAAAGGGTCAAACTGCCTTGCGCTTGGAAGGTCGTGGGTTCATATCATGGATGTATCATTTGGTTCATAAGCAAAATTCACACAGAGATACATGGAAATCATCGCTGGAGCTATGGTTTACTTGCTTACGCGATGCTCTCGGCAGGCGCCTAGTCATTTAGTAGAGAGACTGAGCCTTATGGGATAGAACCTGGTGCAATAAATTCGATCCACTCAACTAACTGAACTGTCATAGACACAAAGAAAGAGTCTGAGACACTTCAGAAATAATTCCAGCATACCTTTATCTAAGAGTTTTTCTATTGTCACAATCTTTGGTTTTTTTCAAGTTTATTTGATTTTATATTTCATACTGTTAATTTATTCTATCTTTTATCAGTATCAAACATTGATAAGACTAATCGTCTTATATGGCTCAAACTTGGAGTGCAACTTGAAGAGATGAAGCCTTATTACAGGTTTTCAGAAACAAGAGTCTTACAACAAATCTTCAGACCCATTAAAAAAAAAAAAAAAAGGGGGAAAGGAGAGAGAGAAGCAACAATAAATTTCATAAAATCCCCTTTATTCACTAGCATCATGAGAGCTAACAGATTGAAATAGTTGGGGCATATTAAAAGAATGTCAGATGACATAAGTAAAAACTATACACAAGAGAGATGAATAGGTGTAGACCACGAGGCAAACCAAGAAGACAGAGATAATATCCAGACAGACCTGCAAACAGTCTCACCAACTGAAAAGAGAAGACTAGCCAGAGAGTTAAATGGAGGCGGCTGATACCTGCAGCAACGAACCTCAAGGGGTCCAAATGCTAAAGAAGAAGATCTCTTATCAGTACCAGTTATAGAGCATTAACTTCTGCATTCCTACTCTTATTCTTACTATAATTATACATTATCACTGTTACATTAACAACTATTTTTCAACCCTTCCTTTATTTTATTTTTATCCATTCCCCATTCACCTTTTTATAGTGACCCCTTGGTGGTTGGAGTACTCTACCCCTTTCATTATTGTGTAGTTTAGTTTCTGTTGAGAAAGGCCCTGGCCAGACGCTGATTTGTATCATTTTGTGATCGTAAGTCTGCTTCGCCCATGTCGTAAAGTGTTTTTTAATCCTTTTTCACTGGATTAATTTATCAGAAACAAAGGAAGACATTAGGAGACTAGGACACCTACCTGTGAATGAATGGCTGCCATCTTGTCTTGGAGAGGAAACGCTAGGGCAATCTCTGTGGATTCAACTTCTACCCCTGATTTCATCTGGAAACAAACACAGAATACATGTATGTGCAGGTGTGTGGACTAACAGAATACAGTCACAAAACAAAAAGAAAGAAAGAAAGAAAGAAAGAAAGAAAGAAAGAAAGAAAGAAAGAAAGAAAGAAAGAAAGAAAGAAAGAAAGAAAGAAAGAAAGAAAGAAAGAAAGAAAGAAAGTAAGAAAAAAAAAAAAAAAAAAAAAAGCATCATCCTGTCACCCTGGGAAACGTCATATCGATCGTTGCCAAATTTCCATGAAGGCCATGAAACCTGCCTGTCTACATCACCTTTTTATAGTTTCTCATGTGACACCCTGGTGGGCACTGGAGGTTGTAGTAATTTCCCCTTTGTTAATGTGTCGTCAGTTTATGTTGAGAAAGGCCCCGGCCGAAACGTCTACTTTGTGCATGTTGTTCTGTTTCCGCATGTTGTTCTGTTTCCGCATGTTGTTCCGTTTCCGCATGTTGTTCCGTTTCCGCATGTTGTTCCGTTTCCGCATGTTGTTCCGTTTCCGCATGTTGTTCCGTTTCCGCATGTTGTTCCGTTTGTTGTTCCGCATGTTGTTCCGTTTCCGCATGTTGTTCCGTTTCCGCATGTTGTTCCGTTTCCGCATGTTGTTCCGTTTCCGCATGTTGTTCCGTTTCCGCATGTTGTTCCGTTTCCGCATGTTGTTCCGTTTCCGCATGTTGTTCCGTTTCCGCATGTTGTTCCGTTTCCGCATGTTGTTCCGTTTCCGCATGTTGTTCCGTTTCCGCATGTTGTTCCGTTTCCGCATGTTGTTCCGTTTCCGCATGTTGTTCCGTTTCCGCATGTTGTTCCGTTTCCGCATGTTGTTCCGTTTCCGCATGTTGTTCCGTTTCCGCATGTTGTTCCGTTTCCGCATGTTGTTCCGTTTCCGCATGTTGTTCCGTTTCCGCACGTTGTTCCGTTTCCGCACGTTGTTCCGTTTCCGCACGGTGTTCCGTTTCCGCACGTTGTTCCGTTTCCGCACGTTGTTCCGTTTCCGCACGTTGTTCCGTTTCCGCACGTTGTTCCGTTTCCGCACGTTGTTCCGTTTCCGCACGTTGTTCCGTTTCCGCATGTTGTTCCGTTTCCGCATGTTGTTCCGTTTCCGCATGTTGTTCCGTTTCCGCATGTTGTTCCGTTTCCGCATGTTGTTCCGTTTCCGCATGTTGTTCCGTTTCCGCATGTTGTTCCGTTTCCGCATGTTGTTCTGTTTCCGCATGTTGTTCTGTTTCCGCATGTTGTTCTGTTTCCGCATGTTGTTCTGTTTCCGCATGTTGTTCTGTTTCCGCATGTTGTTCTGTTTCCGCATGTTGTTCTGTTTCCGCATGTTGTTCTGTTTCCGCATGTTGTTCTGTTTCCGCATGTTGTTCTGTTTCCGCATGTTGTTAAACTTTTTAGTCACAGTTCACTAGTATAGTGTCTACAGCGGCCTGTTTCCAAGAAGAGTAGTTTGCCATCAACTCTATTCAAGTCTATGCAGCGTTTAGAAGGCCCAGATATGAATCTATTTACTATGAAACAGCATTTGAGTTGGTTTCATGTCCGATCATAATGGCTTTATTTTAGCCGCATTGACACCAAATTTACCAAAGGCCTCAGTGACATACTTCACAGGTTCAGTGAATGAGTCTTCCAATATATATGAAGGTTATTCCAAAATCAATCTCCAATTGGCTGGTAAAAATGAACCCTTTGCCATAGCGACACCATTTACTACTTGCATCATTCAGTAGAATTCTAGCTAAATACACACCAACCTACACAGCTGAGCATTTTCCCCCTCCTGCTTGAAGAAAACTAATCACACCACATGTCACAGCTGGCCGGACAGGAAATGACAGTGTCCATGTTTATTCAATCATGGTTTGTGAGCCGCTGAACAAATGCAACTGTAGGCTACTGAATATGCAAGCAACTGAATGATGCAAGCAATGAACAGTGTTGCTATACAAATGGTTTATTTTTACCAGCCAGTTGGAGGTTGATTTTGGAATAGCCCTCATATTTGTTTAATAGTGCTGGTTAATGTATTTCATTTCATGTTCTACTCTGTTCATGTTTACTGACTACTGCCTTTATATATATTGAAAAACAAAACAAAAACAAACTAAAACTACTGTTTCCAGTCATTAAAGATCTTAAGTAGGAAAAGACTTATTTCTAGTGAAATGAAGTAATCATGAAACAGATCAAAGAACTGACTGATGTCCTTCCCTTTAACCAGCAAAAATGGTTTTTGTCACTTTGCCAAAGACAGCAATATGAAGTTTAATGAAATTATATGATGTCTCAGTGAAGTCAATTTAAAAAAAAAATGATTCCATGAATAATAGTTAAAAAAACCATTTTGGGTAAATGCAATCATGCCTATCATGTCTACACACAACACAGTTGCAGCCAGTACCACCGTTGTCATCAAGGCATACTGAGCACTGCCCAAAGACATGTCAACCAAAGATACAAAAGCTGGAAAAACAGCTTGCTCTGCCAAATTCTCCCCCCCCCCCCACACCACCATAATGATCTGCACTTTTGCATTGCTCACTTGCTCCCAATAGTGCCTCACAACGTCTAGCTTTTCATGCATCTATTATTAACCATCAGGTGGTGCAGCACCTGCCTATCTGTCTGCCTGTTCATTTCCCAACACACCTGCATACAATAAAGAAAATATCCATAAGAAGCTAACTACAAGAGGCATCTGAAAGGCTGCTTGCTACTCTGCACGGAGTTGCCTTTCTTGGACTCAGATACTGAAAACTAATAGCACATACCTGTATAGAAACACCAGAGGCATCCAAAATCTTCCTCAGCACCAACCACCGATCTGTCCCATAGGAGTGAGAGATTTCCACCACCTTATCTGGCAAGTCCTTCCTCTGCATAGACATCACACAGCCCTCCACCTGGAAAAATGTGGAAAATGTTCACATAAGCGGCTGAGTACATACCAGTTCATACAAATGTTAAATGACAAGATAAGTTTTTGTGGCACTAGAAAACATCTGAAAAATCCCAAGCAATTAGGCCTCATGTTCAGCAGTTTCCACTGCTGTCTGAAAGGTACACTGTTCAAAGTGTTGTTAAAAAATATCAAAGCAAAGTATGTATAAAACATAAATATTTAACTGTAACGCAAGTACTTCCCAGCCCGTGAAAGAAATGCCAAATGGAAGGTTATCAGTAAAGCATTTTAAAAAGTAATACAAAACTTTATAAAATATACATTCCTTCCTATTCTCTTTCACATAACTAAGAATAAATACTGTGACTGAATCCTTATGTGGATTCCTGTGTCCCACTATAGGTTTTAATTAACACACCCACTGAACCTAAACAAAACAAAAAAAGGTTGAAGTCGAGAATACTGACTTCGTTGCACAGGGGTTTAATCCCATATGGCTCAGTCTCTCTCAGCAAAATGGTTAGCTACCTGTTGAAAGCATCATACAGAGCATGAACTCCCTAGCTCTGGCAACAACCCCGGGGATCTCAATAAAATTGCACTCGCGAACTGAACGATACAGCTGTGAAACAAGCCCATGAACTTCACAGCGCGGGGCAAACAGCTTGACCACTTTGCAACAGAGACCCCCAGCCACAATGTGGACTAATCAGTGATGATTCCTTCGAAGTTGGAGTGCATCTGCCCAGAGGTGAGGAATCAAAAAGTTTGTATACAAATAACATGAACAACCAGAACTTTCTGCCAGAGTTCCCCTTCTCATTAGCCAACAAAAACTGCCCATAGAGTTGGTGCCAGTTGCATCCTTATTAAAATCCCACCTGTCTTTCCTCTGCGTGTTCAACGTCATCTAGACCCTCCGCTCACTCGCAGCTGAATAAGCACCTCCAGCTATGGCTACTTTCTGCATTGTTCACTACATTCTAGTGAGCCCTCATCGTGTCTGCCTTATCAGCCAATCCATCAGCCTGCTCATTACCGTGTACACCCATGAAAATCCATTGTATGCTCCTTATCTAAATCTTATTAAGTGATGCAAGCCATTCTATGATTAGAAAACCAGTTTCCATTTTCTTAATCCTGATTTGCGAGTCCATTCCCATAACATATTAGACTGTGCTAATCTCCAGCCATTGAGAAGCATTTTTACTGCCTCCGCCTCCATTCTCATGCTAAACATTGTGATGTCTTTTTCTTCTTTGATCCTTTTGTCAGAAATGTTATATGCAAGGCTACATCATCTCATCCTGACTCTCTTGAACCTTGAAGTATCAGGGTGATGTGGAGAGAGAGAGTGCTTGTTTGTGTTTGTATATATTGGGGTTCCCTGACACAGTCCACTCTCAGTGTCTCTTTTACTTGGTCTGTACATCAGTGCTTGGTAATCTGATAATCTTAGTTTCAGCTTCATAGCAAACGGGTCACCCCATAGTTGCTCCGCTCCTGTGCCAACGAAAACACACAGAATGTTCATCACAGTCCCTTCTGGCAAGATTGACAGACTGCTGTCTCAGTATACCTAGCATACACACACATTAAAAGCATACGGTAGCCATCCGAAGTGCTATCACAGACAGTCACCAACAGATTAGCAGTCGCACACGCGATCAATTTTAATCACGTAATGGCACCACCAATATTGCGACAACAGGAATCGCACCATTTTCTGAATCTACAATTTACACCACCACGTTGGTCACAGTCAAAAAACATTCAAAATGAAATCTGCAGCTCAGTGTCACACCATGCACTCAACTCAGAAGCTGGGCAACGAAATTATATCCTTTTAGTCTACAAATGGAGCAAAAATTTAATGGCCACCACCGTCTGGTAGAAGCAAAAAAAAATTCTGTGGCTTTTAAAAGGAAGTTATCAGTGCTTGCTATGGTATACTGTTTGTTGACGTCCATGTTAAATGGTCGAGTCATTTCACTCATTTTCTAATAGAATTCAGTGCTGCTGCCACCTCCACTTTTGTTTGCATTGACCATATTTTTCAAGTATAAGACGCCCCTGTGTGTGACCCCTTCCCCTTCCCCCCCCCCCCCCCCCCCCCCCCCCCGTGTGTAAGATGTCCCCATGTACAAGATGACCCCTATTTTTAACTCTAAAATTAAGATAAACACCAAATACAGCAACTGTGATATTCGGGGGGAAAGGGGAGGGGAGTCCAACAGTGAGGGGAGGCTAAGGGATTGGGGAGGGGGTAGGATACGGATAGCAACACAAATTTATTTATACATTATTAAACTGCAACATTTTGTATATAATTTGAACAAAGAAGACACAAACAAAATGTAATCTTTAGCTGTATCTGATCAGGTGTATACTACAGTAAAAATTAATTTAAATGAAGCAATTAAATGAATCCTTCTAAATGAAATACAAAATCGGCTACATTCAAACTATCTGTTTCTCACCAGGACAACCCAAGGTGAAGAGCATGTCCCTTTGCATAATTCTGGACTAAACCGGTATATCACAAGAACTTGTCTGTTGGTGTAAATCAAAATGCGAACAAGAAGAAGAAAATTACCTTATTTTCAATCGTAATCTCCTTCAATCTATGCAAAAACAGCAGCAAAGATGGCTGAATGTCGTTGAAGCGAGCTGCGTGACATTGAATCTGTTGTTTGATTTCCTCAGTCCAAGGGAGGACAATTTTCGTCTGCCAGCTGTTTGAAAAAAAAAAAAAAAAAGAATACATTTATGTTGTCTCATTTCAGGGAAATAATTCAACAGAGGAAAAACTAGTCAGAAAACATCATATTTTATCCATTTCCCCCCAGTAGGTTTTCCTAAGGTAGTGTGGCAAACTTGCATACAAGTGGACCAAAATAAAAAATAAAAATACTGACATACTAAAAGTTCTGAACATCCAGGATGACTGGCTTGTAAACATCATCCTCTCTTCTTCTTCTTCTTCTTCTTCTTCGTCTCCTTCAGCAGTCCGAGCCACTGAAGTTCATTGCTGCAGATATCAACCGCCTCCACTCATCTCTCTGGTTGGCCTTCTTTTTCCAGTTGGTGACACCAAGTGTTTGCAGATCTCTCTGGACATTATCTCTCCAGGGTCTTCTTGGTCTGCTTCCCGGTCTACGACCATTCATCTCCCTTGTGTATAGTTTTTAACCTCTCTGTCGTCTGACATTCTGTCGTCTGATATTCTCTCAATTTGCCCCAGCCATTTCAGTCTATTAGCTCTCATGATGTTCAAACAGTCGTTCATAGAAGAAATATTTGCTCACTTCTGTCTGGGAGAAAAGAAAACTTAGCACTTTTGTGTGGGAGGTCGAATGAAGCCAAGACACTTGTTGGCACGCTGTATTTAAACAGCGAATGAATGCACATTATGACACACTAGAGTGTGGGACTGTCCTAGGGAATTCCTTATGAAATCTCTCATCCAATGAGATGGGGTGAAAAAGTTGAATAGTACCGGGGGAGGGAAGGGGGAGGGGGAGGATTCACAGGATCACACAGACTATCTTACATTCAGCCCTACCAAACATCTTTCACACAGCAATTGTATGTGATCTATCAAGCATGTTATATTCGTAAAACAATATACAGAATATACACATCAAGTAAATACACAAAAGCATGGGTGGTACGTGCATACAGATATGTACATACATACACACAAACTCACAAATGTATGCATACACACAACCTTGCAAAAACTATCCCTTGTATGTATATATATATATATATATATATATATATATATATATATATATATATATATATATATATATATATATATATACTCACTCATATCAATACTTTAAATATACCCACACATTCAAATGGGAGAGAGGAGGATAATGATAATGAAGAAAAAGAGGAGGAGGAAGAAGAAGATGACTACGAAGTAAATAGAGGATGAGGTGAAGGAAAAAAACAAAGAAAGAGAAGAAGATTAAGAAAATTACCAGGGAGAAAAAAAAAATGTAAGAGAGTCGGAGATCTTCGAATATAAAATATTTGACATAAATTTACAAGATATAACAGCCCCCTTGAATAGCTGAAATATACTCAACATCACTTACTTGACATCGTGTGTCGATTCATCGATCCAATGTGGCAAAATGTAGCCCATAGGGCCACTGCTGACATCGAAGCAAATGTGGAAACCATTAGAATGCACTTCTGGACGACCTGTTACTCGGAACACCGACTTGAACCCGATGCCTTTCTGGCCTGCAAATGCAAGAAGTTCTGTGGTTGAGTTGAGAACCAATATCACAGCACTCAGGGCATTTGTTTAATTACTCAGTCCTCGTCTTCAGCAGCCAGACTTCCAATCTAACAGTGCTGTAGTCTACGTGTGTGTGTGTGTGCGCGTGTAGTGAGCCGGTCAGACCTTCAGGTTACACTCAAGTGCCTCATTCTCTCTAGGCCATACAAATCTTGCTTCTCTTCTGTTAAGTCATTATTTGAGGTTCCAACATCATTGCAGATGGTTCTCTCCCCCCCCCCCCCCCCCCCCCCCCCCCCATACTGCTCCACTCTTGTACCAGTAGAAATCACATAAAATGTCCTCTGCTGTCTAATTTGAAAACCAGCGGAAAAACTTTCAAGTACTAGCAAGATAGCCTACACAGGCAAAGTAAAAAAAATGCATAAGGCAGCTGTCAGATATGCCAACACTAATGATCCCACACAAGAACTGCAGCTCACTGTTGACGCAAACAATCATAATTTTAGCGCACTCAACAAAACGCCACAGGCATAGAAACAACATTTTAATAAATCCACAGCTCACAGTGTCCCAACAAGCAGTAGCTTGGCAACGGAACTTTTGGACTCTTGGTTCAGAAATTGGAAAATAAAATGGCATCAGAAATACTTGGCTGGAAACAGCTTTTTAAAGTGTAATCAGTGAGCCAGCTATCGGGCATTTTGGGCAGAAATTCCAATAACAGACATTCAAAAGAACTACTTACCGATGTATCCATACTTATGCTTTTCTTTAGTACTCCTGCCCACATCACACAGAGCCCGAATGTTTTTCTCTTCAAACCCCATCTCATTGTTCAGGACAGTGACACCTAAAATACAAATACTCAAGATGATGTAAAGAGGAACATTAAATATTCACAAAAATGCTAGATGGATAATCAACAAAGTCATCAGTGTAACTTTTTTTTTAAGTAAAAAAAAAAAAACAGTCACATAAACGCTACAAGAAAGAATTAGAAAAATGCAATCAAAACTAAAATAATCCACCAATGCTGATTAGATTGGTGATTGGCACCTCTTCGTCTAGTTTTATATGCACTATGAGGAGGCATCGCCCAAGGCAATAGAAAGAACCGCCTTCGTTAAGAAAGGTCTTCCACAATTGCAACAAGGAATTTCAGGACCGCTGCTGTAAACATTTCTTCTCAGCTTCCCAGCTCTCATCTTTTCTAAAAAAAAAATAATTTATTCCTTCATTCACAATCCCTTCCTGATGTGCCCCCCCCCCCCCCCCCCCCCGCCACACACACACACAACACAGTCGGTGGCATTTTGTTCCCATAAGTCTTCCTCAATACCTGCAACATTCATGTTCTTATATTTCTTCCTTCATTCACAATCCCTTCCTGATGTGCCCCGCTCCACACAACACAGTCGGTGGCATTTTGTTCCCATGAGTCTCCCTCAATACCTGCAACATTCATGTTCTGATATTCCTTCCTTCATTCACAATCATTTCCTGATGTGCCCCCATCCACACAACACAGTCGATGGCATATTGTTCCCTTGAGTCTTCAATATCTGCATCATTCATGTTCCATCAATGCTACAAACACAAAAGTGCAGAATCGAGTAATCATCTTCATCATTGTCCTGTGGGGCCATTATATGACAGATAAGGCTCCCAGTCCATTCCTCCAGCCTGGTCCATCCGGTGCAATCAGTTCGACATCATAGATTGGATCCAGTCCAGCAGCTTTGGCTTCTCTAAGAGGTATGAGCACTTGTCAGTGACAAGTCAGATGATAGATGATATCTTCACAGACAGGTCCGTTATACGAGGACATAAGAGTGCAAGGGCATTTACAGCTCGCTCTTCAGGCAGAACAGTTTGAGAAGCCAGGGGTGCCTTCATGACCTCCAGCAGCATGACGATGTCCAACTCACCCAACTTTCAGTGAGTCTAGCTCAACCAAACTTCAGTGCGCCTAACTAACCCACCCAACAGTGGGTCTATCCCACCCACACCCCAACAGTAGGTTATCCAAAACTGGGTCCCCGAAACTACCCAGGCATTCTACACATTCAACAGAAGCTTACCTGACAAATCTATGACAAACTTCACTGACGGTACAATATCGCTGTCATAGGCATTGTCATCTGCATTCTGAATCAGCTCCAGCACAAAGTGAGTCTCCTTGCTGTACAGGTCTCTGGACAGTCTCTGAAGGCTGCGACCTTGGCGTTCATGTTGCTTCTGTTGATACAAATATTTGAATGTATTATTTCTCTGAAGTTTATTAATGGTTTTTATATCAAGCGGAACAACACAAATCATAGTCGAGGTTTCAACTTTATTGCAGTTGGTTTCCGCATACCTGCTCTGTTCCTGTGCAAGTGAAAATCAAATGAAATGTCGCTTACCGGCCCATCTGAATAAGTGGTGAACAATTAGTGCCAGAACAATCCAGAAATATGCAGTAAGTAACGCAGTGAATGCATATGGCAGCTGCTAAAGGTGCCAAAACCAACAGTCACCACCAGAAATGCAGTTTGTCGTGTATGGAAGTAGTTGGGCACGATAAGTTGGTTACTACACACAAGTAGAATTATAACATAAGGTATTTCACCCGCCCACACGTAAACCAGCCATACTGAATACGACTCAACCGCTGCACAAATGAAAGGCATTCCACCTAAACAACACAGCTCACAGGGCTGCACCAAGCACTAAACTCAGTACCTCAGGCAAAGTAACCGTGACTACCTTCCATATGTGGAAACTGCATTAGCAAAGTGCTGTCAGAAGCTAAAATAACTTCAAAGCTCAACATTCTGCCATGAGTAATCCTCCATTTTTTTACAGGAACAAGTGTCGAGCTAAGAACTGATATCGTAGCAGTCTCCCCTCATCTTGAACAGCCAGGTTAAGAGTTCCAATACCGGTAGTAGTCTAATTATATCCATCTTGCCTTTCCTTGGAGCATCAAAGTGTCAACCAGATCTACTGGTCACTCGTAGCTGTACCATTCTCTCCAGGCCATAATGATCTATTTGTGCCTCCACAAATACACAACAGATATAACATAACATCATAATGGACTGCCACTGCCTGCCCACGGACATTGTTAACATTAATATTTGTCCCATTTTTCACTTTGATTAGAAGGCAGAGATGCAAAACATAATCCCCACCCACAACACATGTGTTGAGTTCACAAAGCTAGTCACTGTCTGTCCAGGGACATTGTTAAAGTTAATATCTGTCCCAGTTTTCTCAGTCAGATTAAGAGGTAGGAATGCAAAACATACCCACCCCCAACAAATCAGTGTGAGATAAACTATCACAAAGACCACTCACCCTCATCAGCTTCTCCCCAGTTTCATCCAACTGGATGCCAAGCCCAAACTCCTCCCTCTGAATGTTTTCAACAATGGCACGACACATCTCCTCATACGTCAGCTCCTTCTCTGCCTCAGGTTCGCTAACAACACACTGAACACTCCTGACTGTGTCTTCCGTGGTCTCTGAAGATTCAGTAATGTCTTCTGATGATGCTGATGCCTCCGTTGTCAGAGCATCTTCATCTTTCACATCTCCTGCTAGCTTCTGGTCAACCTCAGGATCGTCTATAAAGATATGTTACAGAAACAATAATTATAAGAAACAGAAGGCCAAGGTCATCTAGCCCATGACAGGAGTTTGGCCTTGTTCTAGAATCTGAGCTTTGCATGCACATCTGTTTTACAGATTTTGCGTATTTGTGTCCAGTCTATAGGTTCCACTCCTCTCAAGCAGATATGCCCCGACTTCAAAAGAAATGCAAATCCTATCTCAACTATGTCGGCCTGACTCCCGGTAGGGAACCTGCTTCTAGGATGACTACAGAGAGCTGTACATAGGTTGTGACCATTTTAAGTCTTGCTACCGGCTCATCATCACAAGTAGTGATGCACTTCTGTATTCCAGGTTAGAGATTAACTGTGGACTTCACACTAAAGATGACTGCTAAAAACCGTACAAACTGTGTAAAGACTACACTACAGAAGATTGCTAAAAACTGTACAAACTATGTGTAAGGACTTCATACTACAGATGATCACTAAAAACCTTACAAACTATCTGTAAGGACCTCACACTACAGATTTACTAAAAACCGTACAAACTTTGTGTAAAGACTTTACACTACAGAAGATCGCTAAAAACCTTAGACTGTGTAAAGACTTCACACTACAGAAGATCGCTAAAAACCTTAGACTGTGTAAAGACTTCACACTACAGAAGATCGCTAAAAACCTTACAAACTATATGTAAGGACTTCACACTACAGAAGATTGCAAAAACCTTACAGACTTTGTGCAATGACTACACACTGGAGATTATTACTGAAAACCTTACAAACTGCAGATAATTGCTAAAAATCTCACAAACTCTGTAAGGTAATTGCATCCAGAAATTTTCTTATTAGAACCACATCACAGTATACTGGGCATTTCCAAAGGTGCTCTGTCCTTTAAAGCAGCAGCCGGTTCAAGTATACTGTTTCCTTAGGGATTTGTTAATATCTCTCCTATCTGGACTTGAAAGATGATACAGGCATTACTTGCAGGTCTTGAAGTTGGGTTACAGTCACAAATCCATCATTATCTTCCTCAGCAATCATTGATTGTAAACTGACAGAAAGTTCTGATTGTTCATCCACTTCTAGTCTCTGGTCCTGTTGCAGCACTGAGTTTTGCATGCACATCCATTTTACAGATCTGGCTTATGTGTATGCAGACTGCTGGTTCCTCGCATTCCAATCTCAAAGGAAAATATCCTAAATTAGTGACCTTTAAAGTTCTGCAAAGGACATTCGACTGGAGGGGGGATTACCCTATTCTTTTCCTCCCAAAATATGGACACCCCGTGTGTGTTCTGGGGCCCTATTATAGGGAAAACAAGAATAGACCCGCTGCCTACCCAACAAGCATGTCGTAAGAGTGTAACTGGCAGCTTCTTTCAAAGCTGGAGAGCATCTGCCTGAGAGGCAAGGAACCAGCAGTCTGCATACAAATGAGTCAGATCTGTAAAAGGGATGCACACGCAACACTCAGGTTCTAGAACAGTACTGCAGTCTAGAAGTGGATGAACAGCCAGAGCTTTCCGCCAGAGTTTACAGCTGGTAAACGCGAAGTAGGAGAAGAAGAAAATATGGACTCAGAATCCAAATGGGGAATGGTCTGAATGTAATCCCTAACAACGACAGGATGACTTCTTCCAAACAGTATGGCTCTAGGGTCTAACCCTCAGATAAGAGGGTCCATAGATTCAGGAGAAAGGGTGGCTCCTTAAGGGATGGACGAGCCCATTCATGACACAAGGTGGCTAAATAAATGAGTTTATTCATCAGATAATGTGGCTAGATGAGGGATAGATGAACCCATTCATGACACAGGGTGCCTCAATGAGAGTTTATTCATCAGATAATGTAGCTAGATGAGGGATGGGTGAGTCCATTCCTGACACAAAGTGGCTAAATGAGTAAGTTTATTCATCAGATAATGTGGCTAAATAAATGAGGGATAAGTGAGTCCATTCATGACATAAGAGGGCTAAATAAGTGATAAGTGAGTTTATTCATCAGATAATGTGGCTAAATGAGGGATAAGAGAGTCCATTCATGACAAAAGGTGGATAAATGAGTGATAAGTGAGTTTTTTCATCAGATAGTGTGGCTAAATGAGTGATAAGTGAGTTTTTTTCATCAGATAATGTGGCTAAATGAGTGATAAGTGAGTTTTTTCATCAGATAATGTGGCTAAATGAGGGATAAGTGAGTCCATTCATGTCACAAGGTGGCTAAATGAGTGATAAGTAAGTTTAATCATCAGATAATGTGGCTAAATGAGTGATAAGTGAGTTTTTTTAAATCAGATAATGTGGCTAAATGAATGATAAGTGAGTTTTTTCATCAGATAATGTGGCTAAATGAGTGATAAGTGAGTTTTTTCATCAGATAATGTGGCTAAATGAGTGATAAGTGAGGTTTTTTCATCAGATAATGTGGTTAAATGAATGATAAGTGAGTTTTTTTTTCATCAGATAATGTGGCTAAATGAGTGATAAGTGAGTTTATTCATCAGATAATGTGGCTAAATGAGTGATAAGTGAGGTTTTTTCATCAGATAATGTGGCTAAATGAATGATAAGTGAGTTTTTTTCATCAGATAATGTGGCTGGACGAGAGACTGCTGAATCCATTCTTGAGAGATGAGTGTTTAAATAGATGAGATGAGATTCACAACATGAGTTACAGATTCACACACAAACACACAAACCCAGTTCTGTACTAAATATGTGGAAACACCTTCCTATCTCACTGAACAGCAAATACAAAAAGAAAAAAACAAATCAATTACCTTCTTTTCCTTCAGTTTTGTCATCTTGATCAATCTCCTCTTCTTCCTCAACATCATCAGGGTCTTCTTTACCTTCACCACTGCCTTCTCCATCTTGACTACTTATTTCCTTTTCAACATTGCTCTCTTTAGTTGCATCTTCTGTCCTCTCTTCCAGAGGCAGCGACTGGGTGCTCTCTTTATCGTCAGAAAGTATGGAATCAATATCAGAATCCTCTGGTTCGGTCTCGTCTCCAGAATCCACCTGATAAAGGAAAAAAAAATGCACGAATGAGATTATTCCTCTTAGTGTTTGTTCACTAGCGGTAAGTCCTGGTTGTTCATCCACTTCTGAGCTTTGCTCAAGAAATTTTGTGAGGCATTTTCAGTTTACATCTGGCCAGGGCTTTCTTTTCTGGCCAAATGCAACAGAACTCAGCACTGGCACCTTTTATAGTCTATCTCTGTTTAATGCTAGTTTAAAAGATACTTTTTAGTCTTCTTCTTTGTTCACCAGCTGTTAGCTCTGACAAAGTCCTAGCTGTTTGTATATTTAGACTTTGCCTTTGTGCCAGGGACTGAGTTTTGTGTATGCATGCCTTTTTACCGGTTTATTTGTGTGCAGTTAGTTGTTCCCTGCTGCTCTGAAAATACACTCTGACTTTGAAGGAAGTCACTCCTACGACATACTTGTTGGGGAGACAGTGGGTCTGTTGTTTAATCCTACAATGGGGCCTTGGAACCCACAGGGAATATTTTGTAGTAAGTACCGGCACATTTTTTTCTTTCTAGGAAACAAGACCAACATCTGGCTTGTTCTATGTAGACTTGGTTTCTGGCTTCTCATGCAGATGCAGTCTGTAGGACACTGACTTCAGTTGGCCAGGTCCCTAGTAGGGAAATAGTTTCTAGGATGACCATGAAAAGTGGAGATAGTTCTGACCAGTATGAGCACTGTTCCTGCTGCACCACCATGTGTGTGCATGTGTCATCTGTGTGTGTGTGTCTGTGTGTGGGGAGTGTGTGGTGTGTCTGTGGGGAGTGTCTGTGTGTGTGTGTGTGTGGTGTGTCTGTGTGTGTGTGGGGAGTGTGTGTGGTGAATTTGTGTGTGTTCTGTGTTCTGTATGTGTGGTGTGTGATGTGTTCTGTATGTGTGGTGTGTGATGTGTTTTGTATGTGTGGTGTGTCAGTGTGTGAGAGAGAGAAAGAGAGAGAGAGTATGGTGTGTCAGTGTGATTGTTTATGCACACGTGCATGTGTTCCTCAGCACTTTCCGCATGAATGAACAAACTTTACTCTCAACAGGTTACTCAGCATGCAGGCACATCTAATCAAGCAGAGGTAGCCAGTGTAGGATACTCAGGTAACAGTAGGCTGGGGTTCAAGTCCTAGTACTGGTGGACTGGACATGTCGTTTACCAGTATTATGTGTAAGGCTGTCCAGCCTCCTCTTCTTGTTCTAGTAATGAGGTTAGTTTCGTATCCTTTACAGGACGTTGCAGAAACAACCCCAACAGCCCCTGGCTGTTGTATTTTCTAGGCAAATTTACGTCCAGTAGTTTGCCACTGCTTCCTGAAGGGTCGGCTTTCTCGATACCACTGTTGAAACGAACGCAAAGCGGATGGTCCGCAGCTGGGATCGAACCCGACATCCTGGCATTATGAAGCCTTCGCATCGACTTAGCCGACTGTTCTAGTAATATCTACATAATAATTCTAGTTTCTGTTTTTAACCCTACTGTCCCAAGATGTCCAGATGAGTGTATTGAATGCAGATCATCTTGCTTTGATCGAGAAGTTTTCCAGAGGGTTGTTATGGGAGCAAGGTTCTGCAAAAGAACAGGCTACTGACTGGCTGACTGTCACAAGAAGGCTAAATATGGTCACTTCTGGCTGTGACCCAGTCCTGCAAATGTTGATATCATTTCTGTGGCAACATGTTCTTTTACAAACCACAGTTACATTGGTTCTGTGTGACCATGTAGCATTTAGGAGTCCCGCATGTAAATATATTAATGAAATAGAACATTTCCTTGGGAATCCAATAGCTTTTTTAAAGCTTGGTTGACTTAAAATTCTCCATATGCCCCACTGATAGAGGTCACAGGGTCAAAACATGAGTCACCTGATACAAATTTGTTTTGGGCCCCAGTTAATACATCACATTCATTGCACCACTCTTTTCTTATTTACTGGTTACTAATTTTATACATCTTTAAATTTCAAAACAAAAGGATATTTCCTGAAAATTCCCATGTGTTAATGAACCATTTTTGTCAGCATTCATAGGATAAAAGGGTTGAAATGAACTTTCTAGTCATTGTGTAGAGTAAGCAATGTAAGTGATGCTTCAGACAGGTTAGTGCACGAGGTAAAAGAGTGCATGAGGCGGAAGAGTGCATGAGGTGGAAGAGTGCATGAGGCAGAAGAGTGCACGAGGCAGAAAAGTGCACGAGGCTGGAGAGTGCATGAGGCAGGAGAATGCATGAGACAGGAGAATGCATGAGGTGGGAGAATGCATGAGGCGGGAGAGTGCACAAGGCAGGATAATGCATGATGCAGGAGAGTGCATGAGGCAGAAGAGTGCACAAGGAGGGAGAGTGCATGGGGCAGAAGAGTGCATGAGGCAGGACGGTGCACAATGGAGTGCATGATGCAGGATAATACATGATGCAGGAGAGTGCACGAGGCAGGATAATACATGATGCAGGAGAGTGCACGAGGCAGGAGAGTGCACAAGGTACATGAGGTAGGAGAGCACATAAGGCAGGAGAGCTCATGAGGTAGGAGAGTGCATGAGGCAGGAAAAAGCATAAAGCAGGAGAGTGCATGAGGCAGGAGAATGCATGAGGCAGGAGAGTGCACAAGGCAGGAGAGTGCACAAGGCAGGAGAGTGCACGAGGCAGGACAGTGCACAAGGCAGGAGAGTGCACAAGGCAGGAAAAAGCATGAAGCAAGAGAGTGCATGAGGCATGAAAAAGCATGAAGCAGGAGAGTGCATGAGGCAGCATGAGAGCTGAGATGAGACCAAGTTTCTTTCAGGCAGGATGTGACGAGATCAACATTCTGCGCAGAACCATGACGACGAGTTCAGAAAGCATTACCCGACCTACCTCCTCTTCTCCTGCTGCTTGAGCTGTCACATCCCCGTGATCCATCAGATCCTCATCCGTCACCTCAGCCGTGTGAGTGGATGGGAAGACATACTTCAGCTGCATAGAGGAGGTCCACTCTGGAAGTCCCAACAAGCAGCCAAGCAACTCCAGCCGTTGTTTCTGGGTAGGGAGCCTGCTTGCCTGGACAATCTCTTTCTTAGACTTTGCTGAGCCTACTACACTGCTCAGTGGCTCCAACAGCACCTGAACAGTAGAAAAATGCTTTTACAAATGAAAACAGGAGGTAAGAATGGAATGACAGCAGAGGCAGGGGAAACATTAAGTAATCATTACATGGGAATGCCCAATTGTCGAAAAATAATATAAAAATGTATAGAACAATAGAAATGTGTGACAATTAGTTCCACTTTATTATATGTACTATGCTAGGTGTAACGAGGAAAGACTGACTTAGCAACGATGATATCAGGAGAAGAGTCGGCACAGAAGCAATACTGAACTTGATAGGTAGTCAATAAAAATGGTTTAGCCATGTTAATAAGACTGGCAGCAGACAGGGCGCCACAGAGAGCATTGTTAAACAGATACAGCGGTAACAGACCCAGAGGTCCACCATGCAGAAATAGACCCAAAACTTTTACACTTCTAAAGACAATGAGAAGTACTTTATATGAAGCAAATAGAAGATGTGATCCAGAGATTTCTTTATGCCCTGATGCTGCGAGGCATTCCACATGTAGGGACAAGAAGAAGAAGACCAAAAGCATTTTGTGCTGGAGTTTACAACCAATAAATGTAAAACAACAACTTACATCTAATACAATGGAACTAACTATTCATGTAACACATTTCTTTTTTTATTTCAATCTAATCTTGAAAAGTAAAATCTATAGATGGCATCTGTTAAAGTATCTGACATTTTTAATAGATTGCATAAACAATACAGTATCTTGTCTTAGAATATGAAATAATTTGGCCATATCAAGAGCAATGGTGGATTAGAAAGAATAACAGAAGGAAGAAGGGCAGGGACCAACCAGAACAATGATGATTTGAGTTGATTTAAGAACCAACATCACAGCACTCGAGGCATTCCAATAAGCGATCTGTCCCAATCTTAAGCAGTCAGTGAAGAGTTCCGATACTAATGATGCCAGTAGCATTCTGAATAAATGTATATCTTGCCTTTCCTCTGAGCCTCGAGCATCTGCCAGAACCTCTCGTCACTTCCCCTTGCATCAATCTCACCAGACTGTGGTGATCCATCTGCTCCTCCGAACTGTGCACGCTCTCCCACAAGGCACTAGCCATGCCTGCCTGATCATGCATCAGTATGCTCACCTGTGTCCTCCGCAGTGAAGCATGCTACTCTGCACAAAGCACACCTGTCTGACCTTCCTCAGCATGCTTTCTGAGCCCAATGATGAGCAGATAATAAAGGTGACACCTCAGGTAGGGGGGGAGTGCTTGAGGTGGGCAAGGCTGGCTTTCAGGCAGACCGTAACGACAGTGACATTCTGCAAAGAACCTGCTACAAGATAAAGATAAATGATACTGACCTGATTAGCAATTGCAACAGCAATTCTGACAGGTAGGCGCAGAAGCATTTCCGTCACAAACTGGACAGCAAGATCCACTGTTTGGTTTTCAAAAGCTGGCGGGCCACCTGTCAAAAAGGAAAAGGGAAAAAATTGGCTACCATCAAGGGGATATGAAAAATGAAAAACAAAAAAAAAAAAGCAATTGGAAGGTTTGGCACAAAGTAACAACACACAAGCATATGCCTTTAGCAAATTCTTTACCAACAAAGAAAACATTAGGTATAATTTAGTAAAGAAATAAATACAATTATTCTAATGATGGAATAAGGGGAGGGGAGTGTGGTGCGGAATTTGATTTCCAGAAATAAAGCATGCAAAACTTAAGTTCTAGTAAATGATAAAAGTCCAAAAGAGGTCAAATAACTAGAACTTTCAAACTTCCCAAATGAGCAACAAAAAAACAGTCTATCAGCATTTTTTTACTTTCTTTCTTCTTAGGCAGAAAATCCAGGACACGTTCCTAAGTCATATCAAGGTGTTGCAAATCCCTCCACAGATAATGTCAGATCTATTTAGGGACCATGCTTTTGAACAGTGGTTCTCAACCTTTCTAATGCCGCGACCCTTTTAATACAGTTCCTTATGTTGCGGAGACCCCCCAACAATACAATTATGTTCCTAACCAGTAAATGTGTTTTCCTATGGTCTTTGGCGACTCATCAAAAAAAAGTCATTCGACCCACAGGTTGAGAATCGCTTCTCTCAGAGGTCACTACAAAAATGTTCTTCAATCTTCAATCTGTTACCCACAAAACAGCACCAAAAATGTCAAGAAAATTTGATTTGCCATATCTGTTTATAAAAGATGCACTTTTTTTTATGTCAAATTGGACTTCAGAATTTGGTGTCTTATGCAATGAAGGCAGGCCTAGGTGTACCGCTATTTTTCATAGTTGTTGGCACTCTAATTTTTTTCTTCCAAGATCTTGGAATACTCTGCATTTAAGCGATATTGATGCAACCTACGAATGAGACAGAGGAGAATAGTGGAAATGCATGGATTTAGAACCAATTCTTTGCAGGTAGAAGTAATTAACTTCATCACTCCAGAGCTCTTGTGTTGTTAATGGCACACACACACACACAGAAACAGAGCACTCGAGAGAAAAAGAGAGAGCACGAAAGAGAGCGAGAAAGAGGTGAGAGCAAGAGAGAGCAAAATAGAGAAAAAAAATGAGTGATAGACGAGAGAGAGAGAGGGGGAGAGAGAGAGAGGGGAGAGAGAGAGAGAGAGGGGGGAGAGAGAGAGAGGGAAGAGAGAGAGAGAGAGGGAAGAGAGAGAGAGAGAGAGAGAGAGAGAGAGAGAGAGAGAGAGAGAGAGGGGGGAGAGAGAGAGAGAGATGACAGAGAGGAGATCAATATATGATATTGAAATTCAACTGGTTGTGAATTCCTTAATGCTTGCTGCATCACTGTTTCTTTGTGTTCCTTATCGTGAAAAAAAAACTTTCAATAACAATGTGGGTAAATTTAAAAGCTACTAAAGGTCGTAATAATTTTTTTAAACAGTTATTTCCTTTGAATCTGAGGTTTTCTTTTCTGGAAGGATGGCTGTGTGGTCTCGGCATGGTGTCCACCTCGAGTGCTTGAGGTTCTGTGTTCACTCCCAGTAAGGGCTGGGACTTTTTTCACGTGGACTTGGATATCTAGTAATTCTCCCTGGTCTCTGGGTAGTGACATCAGACTCCTGGCAGTTGAAAATCGAAAGGTAGCCTAACAGCGCTGCCCAGGCAAAATTTTTAGTTAATAATCTACCCAAAGTATTTCTTGGTGCTCGCTGGTGCTACAGAGCCTGTGCACTGTGCTGAGATTCTGCAGACTCAGACTTGAGTTAGAAGAAAAACGGAGCACTTATGGGTTACTACACGTGTGCCCTGATGTTGATCCGTTGTTCAGACCTCAAACCTCTATTCTGTTAGCCATCAGCAGGTCCAAGAAAGATGGGCTTTTCCCAGTCTTCTTCTTCACATCCTTGTTTTTTTACTGCTTCGGCGTCGAGGGAGATTCAAGGTCCTGCTTCGTGCTCTTTTGGCTGCTTGGAGCAAAGACACCGTAGTGCTGTAGAGTTTCTCTACGTTATCTTCCCATCCTGTTCTTGGACTACTTCTTGATCTACATCACTCTCCTCTTTTGGTATATGCCTTGTATGGTGTAGCATCAGAAGGCATTCTCTCCAAGTGGGCAAACCATTTGATTTGCTGTCTTTGTATGTAATTTGGAATTGGTTCTGTGCCGAATTTATCTCGTATGACCTCATTCCTGATTTTATCTCTTCTGGTCATTCCCAGTCTGTCTCAAACATCACATTTCTATGGTTACCAATTTTCTTTTATGTTTTCCTGGTCCACAGGCGTAAACAAAAACACTCAACACAAAAATGTACATTTATCACAAAAACCGTTTCTCCCTCACCTGGGGTGCCCATGCCGGGGCTGCGAGCGTGCAGAGTGATCAGCCGGGTCTTTACCACGTTGGCTATCAGAGCTAGAGGAGTGCTCTCCAGCCCCCTGTTGGCCACAATGAGGGACACCAGGTACCCTGCAGCTGCAGTTGGGTCCTCCTGCTCCAGCACCTCACAGAACTGCTCTTGTGTCGTCTGGGAGCAAATCTTCAGGAACTTTCCTGGTTCCACTTCTAGAGCCATAAAGTCAGAAATGGCCGTTTTCCGTCCACCTAAATAAATGAAACTTAAGTAATGCTTTTTACTAATTCACATTCGTGTACATAACATTCTTATGTAGTCATTTCATAGTGTGTGTGTGTGTGTGTGTGTGTGTGTGTGTGTGTATGTGTGTGCGCGCGCGCGTGCGTGTGTATATGTATGTATGTGTGTGTGTATACATACATACATACATACATACATACATACATACATACATACATACATACATACATACATATATGTGTGTGTGTATTTGTCGCAAGATGCCGTTTTGAATAGACAGTGATGCCTTGAACTCTGTTGATGACATATTGTCCAAGAAAATTACACATTGGGAAACCATTTTTTCAGCACCACAAAAGCTGATTACAAACCAGAAATTAACCACACAATAGAAATCTGGAAGACAAGAAAAGCTGCCAATTTTATCTAGAATCAGCAATATTTACAGAAATAATTCTATAGCATCCTGTCTTATTCTGTGTAGCATCTATAATTGCCTTTTGCTGTCCGAGCTTGTGGAAATATGCAGTATTACACCATCATCGTAAAGGACAGAAGATGGAAGACCATTCATCTGGACTGGACAGTAGTCAGAAGTGGAAGCTATGTAAATGACCAGGCTACGAGACCATTTCCCCTACTGACAATGTGAAGAGAGAGGGGAGAGTTGGAAATATATGTTATTCTGCAGAAAATTAGGGATTATACATTTTGTGATTGTTTTCCATCCCTAGCTGCTGAAAAGCCAGGGACAGATTCCTTGTGGCAGGACGAGCTTCCAGACACTGGCAGGCTGGTCGAGGTGATGACTGAGGTGCCCCGAGGAAAGTCTTGGTGTCTCTTGCCATTGCAACATTCAACATCACCTTTGGGTGAAGATCCTCAGGGAAACCAAAGGTGGTAAATGTTGTCCCAACAAATTTCCATGAACTCTCTCACAACGACTGTTTCATTTTTTTTTCTTTCATTAAAACTAGTTTGAGTATTGTATTTCTAAAGTAAATAAATTATTAGTATCAATTTTAATTTTAATAAACATTTCTCTGATTTACTTTCACAGCGAAAGTTTTGTTCATTTAAGTTCTGTATATCAAAATGCTCATTATAGATGGGGGCCAGAAAGGGAAATTGAGGGGAGGGGTAATCTGCTCTGTGCTCTAGGCATCTTAATTCTCTTTTCCCTTTTCTGGGGACATTCAGGCAGCTCTCTCTTTCACCAGCCAATTCCAGTCTGTATCTGAGTATCCAAGGCACAGGCTGCCATTTGGCAGCTCTCTCTTTCACCAGCCAATTTCAGTCTGTATCTGAGTATCCAAGGCACAGGCTGCCATTTGGCAGCTCTCTCTTTCACCAGCCAATTCCAGTCTGTATCTGAGTATCCAAGGCACAGGCTGCCATTTGGCAGCTCTCTCTTTCACCAGCCAATTCCAGTCTGTATCTGAGTATCCAAGGCACAGGCTGCCATTTGGCAGCTCTCTCTTTCACCAGCCAATTCCAGTCTGTATCTGAGTATCCAAGGCACAGGCTGCACTTTGCATCAAAAAGACAACTGTCTCGGTTTCTCATTTGCATCAGGGGGGAGGATTTAAACCCACACCCACCACCACATTGCATAAAAAGAAACCTGTTCCAGGACAGAAGTTCTACCGCATATTTGCGTGGTCAGGACAAGTAAATCTGTCATAAATATAAAGCAATAAGTTCAGTGTTTAATAAGTAAATAAAATGTATCTACAATGATTTCCAAGATTGATTTTCGTGACATTTGGTGTTTGTAAAAGAACAGATAGGCAAAATTTAGGGCTGGGAACAGATTTAGCCATTTTAGTTCATTCCTATAGGCAAAACTTTCATCCGTTTTAACATTCGTCCTTCTCAGGAACGGATTAATGATGAATATTGGAGTTCCACTGTAAAAGCCAATGCACATACATACAAAAGAAGAAGACAATACAAGGCTCATGGAGCTGCCACAATCAACAGTACCTTCTAATGCAATCTCCTGCCGTCCTCCATGCTTCTCTATAAAACTCCTCAAGGGCCCTAGCTGAGGCTGAAACACAAGTGACCAGTTGCTCCACTCGGCCATGTCGTCCAGCAGCGGACATGTGGTCAGACAGGCCATGGCTGTTTCTTTAGTTTGGCTGCCTTGGATCCCCACGTGACCGCTACTTCGAGGGGTGGGACTGCAAGCAACACAGCGGACACACAGGTCAGCAACAACCAACAACAACAACAAAAGTAAAGGACTCTTTTCACCTTAGGCATAATAGTAAGGTCAATTTACATGCTGGTGGCACTCAACAGGCACTTGGGGCTAGACCCAAATTTTTAAAGACCAATTGGCCCTTGATGGTTGATGTGTCAACATCACACTGCCCACCTTTACTTCCCAGGACTCAGCATGGGTACCCAAGTTAGGCCGGCTGACCTAGAAGTCTATTTTTTTTTTAAACTGGCTCTGTGCGGATTTGAACCCTTGACCTTAGGATCTAAAGTGAAAAAAAGGCGGCGAGGGAAATAGGGTAAACTGCATATGATCATAAAGGATATAATAACCTGGTGCAAGTTTGTCGAAGACTCAAGTTCCAATGAGAAGCGGCTGGCCAAGCGGTTGCAGCATTGGGCTCTCATGAAAATCACTATTCGGTACAGCCCTAGTTTAAATCACCATTGATCACCTGTATCATGAGTGCTAATAGACTGAAATGGCTGGGGCATATTGGAAGAATGGCAGATGACACAGAAGTGAAAACTGTATAAATAAGGGAGATGAATGGTTGTAGACCGCGAAGCAGAACAAGAAGACAACGGAGAGATAATGTCCAGACAGACCTGCAAACACTTGGTGTCAACAACTGGAAAGGAAAGACGAACCAGAGAGAGAAATGGAGGCAGGTGATGTCTGCAGCAATGAACCTCAAGGGCTTGGAATGCTGAAGAAGAAGATTAAGGAAGCGGGGGGAGATTGGAGGAGGGATGCAAGGAAGTTACAGGGACGGGCAATTTTTACATTCTTCATTTGTACTCGCTATTATATGAAATACTTGTTTCTGTGGGTTTTTTTTTTCAGTATCTGTTGTGTAATGTAATGGTTATATCAAACAAGAAGATAATTCCAGGTTGTGATATCTCAACTGAAGGAAAAAGGCCTAAATAAGCCAATAAATTCAAATATCTGGGAACAGTCATATCATCAGATGGAAAATGTGTTACAGAGATTAAAAGCAGAATAGGTCAAGCGAAGGCTGCATTTCAGAAAATGAAAAATATCTTATGCAGTAAATCGCTCTCATTTAATGTCAGAAAGAGGGTGCTAAAATGTTACACAGAATCTGTTCTGCTGTAAGGCAGTGAATCTTGGAATGTCTGAACAAATTAAGAAGAATTTGGAAGCAACACAGATGGGGTTTCAGAAATGAATGTTACAAAAACCTTGGACGGCCACAGTAACTAACAACGGTTGCTTGGAAGAAGCTAATGAAAGTAGATCCCTTTATACAACAATAAGAAAGAGACAAACACTGTTCTTTGGCCACATAATGAGAAGAAAGACATTGGAGAACATCGTGACAACTGGAAAGATCAGTGGAAAAGGGGGTAGAGGCAGACCAAGAGAGAATATGATGGATGGGCTGAAATATTGGCATGCAGGGATGTCATCAAGAGAGCCGTTCCAGGCAACCAGGGATCGTGATCTATGGAGACGCATGAGCGCCTACGCCAGTTGGCAGAGCACATGATGATGATGATGGTCTGCTGTGCCTTAATCATTAGACCAAACATAACAGATAAGATAAAACTGCTGACACTAAGTTACTAGTTGTTGATTTTTTTTTTTTTATGTTATCTGACACTGATACATGTGGAGGTTTTTCGCCAAGATCTTGTTACCAGAGCTTGGTACTTTGCCCCGTCCTCTTTTTAATCACATTTATTTTAAAAAATTAAATTGAGGGGAAGGGGGTCTTCCTAATTTGAAAGGGGCCCCACCCGAAAAGGTTGATAACCACTGAGTTATGGGGGGAAAAAGAGCACTGCTGTTAACATTTTTTTAAAAACTGGACTCTCATAGACACGAAATAAAAGACAATGAGATACTAACCAGAGTTTTCCGCAAATGGCAGCTTCAAAATTGACGCGATATTCCTTCATCACATGCTTGCCAGGTCTTTCTGCCGTTCCACACAGGCGGGAAATATTACCGTGGCCCAAGTGTCGGAGGTCGCTCACATGGAACTGCTCACACATAGCAGTTTCTACCTGGTGGTTCTGGAGAGGGTCCAAGAGTTAAAACATTCTATAATTTTTTTTTATTAAAAAGACAAAATGCTACCAATTTTGTGGAACAAAGCCCTATTCAATACAGCATTTTTACCAATGCTGCATCACCAGTACCGAAAAGAAAAAGGGTGCCGAGTCTGAGGTATGGCATCCGCCTCAGGTGCTGGAGGTTCCAGGTTCAAACCCCGGTGAAGGCTGTGATTTTTTCACGTGGACTTCTAGTAATTTCCCCCCCAGTCTCTGGGTAGTAAGACTGGACACCTGTGTGTATTCTTGCACACGTAAAAAAAAATCCCTTGGCAGTTGGAAATCACAAAAGAGTAGCCTAACAGCGCTGCCTGGGCAAAAATTTGGAGTTGAAAATCTAACCAAAGTATTTCAGGATCCTCGCCGGTGCAACGGAGTTCGCACACTGCGATGAGATTCTTCAGACTTAGGCTTGGGTTAGAAGTCATGATCCTCATCACGTAGCAGGTCCTTTTCAGAACGTCGCTCTCATCACGTGCTGCCAGAAAAAAAAAACCAGTCTCTCGCCAGCTCTCCCGCCTCATGCACTTTAAACTTAAAGGAGTCACTTATATCCTGTGCCCATCTTCTTGTCGGTCGGCCCCTGCCCCTCCTTCCTGGTACCATATGGGCCTTCTGCTATAATAATTTTTTTCCAATCGGTCGTGGCGCTTGATATGACCAAAATATTTCAGCTTCTGAGACAGGATGCTGTTTATTAGCCAATCTTCCTTGATGTTCAGATCTTTCAAGATGTCAGTATTTCTCCTCTTCTTTGCCCAAGATATTCTGAGAATCTTTCTATAGCATTTCAGCTCAAAAGCCCCTATTCTCTTTCTTAAGGACTGGGAGATAGTCCACGACTCACATCCGTATGTTGCTACAGGGAAGATGCATGCTATCAAAATTATAATTTTGATCTCCTTGCTGGTGCTTAACCATAAACTTTTTTAGGAGTTAGAAGTAGAATGGAGCAATTATGGGTTACTAACCTTGTGCCATTATGTTGATCCGTCATTTAAAACTAAAAAACTAGACTAACAAATTATACCTGTGCTACTCCGGCATGCTTGGACTGGCAGATGAACTCCAGCAGTTCCAGTTGGCTTGGCTTGTAAATGGACTCCATTTCATGGCTTCCAGAGCTTGATCCCAGGACGGTCCCCCCACATTCTTCCAGAATCTAAGAATGTACCATCAGCAGCCGATTATAACATCTCGCTGTTTCTACGATGATGAACTGAACTTGTTTCTACAATTATTAACATCTCACTGTTTCTACAATCACTGACTTATCTCACTGTTTCTACAAAAATTGACTTAACATCTTGAGGTTTCTACAACCATTAACATCTCATTGTTTCTGCAATCGTTAACAATAAAATCTTGCTGTTTCTACAATCGTTAACATTAAAATCTTGTGGTTTCTACAATCATTAACGTCACATCTTGCTGTTTCAACAGTCATTACCTTAACATCTCACTCAATTTCCGCAACAACTGAACTAACGGAGTGCTCAGTTTCGACAATCTTTCAATCACAATCCACTACAATCCACTTTTATTATCCCATAGAAGATAAATGTACTTTAATCAGAGTGTATACTTTCCCTAGACGCTTAAGTGCGGTTAGAAATGTAGCACATACCAGTGCTTGTGTTCCATATTTAGCCACTGCTGATAATGTTCGCAAATACTTGTTAACAGACATATCAATACAATGATGCATACAAGATGGGAGATTAAAAAGGCAGAATGCAATGTTAGACGGGCCTGCGTGCCCCATTACTAATCCTATAGAGAAAAAAAAAGTATGTTTGCTCACCCTTCTATGTAACTAAATGAACACCTCAAAGTTTACAATACATATCTACATTTACATCAGTTTCTACAGCCAACAAATTCGAGCAGAGTGGCAAGCTTCACGGGAAGTCAGCATACTTTGTGGATTTTTTCTCCAGGCTACGCCGGCATGGTTGGTAATGAACAGGCAGAAAGATTGGCTAGATCTGCACCACTGGGTGGTGAATTGATACAAGACAAGGCAGATGTGGTTAAGGCCCTTTGGGAACAAGCAACAGAATCAGTAGAGAAACAAGATTATTATGGCCTGGAGAGACTGAGGCACCTGGGTGTAACTAGAGGGTCTGACCGACTTACTACACAGAAAAAAGGCAAGACTGACATATAACCAGATTGTGACCGGTACCATCAGAATTGGAACTCTGTGCTGGCTGCTGAAGATGAGGGCGGAGCATGCATGGGAATGCCCCGAGTGCTGTGATGTCCATTCTTGACCCGACTCAACTTTTTTTTAACAGTAACACACATTTCTTTAACAAACAAACAAACAAACGACGACGACAGTACCGTTTTAATCTTGGGTTCAGCCAGGATAAACTCCACAAATCTGCCGTAACCCATCTCGTAAAAAGAGGAGAAGTCAAATTCCTCGACCACTTTAGCCTCGATCTTCCCCAGGTGAGACAGGTGAAGAGAGCCGTGCTCCAGGCATCTGTTTATATACTGGACAATTTTCTCTGCAAGCCCCACTGTTAGCAAAAGAGAGACAAGAATCATAACACTTAAAAGAGATGCAGAGGTGGTGAAACAAAGTGCTGGTGCATTAGTCAATCCCGGTGTGGATTCCAGGACCGCATACTAACTGGGGAAAGTCGACTAACAGGGGGTTTCCTTCTAAGTAGGAGTAAATCTGCCCTCAAGGCGATGGACAACAAGCTGCACACAAATAAGCCAGTAAAACGGATGTAGGGAGTTTTATTATTATCCTATCCCAAATGACGTCACAGGACAGTCCAACATTTTAGAGGGCGATAGGACTGGGTTTCCCGGCTTTCTGATACTTTTAATGACCCCAAAACAATCTAAAAGTGGCCACCTGGCTCCAACCCACCTACAACCCTTGAGAAAATGCAGCGTAGGTCCCACGACTGCATGCAGCCTAGGTCCCACGATTGCATCGGGCCTTTTTACCACCCCCTGAAATATTAGACTGACCTGTGGATTTCCATTTTGGGGTAGGATATTTATAAAGCACCCAGATGTACGCACAAAACTCAGGCCCTTGTACAAAGCCAAAGTCCAAATGGACGAGCACTCAGGACCTTCTGACGGAGCTTACAGCCGGTGAACAAAGTAGAACAAGATGCTAGCCAAGACTTGACACCTTTCTACGGTCATCATAATCAAAGTTCCAAACAGGTTGGTAAATAGGATCAACATTTTCGGAGTGCCTCTGTCTGAGAGGCAAGAGACCAACAGTCTGCACACAAATAAACCTGCAAAACAGATATGCATGCAACATTCAAGCCCCAGAACAAGATACAAAGTCCAGAAGTTAACGAACAACTAAGAGTTTCCACCCGAGTTTACAGCTTGTAACCATGAAAATGATTACACGAGCAACTGGTTATAATAATTATCAACTAATTAATCACTCTATTTTGAATCACATTAGTGTTTAATGTATACACATTTCAGTGAAACTTCTTTTGTCCTGCAGCTAATGTTACTTGTCACAGAAAGGAGTCTGATGTAGTTTCTTGCATTTTGCTAGTGAAAGGTAAATACAAGCATTGCAAATGAGAAATATTAAAAAACTAAAGTCAGGGGAGGGAGGGGGGCTGCGTGGTCTCAAGGCATTGTGTCCGCCTTGTGTGCTAGAGGCTCTGGGTTCAATCCCTGGTAAGGGCTGCGATTTTTTCACGTGGACTTACATGGACTTGGACTTCTAGTATTTTTCCCTCTGGTCTCTAGGTGGTAGTGAGATCGGATGCCTGTGTGTAGTGTTGCACACATAAAACATCCCTTGGCAGTTGGAAATAGAAAAGAGTAGCCTAATGGCACTGCCCGAGCCAAATTTGGAGTTAAAAGTCTACCAAAAGTATTTCAGGATCCTCGCTGGTGCTACAGAGCCTGTGCACTGTGCTGAGCTTTTTCAGGTTCAGACTTAAGAGTTATAAGAAGAATTGAGCACTTATGGGTATTACCTGTGTGCCAGGATGATGATTCATTGTTCAAAACCTCAAACATAAGTCAGAAAAACATTTTCCTTTGACAAAAGTGTCAGGTTATATCTTCCCCATTACAGCTGTCATAAGACATGTTACATAAGACTAGGTTAGTTGCGAATCCTTTATAGGACGTTGCAGAACCAACCCCAACAGCCCCTGGCTGTTGTGTGGTTTTTCTAGGCAAATTTACGTCCAGTAGTCTGCAATTGCTTTCTGGACATTGGTCGAAACCAACGCAAGGCGAATGGCCTGCAGCTGGGATCGAACCCGGCATCCCGGCATTACGAAGCGTTCGCATCGACTTAGCCATAGAGCAGACACATAAGACTAAGTTCGGATTTTTTCCTCATATTCTTCTTCTTCGCGTTTGGTTTTGTATTCTCAAATCAGACCATCAGGTGAGTTGCCTCTATGAACTCTCATGTCAGTAGAAGGTCCTTCATAGTTCCCCCATAGCTTGCTCTGCACACTTTGCTCTTGAGGCCACGTGTCTTTTTGAAGTTGTATGTAGAGATCCGCAGGTGTGTGCTCAGGTGTTTGTGGTCCTATTTGACAGGCACACTGTGGGGACTGTACAATCTTCATTTTATGAATGTGGTAGTTGAGCCCACGGTGTCCTGTTTGTAGACAGAAAATGTTGCTTTCTGGTGAGTTTGCTGATGAGGTCTTGTGGATGTTTACTGTTCGTTCTCTCAACAATTCCTTGTATTTTCCCTTGAAAAGTGTTCTGATTTCTGTCAACGACAATGGATGGGTGTGTTGTTTCTCCTTTGTTCCACTTTTTCCTCATATAAGGGTTTTAACAAACATATATTCTTCACAACTGTGAATAGTGAATTAAGAATCTACATCCCAGTACTTAGACACTCCCACAAGCGCTCCATCCCCATAAGCAGCAAGCTCAGAGTTCCAATTCTGACGACACAAGTAACAGTCTAAATGTGTATCCGTCTCACCTTTTCTTAGAGCATCAGCCACAGCCTCTGAACAACCGTCGCAGCACCATTCACCTAATACCAGTGGTCCTCAGCCTTTCTAATGCTGAGACCCTTCAAAACAGTTCTTCATGCCCCCCCCCCACCCCCCATGACCCCACCATAAAATTATTTGTGCTACTTTATAACTTCAGTGAATGTGTGTTGTCTTAGGCGACCTTTGTGAAATGGTGATTCGAACCCCAAAGGGTTCATGGCCCATAGGCTGGGAGCCGCTTCCTTAGACCAAAGTTAGACCAGGATATATTTTAATTCAAAAAGCTAAGTCAGGATAAACAAACATAAAAAGACAATCACCTTTGGTAGGTGGTGGTTTCTTCTGCTGTGGTGCAGCACTCTCCACCTGGGCCGCTGCTTGCTTCTCCTTCTGCTTGACCTCCAGCTCCACAAACTCCTGTGCAGTTTCCTGCACCTGCAGGTTCGACAGGCACACAGACAAGTGGTACAACATGCGGGGGACAGGCAAGTCCAGTACGCTCTGTAAGAGAGAATTATCACTTAGATAGGCAATTCCAGTATACTCTGTATTCACTATGTGGGTTCCAGGCCTCATTTTGGGGGTTAAAAAAAAAAGAAGAGAACCACTTGCCCCCCCCCCCCAACAAATATGTCTCAGAAGTTGACTAAATAGGAGTGTTTCCTTCATATTCAGCATGCACCTGCATGAGAGGTGATATCATAAAGCGAATGCTTGTAAGGCACCGCCTACTTGCCGAGTGTCTATGGGTAAATGATACGGCTTCATCCATATATGCAAAAGTTCCCAAGTCGACTATCAGATGACTAACTGACACAGTACACATGTTCGCATCATACAACTAACACCGATAACTGTCAACAGCCAACCACATCAACAATTTGGAAATAGTCATCTCTTTATTCATGCAACCAGTCTATTTACTGGGACAAAACACAGTATGACGAGGAAGATGAACTGGTGGTTTCCAAACTACCTCTCAAGGAGAACAACTAGCCTCTTTGAGTCCACAATTTAAACTCCTTCGGCCTACGGCCCGCTCCTAGGGTCACCAGTAGCCTTTCATAAATACCTCGGTTATGGGCCCCTCACTCACTGTGGGTCACTTTTAACTGGCCATAACTGACTAGAGACGTTGCCAAAGACCATCAGAAAACACACATTCAATGAAGTTATTGAGCAGCAACGAACATAACTATGGATCAGGGTCGCCAGAACATGGGGAACTGTATTAAAGGGTTGCCACATTGAGAAGGTTGCGTAGAGAGCAAACTCGAACAATAATAAAAATTAAAAAAACAGCACACAGTTTAACATTTAAAAAGTTACCTTGACAAATTGATCAAAGTGTTTCACCATCTTCTCAACCTTGCGATGGAGCGAGGTGTCAGCCACCATTATGGCGGCCAGGAGTTCAAACTTGGTAATGATGTCTCGGACAGCATCCTCTGGGGCCAAGTTCATGTAATGCCGGCGAAGTTCAAGAGTTCCATCGTTGGATGTCTGCAACCAATAATTTATTTATGCAGAGAGAAAGAAAAATAATATAATTAGAAAATTAAGAAAAGTCAGAGACAAGAAAAGAAGGAAACAAGACAGAAAGAAAGAAAGAAAGAAAGAAAGAAAAGGAAAAAAAGATTAATGAGGCAAGGGAAAAGAAACCATGGCAAGAGGATTAACCGAAGAAAAAAAGTAAAAAAAAAAAAAAAAACTGCAGTCAAAGACAGAAATTTAAAAAAAAAAAAACTGCGGTAAAAGACAGAAATTTAAAAAAGAAAAAAAACTGCAGTAAAAGACAATTTTAAAAAAAAAAAAAAAACTGCAGTAAAAAGACAGGAAATTTAAAAAAAAAAAAAAGAATTGTGTTTATTAAAGAGGAGAAAATAACAGTCTAAATACACTTTTCCACACTCTTTAACATAGTGGGTATCTGCCTCTGTTCTTTGTGTTTAAAGGCTGTCAACTCTGGTGAAAATTTCTGGGTGTTTGTCCATCTCCGGATGTAAGTCCTGTTCTAGAAACCAAGTAGTGTTGCATGCATACTTGTTTCAACAAGTCTGGCTTATCTGTATGCAGACTCTCAGCTCCTTGCGGCTCAGACAAACATACTCGGACTTCACAGGATGCCCCAGATTAGTCAACTCTTAGGACATTCTTGTTGCACAGTGGTTTCTTCTTCTTGTGCCACACAATGGGGCCTCGGAAACCACACAGGGAGTATTGGGTATAAAGTCCTTGATCTAAAATGTATAGACTAGTTGGCACAGGTTGGGCAAAGTGGTAGCTTGACTTCCCAGACTTTACATGGCACATATTTTAGGCTTGGCCAAACTTGGAGACAAGGTCCATTTTTAAAATGTTAAAATCCAACTTGTGGATCTGAATCAAAGAACCTCAAGCCAGAGGCAAGCATCTAGCCACTTTGCCATGATAGTCTCAAGAGAAAACTAAGCAAGAATGAAAAAAATAGAAGGAAAAAAAACAGAATTACAAAGAGACAAGAAATTAAAAAATAATAAGCAAGCATTAAATTACTGAAAGAAAATAAAAGATTCTTTTAAATGCTTCCTGTGTGTGTGTGTGTGTGTGGGGGGGGGGGGGGGGGGGTCTTATTCTCCACCCCACCCCCCTTCCTCCCAGTGAGGCTCCGAAATGTATAGATTATGATTACATGTAAGATATAAAGCACATAAATCACCTGCAGAATACTGGCTCGAAACTTCCAGAATGCATCTTGAATGTCTTTGTTCAAAAACTGTTGCAGCTCTTCAATAGTGTGCTTGCGGTTTGCTGCTGCATCTCTCTTTGACTTCTTCAGCATCTGTGAACAAGAAATCATTTCTATTATTTTCGTCTAACTTCATTTTTCAGTTTCTAGTCTGATGGCATAAGTGGTAACTAAGGATACTGTTGGTCTCAAGGTTGGCTGTCCAACTCGTAAATAACTGCAGCTGCAAACTCCAACTATTAACTCTTTCAGTGATTGCTGATAAGAAAGGATTATCATCACAGATCTCCAGACAGATCCATAGGTGCTCTGATCTCCTCCTTAGAAGCTCCACAGGTGTAAAATGACTAACAATGCCAGCCTGTTCTGAGTTGGTTAATGACAAGTCTTGTCCCCTTAGAGAAATGTTTATTTCTTGCAGCTCCAGGCTGCACTCCCATGTCCATCAGTCTAGACAGGGATACGGAGTCATGTCCTTTGGCGTGCTCCTGGGTACACTAAGTGCAGCGCATGGCATTGATAACATCACTTCTGTCCAGTACTGGACCAGCCATAGCAACCGCAGTGTCAGCAAGATAGATACTTCTTCAGTATCACTTGCCATGCATCATTTGACAGTTCTGTGTTGAGAGGGAGACAAAGTACACGGGTGTTCACAGCAAAAAAGCGGATGAACATCACCTAGGGCAACAAAGCCTGGCAAATGATACATCTAGTTTGAGAATGGAGGTGGAGGCGGTCACTGAAGCCTTCCACTGGCTTGAGAACCAGCTGTTAACACATACACCATAACTGTAACCAACTCACACAGCACGCTCAGAAATGTGGAGACAGGCACGCTCCACTCAGAGTGGCAAGCATCGCTTCAGAGGTCCCGAGTAGTTAGTGTCCTTTAGATATTTTCTCCAGGTGAGCCAGTATGTTGGAAAAGTGGAAAATGTACAGGCAGACAGGTTGGCCGATTTTGCACCAGTTGAATGTTCAATTAAGAATTGACATCACAGCACTCAGGACACCCTTTTAAGCGCTCCATCCCCATATTCAGCAGCAGACAAAGAGTTCCAATTCCAATTGCACCAGTAACTGTCTGATTGATACTGCATCAGTTGAATGTTGAATGTTCAATTAAGAATTGACATCACAGCACTCGGGACACCCCACTAAGCGCTCTGTCCCCATATTCAGCAGGCAAAGAGTTCCAATTCCAATGGCACCAGTAATTGTACGATTGTACATCAATCTCATTTTTCCCCTGAGTGTTGAGCACCAGCCAGGTCTCCTTGCAGTGCCATTCTCCTCAGATCATAATAATCTACCTGTGCCTCCTCAGTGTTCAATCGCTCCAAAAAAGCCCTCACAACATCCAGCTTGTCATACATCAGTTCACCACCAAGTGGTGCAGAACTGGCCAGTCTATCTGCCTGCTCATTTCCCAACACACCGGTATGACCTGGAGAAAATATTCACAGGATGCTAACTACCTGGGTTCTCTGAAGTGATGCTTGCCACTCTGCACGGAGCATGCCTGCCTTCACCTTTATCAACATGCTCTGCTTTTGGCGAACATGCATTAGATGCTGTGAGGGTCCTTTGGGGGCGAGTGAACAGTGCAGAGGTAGACACAGAGGATCATAGTCTGGGGAGAATGGTGCTGTGAGGAGCAATGTGAGGGTCTTTTGGGAGCGAGTGAACAGTGCAGAGGTAGACACAGAGGATCACGGTCTGAGGAGAATGGTGCTGTGAGGAGCAATGTGGCTAGCCTCAACATTCAAAGGGAAGTTGATTCAAGAACCAACATCACAGCACTGGGTGCATTCCCATAAGTGCTCCAACCCCGTCTTCAGCGGAGTTTCAATACTAATGGTGCCAGTAGCTTTCTAATTAAATGTTATCTTGCTTATCCTTTGAGCGTCGAGGATCGACCAGAACCCCTTATCACTCCACACTGCATCAATCTCACCAGACTGTGGTGATCCATTAGCATCAACGCAGAAGCTGGATGGACATACAATCAGACTGTTACTGGTACCATCGGAAACGGAACTCTGTGCTTGCTTATTTATGCTCTGGTCTGGGTCATACTGATACAGATTTGATATTATAGCATTCAGAACAAACCCATATTTAGATCTGCCCCCCCCCCCCCCCTCATTTCAACAGCCAGGAAAAAGTTGCTATACTAATAGTACCCGATACCAGACTGGACTCTCCCAAAGCTCTACATTACCCGGAGTCCCAGGTGACAAGCAGAGCTAGCAGGCTCATTCGCTCCAGGCATAGATTTTCAATGTCTTCCATTTTACTTCTTACCTCCTCCCACACCAGGTAAATATTATTTGATTTCTAGAAGATTAAAAAATTTTCTTTCTTCTGTATGCCCTCAATAAGCATCTGTGAACATTAACATTTTTTTTAAATATGAGTGCATCTGGTACAATATGAGTCATCGTGGCGTTGGCGGCTAGATGCTTGCCTGAGGATCAGAAGCTTGTGGGCTTGCATCCTAGTGGAGCCGAACTTTTTTTTCCACAAATGACCTTGTTCCCAGGTCAACACAGCCTCGAGTGTGTACCAGGTTTAAATCACAACTGATCACTGGCTAATAGACTGAAATGGTTGGGGCATATTGAAAGAATTTCAGATGACAGAAGTAAAAACTGTATACACAGGGGAGATGAATGGTTGTAGACGATGAGGCAGACCAAAAAGACAAGAGATAATGTCCAGACAGACCTGCAAACACTTGGTGTCACCAACTGGAAAGAAAAGGCCAACCAGAGAGATGAATGGAGGTGGGCGATATATGCAGCAATGAATCAAGGCTCGGAATGCTGAAGAAGAAGAACAAGCCTTATATTCCCAATATGCCTAAAGGTGTGGAAAAGGGACCATTGCTTTTTAACTATCTGGTACAATTATAATCTGACTGAAGGGAAGTTTAAAAACAAAAGTATACCTGTATTGCCAGGGGCATACTGCGCATGCGAATTCCTAGGGACAGAGGGCTGGAGACATTGTAGACTTCCAGCAGATACTTCAAAAAATCATCCAAGTTCACTTGCTGTGTCCACTTGTTGCTCCTGGAAGATACAAAACATAACTCTGGCTACTACAAATCAGGAACATAACACAGAATTTCGGAGCAGAACATCCTGGGGTGCGGGGGTAATTAGCAGGCGGCTGTTGCTGCCCTGGGTGATGAGCTACTTTATGATAAAGCGGATAAGAGGGGATTAAACGGACATTGCAACAGAACAGACACGCAATACAGAGAGACTAATTCAGCAATGGGAGAGCAGAGAATGATGGTTTTCACCACGCAGGGGACACAACAGGGAGACATTTAATTAATGATGATAAACTTACAAGCTGAGAGATACACTGATGGCGGATCTGAGCATGTATGAGTAGACTAGTTCATTAAGCAGTGAGGCTAATTTGCTGACCAGCTTAACAACTGAATCAAAGGCTAACAATTCCTTCACTAAGTAATTAGTTCATTACCTAAACAACTCACTGACTAATTACCTCACTAAACAATTCACCAACCAACTAAACAACTTAATGACTGCAACTAACTAACTAATCAATTCACTGACCAAAAAACTCACTGACTAGCTAATTAATTCACCAAGTAAATTAATAGTTACAATCTCACTAACTAATTCAACAACTCACTAAACAACTAACTGTCCTAAACTGGACTTCCGGTTTAGAAATGGCAGCGTGAGGACGTGTTTGCGGCGACACACGATTTTATTCTAAAATTTTCACTTAATCGGTGTTTTTCTCTTGATAACAGAGTGCGATTATTACTAATTCATTGACGATGGATATTTTCTTGTTCGTGGATACAAGCATTATGTGGTTTAGGGGTGTTATAACGGAATTATTTCCACAAAAATAGCCACGGCGGCGGCCGTGTCCTAATTCCGATAATGTAACCGCGTAGGAGCCACGCTCCCATTATAAACATGGGAGTCCACGGGTAAGACCCCAGTCTACTCTAGCATAACAAGGTGCTGAAGTCGGAGGCAACCAGCCAGGAGGCGCACCACAGCAATCAGGATGCCACGCACAAACGCAACAGGGAATATTTCTATATCTGCTAATAAGTTTGATTTCCACCATGAGACCCACTCACGTACACGTGGTTCGATTTACCGGCCTACGACAAGAAGAAAGAGTCCAGCTTCAAATACTCGAAGCCTCCCCCTCATGCCCCGTAGAACCAGAAAAGCAGAAAATACAGCTAGCTTTAAAATAATGCACTGGAACGCGGAGGGAGTACATACCAAGAAATTAGAATTAGAAAACATCTTGAACGAAGAGAATATACATGTATGCTGCCTACAAGAGACGTATCTCAAACAAGATATGGCCTTTAAGATCAGAGGCTACCAGTGTTTCCGATCTGACCGCAAAGACAGGAGAAAAGGTGGAATTCTTACCCTGGTCAAAAATAACATCCTTGCGGGCCGGATTGAAACGTACATGGAAGGTGCTGAGTATCAAACTCTTGAGCTCAAGTTAGAAAATACAGATTTACATCTGACCAATTATTACTGTCCGAGCGACCGCTCTCAGGCACTGGATACTGTACTAATAAATGAAAAAATGATCATTTTTGGGGATTTTAATAGCCATTCCCAAAGTTGGGGCTACGATCATATGGACCAGAGAGGAGAGAAACTAGAGGACTGGCAGGATGAGAATAGGTTCATCCTCGTAAATAAGCCAACCGACCCACCAACCTTCTACTCTAGAGCATGGCATACCACCTCGACACCAGACCTAGCCTTTCACTCAGCAGACATGGAACTGAATGTTACCAGAACTGTTGGGAAGCAACTAGGAGGCAGTGACCACCGGCCAGTCTTTCTAACTATCGAAAGCCAGTCTGTAAGAGAGCAGCACACTGCCAAGGTGGAATTTTAAGAAGGCGGACTGGAAGTTATATCAGCTCCGCACAAATGTTCTGCTGGAAAATCTTAACACAGATAACGACGTAGAAAAAGTAGTCCAAGAGTTGAGCAAACACATACTGCAGGCAGCCCTAGAAGCAGTTCCAAGAGGTGCGCGTAAACAATACAAACCGTACTGGAATTGCGATCTGGAGCAACTGCACAACAATATGGAAACAGAAAGAAAACAGGCTGAGACCAGACCTTGTCAAGAGCAGTTTAACAACTACCAACATTCAAAGGCCAAATTTCAAAGAGCCAAACTGCAGGCTAGACGGAGAAGCTGGCAGGAAAAGACAAAGTCCCTAAACTTTGAAAGAGACACAAGGAAGTTGTGGAGGTTAATTAAGCAAATTAATGATGAGAATACAGGGAGAAATGGTTATATTGCACTGTGCAAAGAGGGAGCCATCCTAACAAGAAAACAGGCAGCTGACCACTTTGCAGATTCCTTTGCAGAAGACAGCAACATTAATGTCAGCCCAGAGAAACAGCGAGAGGTTCAAGAAAACAAACAACATACAAGACAAAAAGATATAATTCCTGAGGCACTGGTGGCAGCATTTACATCCAGCGAGTTAGAGTTAGCAATATCAAAGCTGAGAATGGGAAAATCACCTGGAACTGATGGAATCACCAACGAAATGATCAAGAACCTTGGAACAACTGCCAAAATAAATCTGCTACAGATCTTTAATCATTGTTGGACCAGTGGCAAAGTTCCTCAAATATGGAGAGAAGCAATCACAATACCTCTGCTTAAACCAGGAAAGGACAGTTCTGATGCCTCCAGCTATAGACCGATCAGTCTTACCAGCTGCCTCTGTAAAACAATGGAACGTATTGTCAACCTTAGACTCCAATGGTACTTGGAAAGTGAAAACATTTTCACGCCGCAGCAGGCAGGATTTAGACAGTGCTACTCCACAGAAGACCAGACAACTTACCTTTCACAAGAAATTGAGGATGCCTTCCAGGAAAAGAAGCTAGTGCTAACGGCATGGATAGATCTGAAGAAAACCTTTGACAAGGTCTGGAAAGAAGGTCTACTGAAGAAACTGAGAGACTGCAGGGTGAATGGGAGTATGTACAAATGGGTCAAAGCATTATTGTATAACAGAAGATCCCGAGTACAGATAGATGGACTTAAGAGCAAGAAAGTTTTGCTGCGCCATGGCGTCCCACAAGGAGGTGTCCTGTCCCCCACACTCTTCCTAGTCTATATCAACGACCTGCTTTCTGAACTACCCCATGGAATTAAAGCTGCAATGTATGCTGATGACTTGGTACTCTGGTGTACAAATGAAAATGCGACAGTGGCCACCAGACTGCTACAAAGAGCCATAGATGCAATGGCTAAATGGGCCGACAAATGGTGTGTCAGCATCAACATAGGCAAATGCAGCACCACTCTCTTTACCCTTTCTCCTAAACAAAAATCAGGCGCCATGCACATAAATGGAGTACCCCTGAGAGAGGATAAGGAGCCCACATACCTCGGCGTAACGTTTGATGATAGATTAACATGGAGAAAACACATCAACAAGGCAGCAACCAAAGCCAGAAGGAGGGTAGCCATTCTGAGAAAACTAAGTGGAACCACATGGGGTGCTAGCGGGAAAATACTTAGAAAAGTTTACCAATAAAGTGTTCGACCACATCTTGAATACGGATCAACAGCATGGAGTTCGGCATCAAAAACCACATTGCAAGAATTAGACAAAGTGCAAAATCAAGCACTCAGAGTTACCACAGGCAGTATGAAATCAACACCTATAGCTGTGATGGAGAAAATGGGGATGACCCAAGCACTAAGTGAACGCAGAGACACCAAGATGCTTTTACAAGCAGAAAAAGTTTCTTAGTATGCCCAGTCACCCTATGAATGAAAGATTCAAAAATTTAGCTTTGGGACGACTAAAGAGAAGTAGTTTTATCCACCAGGCCAAACGGCTCGGCAGACAAACCACTGATTTACCTGCAACTGATAGATCCTTAAATGCTGTCCCAGAACGGACCCCCTGGAGAGAGGAGTATAAGTTTCCAATACACATCAAGACTGAAGTGAAAGGGGTATTTGACAAGGAAGAACAAAACAGTGTGCAGCGCAAAACAGCCACCCTCAGTTTACTTGATGATGAATACCCACAGAACCTTTGGGTCCGTGTTTACACAGATGGGTCAGCAGAAAGCGCAGTCAGAAACGGAGGTGCGGGAGTGTACATTGAGTATCCTAATAATACCAGGGATACAGCCAAATTACCAACGGGAAAGCACTGTCACAACTATGATGCAGAAGTTCAAGCCATCAAGATAGCGGTAGAGAAACTACTAAATACAGGGTATTTTTCACAACCAGTGGTATTCCTGACAGATGCAAAAGCAGTACTTCAGTCACTCCAGTCTGGAAAATTACCAAGCATACGGACACTATTATCCGAACTAGGCAACCGCTGTAAATTAGTAATGCAGTGGATACCTTCCCACTGTGGAGTTCCCGGAAACGAAAAAGCTGATAAACTAGCTAAGGAAGGTGCAACTGAAGAACAACCTGACATACCAGTCTCTTAACAGAAGAAGAGAATGATCAAATCAATCAGAATGCCACCGAAACTGGCACAAGATGATTACCATATTATGGACAGACCAGAGCAAGTTATTATCCTTCGTCTTAGAACAGGGCACAATAGACTTCGCTCCCGCATGTACAACAAATTTAAGATTGGCCAATCGGCCATGTGTACTTGTGGACTGGCACCTGAAACAACAGATCACATCCTTCAAGACTGTCCCATATTCAACGCTTTCAGGCAAAACATTTGGCCAAAAGAGACACTTGTGGAAGTCAAACTTTACGGGCCGCTTAGTGAATTACAAAAGACAGTGAAATTCATACAAGAGACGGCTTTGCAGATATAGACAATTTATTTCATGCGAACGAAAGAAGAAGAAGAAGAAGAACTGTCCTAAACTTACTCACTAGCTAAACAACTCATTCACTCACTAGCTAAACAACTCATTCACTCACTAGCCAAACAACTCATTCACTCACTAGCCAAACAACTCATTCACTCACTAGCTAAACAACTCATTCACTCACTAGCTAAACAACTCATTCACTCACTAGCCAAACAACTCATTCACTCACTAGCTAAACAACTCATTCACTCACTAGCTAAACAACTCATTCACTCACTAGCTAAACAACTCATTCACTCACTAGCTAAACAACTCATTCACTCACTAGCTTAACTCATTCACTCACTAGCTAAACAACTCATTCACTCACTAGCTAAACAACTCATTCACTCACTAGCTAAACAACTCATTCACTCTCTAGCTAAACAACTCATTCACTCACTAGCTAAACAACTCATTCACTCACTAGCTAAACAACTCATTCACTCACTAGCTAAACAACTCATTCACTCACTAGCTAAACAACTCATTCACTCACTAGCTAAACAACTCATTCACTCACTAGCTTAACTCATTCACTCACTAGCTAAACAGCTCATTCACCTTTTAGCTAAACAACTCACTTGTCAAGAAAACCATGCAAGTGCTCAATCAGGTCAATAGATGTAATTTCTGGAATGTACTCATCCATCGGAAACTTGAATAGGTCCTGGCTGTTTGTTGGATGATAGAGTTATCGGGAAAAAAACACATCAAAGTTATAATCAATCTATATCAACAAATCTGGACAGGTCCTGGCGCCCTGTTTGTTGGACGATTATGTTATTGGAACAGATCGAAATTCAGAAATCTGAACATGCTGTTTACTGGATAGAAAAAAGCTGTAAAACATATAACTAATAATCAAGTAACATGAACAGGCTGTTTACTGGATAGAAAAAGCTGTAAAACATATAACTAATAATCAAGTAACATGAACAGGCTGTTTACTGGATAGAAAAAAGCTGTAAAACATGTAACTAATAATCAAGTAACATGAACAGGCTGTTTACTGGATAGAAAAAAGCTGTAAAACATGTAACTAATAATCAAGTAACATGAACAGACTGTTTACTGGATAGAAAAAAGCTGTAAAACATATAACTAATAATCAAGTAACATGAACAGGCTGTTTACTGGATAGAAAAAGCTGTAAAACATATAACTAATAATCAAGTAACATGAACAGGCCATTTACTGGATAGAAAAAAGCTGTAAAACATAAAACTAATAATCAAGTAACATGAACAGGCTGTTTTGGGATGACAAGGATTTATCCTTTGGGGGGAGGGGGGGGGGGGGAGGACAGTGCAGAAGCACAAACAGAGCACAATTAAGGTCTGAAGAGAATGGTGCAGTGGGGAGTGACTACACCTAAATGCTGAATTAAGAATCGACATCACAGCACTTGGGACACTCATAATCACTCCATCCCCATTTTCAGCAGCAAGCAAGGAGTTTCAATTCCGAAAGCACCAGTAACTGATTGTATATACGTCTCGCTTTTCCACTGAGTGTTGAGTATTGATCAGATCCATTTGTAACTCCTCGCAGTGCCATTCTTCCTAGACAGTAATGATCTATCTGTGCTTCTGCACTTTGTCTACCTCTCCACACAGAGCCATCTGTATACATAATCACATCACTTATGCGGGAATTGTCATGAGCCATTTGTTGAACCTCTGATTTTGCAGCACTCACGGCCTAAAGCGATTAGAATCCTTTTCAAGTCTGAAACTTGCTCGGATACTGACCCACTCCTCTCCTCGCTCAAATTTGATATCACCAGGGGATCTGAACAACACCCAAAACTCAGAGAAAAGCCAAGATAGGCATACAAACAGACCGCTACTGGTTCCGCTGGAATTTAAACGGGGCACTGGCTGCTGAAAATGGGAAAAAGGGTTTATATGAGAGCGTCCCGGGTGCTGTGATTAACTCTTCATTTTGTTCAATCTGTGTCATTTCCACAATAGAGGTTGGCTGCAGTAACACTTCTGTCTTTAATCTTCAACATGGTCTTTCCCTTGCACCTGTGTTCGCTATATTTCTCAGCGTGGCTTTCTGTGGCAGTTGTTTACGATGGCATTATCAGATGATTAAACTATCTCATCAGTTGATCTTAAACGAGCTGTGTGACTGGTGTCAGGCCATGTATTATAATTTCTTCATTTGTAATTTTTATCGCTTTTTTTTTACTCCTTAAAACTGATGAAGATGAAAAAATCAACAACAAAAAAATCAAGTGAAGGTGCAATAAACCCACTTAAGTCTTAGGCCAAATGGCACCAATTTTGAAATGCAAGCATGTGAACATGAATTCTAAAATAACACTGTTCAGCCCAATATTCTTACCAACACTATGCTATCAATATCAGACATGGACACCATCTTCAGAAGACAGAAGATGGAAAATGATTATGACAGAGATAAAATGTTTATGTACTATGCTAAGTGTAACGAGGAAAGATCGACTTAGGAACGATGTTATCAGGAGGAGAGTCGGCACAGAACTAATGCTGAACTTTATAGGTTGACAACAAATCAAATAGTTTGTGGCCATGTAACAAGATTGGCATCAGACAGGGCACCACAGAGAGCAATGTTATACAGATACAATAGTAACAGAGCCAGAGGTCGACCGCGCAGAATATGGTCACAAGAAATAGACACTAAAAAAAACTTTATTCAAAGTGAACAGAAAGGCCTGATATAGAGAATGCTGTGAGGTATACCAGGAGTAGAGACAAGAAGAATGAAGAAGTTACTCCTGTGATGTGCAAATCAATTACCACACATTGAAGACAGAACACAGGAGGGTCTCCGCAGCAAAACAGTCAAACTGTTTACCTCACACTCTAAAGGCCTAGGATCATTTAAAGGCTGAGTTGTTCAGTTTACGAGTGCAATTTTCACGGAGATCCCGGGGATCACTGGGGGAGCCAGGGAGTTTGTTCTCTGTGCGATGCTTTTGGCAGGCAGCTAGCCATTCTGTGCAGAGAGACTGAGCCATATGAGATATAACCCAGTGAAGTGATCCTCTCAGCTTTAACTTTAAGACACAACATTAGATCATTTCAAAACTCACACTGTTGGCATCTTTTGCAAGGGTCCTAGCTTCAGATGTTCAAATTCCTTTCTTTCTGGGTGAAACTCTCTGCAACACTCCTGCAGCTCGTACAAAGTGCATAAGGATCGGGTTCGCACAAAGCTCTGTATGTATGCATTGACTTTCCCCAGCTTCATGTTGTGTTCTCGGGCAGCCGGCAAACTCATATCAAAACTCTCACCTGAGTGTTAAAATAACAAAATATGATTTTTAGAAAAGTCTTCTACCTTTTAGTCACCAATAAAAAAAAAAAACCCATGTTGTTATATGCGAATCAAACCTCTTCCCACGTTCAGGTGGTAATTGTAAATAACAGAAAAAGAAAAGTGAAAGTGTTAATAAAAAAAGAATGTGTGTTGTTGTTATATGCGTGTCAGACATGGATGGTTGAATAGTCATCACTGCACTCCAGACATGTCCTTAGGTGCCCAGACCCTCCCCTCAGTATCAACCCCAGCGTCCAGTGGCTAATAGTACCAGTTCTATGTTGATTAACAAGTCCTCTGATGTGCCTGGTGTGCGTCTCATTCTTTTGCTATACCGATCTTAACTTCCAAGTCTATCATTCTGGTGAGTGATGTGGATTCACTACCCCGAAAGTCCTCCACCATTCCCATTTCAGCATGATCCATAGACTGACGATCGGTAGTGATGGCGGATCCAACCAGCCTATCAGCTCTTTCATTTCCATCCATGCCTGCGTACCCCGGAATGACAATAATGGTGACTCCATGCACAGCAGACATGGATAATAAGTAGACAAACAAGAAAGACTTGATTGCAGATGTGGTTGTTGAGAATAAAGCACAGATATATCAGGGAATTATAGGACAACAAAACAGGCAGTCTCTCCCCCCCCCCCTTGAGATAAAAAGGAAAAGTGTAAACTGATTTAAGGAATTAAATGTAGAAGTCTGTTTTTTGGCCATGTTGTAAGAAGGAGAACTTGAACACTTTGTGCAACAACCAGCAAGAATTTTGGAGAAAAAGCCATGGAAAAACATCTTTTGTTGCTTTCCTGTGAAATGTCCAAAGGGCACCATGAATTTATGAACACACGGTAAACACATCATCAAAAAGATGTTACTGAGGATGATCAGAAAGATAATATTATTGATGATGATGATGATCAGAAAGATGATACTGATGATGATGATCAGAAAGATGATACTGATGATGATGATCAGAAAGATAATATTGATGATGATGATCAAAAAGATCTTATTGATGATGATGATCAGAAAGATAATTATGATGATGATGATCAGAAAGATGATATTGATGATAATCAAAATGATGATGATGATGATCTCCTCAAGTACCTGGTACTTCTCCAGAAGCATCGACTCCAAACGTTCCATGGAGACATGCTCCTTGGCTTCACTCAGAACATCAATGCACTCTTGCACCTGGTAATTCACCTCGTCAATCGTCAGGCGTGCACCTCGCGGGAGTGAGACACGCTTGACTATAATTTCCTAAAAGATAGATTTTTTAAATTAAAAAAAAAATCACAATAATCCGGATGCGAAGTTTTGTCAAATTACCCCCCCCCCCCCCAAAGATACAAAATCAAACAGATTGGACATACAAAAAGATCTGCTGGCTTTTACCAGTGTTGCTGATGATGATGAAGACACCCACTGATGACATGGAGAAATGCCTGAAAAAAAAAATTTTTAATCTGACTGAAAGCAGATCTAAACCCAAGACCTTTAAACCAGTTAGCCCTTTTAGAAGTGTTAAATAAAAATTTAAAAAACACATAGGTCTTACACCATTACACAAAAGATCTTTTTTCCTACTGTTTATGAGGAATAGTGTCACAGAGGCGTTATATGTAACTTCCTGTCTTTTGTTACTTGTGTAGCTAGTGTAAATGTTGTGTTTCTGTAGTGTTGCTTTTACTCCTTCCACCCATCTCTTTCTTGGTCAGCTTCTTGCAGCAAAGTGCCATTCACTTACTTGCGTAGCAGTGAAAAGTGTCATTCGCCTTACTTGCGCGACAGTGAAAAGTGTCATTTGCTTACATGTGCAGTAGTAAAAAGTGTCAATCACCTACTTGCGCAGCAGTAAAAAAAAGTCATTCGCCTTACTTGTGTTAGTGAAAAATGTCCTTTACTTACCTGCGTGGCAGCAAAACGTGCAATTCGCTTACTTGCGTGGCAGTGAAAAGTGCAATTCGCTTACTTGCTTGGCAGTGAAAAGTGTCTTTCGCTTACTTGCGTGGCAATTAAAAGTGTCTTTTGCTTACTTGCATGGCAGTGAAAAGTGTCATTCGCTTACTTGTGTGGCAGCTAAGTGGACTTGCTACTATGTTACAACAATTCTAAGACACCTTTCCTAAAAGAACAAGCCAGGATACAACACAATGACCTTCCACTTCTGCATTTGCCGGCCATGTCCCACAGCCACAATTTACATTCAATCTTCTATGTCTGGACTCTGGTCTCATTTAGGGACTTAACACCTTTGGTCTCAGAACAAACGAAAGTACATAAAAAAAATTTTTTTAAGAGTTAAGAAATGGGAACGCAGACCCGTCTTTACATCCTGCCCTACTAATCTCCCTCTGTTCACACATTATTTCATTCATACATCTGTAAACAAATTAATGATATGGCAACAGTCACGATGTCCCAGTTGAACAAGATGTGGAAGAGCAAAATGAGCCTCGCAATCAAGGTCAATATATACAAATCACTGCTACAGTTTATTTTCTTATATGGATGTGAGAGATGGACTCTGTGGAAATGGAAAGGAGGATTCAGGCTTTTTAATGCTATAGACGCATTTTATGAACTAGTTATTCAGAAAAAAATTACTGATGTCAGAGACAAAATATACAAACACATATTGCGTATCCTTTACAGGATATTGCAGAACCAACCTCAGCATTTTTGGCAGTTGTGGTTTTTCTAGGCAAATTTTACGTTCATAAGCTTGCCACTGCCCTCTGAACGGTCAGCTCTCAGTGCCACTGTCAAAACCAACGCAAGACAAATAATCTGCAGCTGGCATCCACCCCGTACCCTGGCATTACAAAGCAAGTTTGTACCAGCTAAGCCACAGACAACGAAAAATGATCCTATTTACGCTGGCCAGCCCCCAGTTATGTATGTGTTCCCGTCCAAATGTGGGGGGCAATTTTTCACTGACTTCAAGCTCCCCGGGGGCCCTATTATAACCTAATGGTTGAACTGGGTTTCTGGGACTAATGCCCAGGTGTTCCTCATCCAAATAGTGGCACTTCGAGTCATTGAGGGTTAGTCGCTCGTTGTACAGCCCTGGTGGGGGTTGAATGACGCATACAGTTACAAACTTGTTCCTTAGTACAGAACTTTTTCCCCATGCCATCAGGCATATTGGACACCCTATATTTTTTAGACACTCGGGTGACGTGGTCAACATCGTGCAAGCCATCTTTACCTCTGAGGACTTTACTTCTAAGCAGGGTAAACCTGAAGCAAGAATATTTTTGGAAAACTTTTATTTTATATGACCATATCTCGTCGACTTGGAGATTTCGTAGGGAATTCTGTGGGATCTCAAGGGGTTTCCCTGGACAGCACCATATTAAGGAGAAGGGGGGTTTCGGCTAGTGTTAAATGAACAGCGACTACTACTAAGCCTAATCCACCCCCCCCCCCCCCCCCCCATACTATGGGACATTCTGGGGACTTCTCTACCAAATCTCGAAGCGGATGAATTGAAGTACCCAAAATCCAGCTCAACACGGATCTTAACCTACAACCTTCGACCAATGACCAAAACTATTTATTACAACTCACCTTGACTTCATCTGTGACTTTGGTGCCTGGCGGCGGCCCAGTTCTGGAACCTGGTCTGGGCCACTCTGAGAGAGTTGGTGTGTGAGCTGAGGGGTGTGGTGCTGTGACTCTAGGGCTCGGTCCTGACAATGCTGGACTCATCTGAGGGCTCACCAAGGCAGGTGAAGCCAGAGCCGACAGTAGAGTCTGCTTGTTCCATAAAATTGGAGGGGAAAAAAACCCAGAACTGGGTCAGTGTCAGGCTACACAACATGCAGGAATAGATCAGATCAACACATAAACACAGAGCCAACAAACAACTACATCAGATCAAATCTGTTGTTCCACTACGTTCACTCTGTTACTCCATTTTCTTCTTCGCGTTCACTGGCATTAAACTCTGGCAGAAAGTTCTGGTTGTTCGTCCACCTCTGGACTTTTAGTCTTGTTGAGGAATCTGAGTGTTGCGTAAAAATCAGTTTCACAGATCTGGCATATCATTCTACAAACTGTTGGTTCCTTGCTTCCCAGGCAAATACAAACTGACTTTAAAAAGAAGCTCCAAATTTGACGACTCATACGACATGCATGAGGCAGTGAGTCTATTTTTGTTTTCCCGACAATGGAGTCACAGAACCCACACAGGGAGCCATTCCATCTAGTTTATTCTGCTAATTCATTTAGTTTACTCTGCAACCCCATCTAGTTTACTCTGCTAGTCCATCTAGTTTACTCTGCTAGTCCATCTAGTTTACTCTGCTAGTCCATCTAGTTTACTCTGTTAGTCCATCTAGTTTACTCTGCTAATCCATCTAGTTTACTCTGCTAGTCCATCTAGTTTACTCTGCTAGTCCATCTAGTTTACTCTGCTAGTCCATCTAGTTTACTCTGCTAGTCCATCTAGTATACTCTGCTACTCAATCTAGTTCACTGTTACTCCATCAAGTTAGCTCCGTTACTTCATCAGATTAAATCTGGTTTTTTTACACCAAGCTTAATGTTACCCTTTGAAAATCATTATGCTGCAGCCACCTATTTTTTTTTTCAACTCTATCAAATTAACTTTGTTAAATACACATTCTTCAGTTAAGTCCTGAGAATAAGGCTAGATAATGTCAAGACATCAAGATAGCTGAAGAGGAAGAAGCTAGATGATGTCAAGACAACAAGATGGCTGAAGAGGAAGAGGGTCAAAAATGGAGACCTAAAACTCAGAGGGATGACCACACATTAATAATCATACCTGAATAGAATTATGTGCGGGTAGCTGACTCTGAACTTGTCTCGGTATCATTACTGAGCCTAAAGAGGGAAATACATTTCTTTAAATGTTTCTGCTATTTTTAGCGACCTTTTGACATGTGCCTAATCCACTGCGGGCTGTCAACCAAAATGTCAGCATGAGATCTCTTTTATCTTACCATCTAAGCTGTGTGGCATCGGTTGTCATGTCTATGAATAACTTTGTGGTTGTGTCTCGTATGCTTTCAATCAGTTCTGATAGAGAGAGTGGTGCTGGTAGTCATGTCTATGCATAACTTTGTGGTTGTGTCTCATATGCTTTCAATCAGTTCTGACAGAGAGAGTGGTGCTGGTTGTCATGTCTATGCATAACTTTGTGGCTGTGTCTCGTTTACTTTCAATCAGTTCTAACAGAGAGAGTGGTGTTGATAGTTATGTCTATGAATAACTTTGTGGTTGTGTCTCGTATGCTTTTAATCAGTTCTGACAGAGAGAGTGGCGTTGGTACTCATGTCTATGCATAACTTTGTGGCTGTGTCTCGTATGCTTTCAATCAGTTCTGACAGAGAGAGTGGTGCTGGTAGTCATGTCTACCCACAACTTTCTGTCATATGTACTTTCAATTTCTGACACAGATGATATTGCAAGCCATGATGTTAATCTGTCCAACATCTATCTTCTTTGTCTCCCTCTGCTTCTTTTCCCCTTCAACTTTACCACCGTCATAATGTACTCCAATGTTCTCCTTATCACATGACCAGAAAATGTAGATGGTTTTCTTCTGGTGTGGGCAAATCAGTTCTCTCCGTGAGCCAGTTTCTTTCAAGACATCTTTATTATTCGTTACGTTTCCCCATTCTTTGGCCATGAGATGAGTAAACTGGAGTACATCGTGGTGGTAGGAAAGTTGGAGGGGAGGAGAGGCAGAGAGATACCGACAAAACAGATGCTGGATGGTCTGACATCATGGTATGGAAGATCATCTGTGTCAGAGTTGACAAAGTACATGAGACAAAAGGTTGTGGATAGACAAGACCCAAAGCCACAAGAATAGAAATTACAATAACTATGCCACTGTCTTGTAACCTGTCAATACTGTTGTTAAGGACATTTCTGTGTATGAGGAACATATATATCTCGTCATCCCCATGTGGGAGGCAAATTTTAGCTATTTTGAAGCCCCACCCTGGATTTTGCCTTGGGAGCCCTAAATATAGCTGATCCTGAAATATGGAAGAACGGCTGAACGGGGTTTCCGGGACCTCTCCACACGTTATCCTCATTCACATGGTGGCACTTTGTGTCACCGGGTATTTATCGCTTGTGTGATATCCTGGTGAGGTACAACTTACATACATACATACATGAGGAACATGTAGACAGTAATGCCCCAAATGTTTTCTCAGCAAACAATGAGTAGAAATATGAAATTTTGCAGACTTCAAATTTGAAATGCCTGTACTGTATGCATGGAATGGCACCTCATTCTGACAAAAATAACAGCTGAACTAATTCAATTCTTCTTCTGATAGTCCACGTTGTGTGGCGCTGGTAGTCATATCCATCTACAACATTCTGTCTCATGTATTCTCAGGACGGACACAGATGATCTTCCATGCCGTGTTGTCATCTGGCTCTCTCTCTGTCTTTGTTCTCTTCCAACTTCACAATCTCATATGTATTCCAGTTTTCATCTTATCATGACAAGTTCAAAGAAAGTAGACTGTCTCATTCTCATGTGGGCAATCAGTTCTTTTCATGAATCAGTTTCTTTCAAGACATCTGCATTACTATTTTATCTGTCAAAGAGTTTATCATCTGACCTATAAAACCACCTCTGCTGCTTCCAACTAATAAATTCAATCTTATAAATGAAAATTATTTTTCAAACCTCTAAAGACATGGATCTGTATATGTTCAACAGGGCGGAATTAAAAAAGATTTTTTTAAAAACTGGCACATAAGGCATCAAGACTTATGGGCAAAGGAGACAATGAGAGGAGATTCTGACAGCCTTTTGTCATGGCATGGAGGGGGTGGATGTCAGGACACAAACTCCACATGCTACTGGAGATCATAAGATAGGCAGGTAGTTAGTTAGTCTTCAGTATAGCCCGGTTAATTGCTTTTCCTGTACCTACCATGTCCCTACCAGCAAGCCAATCTGCTCGTTGATTTCACCTTACCCCAGAGCGTCCTGGCACAAAAATAAAACTAACTTCTTTCAGACAAAACTTCCTCGGTGACTCCATCCATTTTCTTTGAATCCACCCTGTCTCTATCTTCTCTTAAGCATGCTCATGGAATCATTTAGAAAGCATGCATGGAAAAAATGTTGACACTCTTATCCATATAATTTCTTGTGTTAACGCCATTAGGCAGAAGTAAGACTGTCTATGCCAGTAAGCAAGGTAACTGATTTTCATTTCTGCTTTGCATAAAATGGCTGTAAACTCAAGTGGAAAGTTCTGGTTTTTCATCTACTTCTGGACTTTAGCCTTCTAGAACTTGAGTGAGTTCTGCGTGCACACATCCATTTTACAGATATGGCTTAAATGTACTATGCAGACTGTTGGTTGCTCACCTCTCAGGAAGAAGCACTGCAACCTCAAAAGAAACACTTCTAATTAGTTGCATGTTACATTATGATTGTTGGAAAGGGGGGTGGGGTGTGTGCTTTAAAAAAAAAAACAAGAAATTTCCAACATCTACAAAAGAAAGCTTACTTGATGCCTGTTGTAGCACAGCAGGAATAACTGGCACAGCTGTTGCATTTGGTACATGCAAGCCATATCTCTGGTGAGAAGACTGTGCTGACAGGTAACTGGGTGGTGGCAGCATTGGTGATGAGGCTGCAGTGCTTCCTTCTGTGTTAACAGTTCCAAAGTCTTTAACTCTTTCAGTACCAAGGAATTCACCATACGCTCACTGGTTATACTATATATTGTACACACTTCTTTACTTTCTCAATCCCATTCTTCTTTTTTGTGAACTTTTTTTTCCCCATTTGTTACTATAATACACTCTCGCCCAAAGCTGTATTTTTCTTTGTCCACCGGCTGTAAGCTCGGGTGGAAAGTCCTGGTTGTTCATCTGCTTGGACACTGACTTTGTGCCAGAGCCTGAGTTTTGGGTGTACATTCGCTTTACTGGCTCACATCCGTGCAGTTGGTTGTTCCTTGCCTCCCAGGCTCACTTTGGATCTTTTCTCCAGGCCATGCCTGTGTGGTGGGTAATGATCAGGCAGACAGATTGGCTGGATCTGCCCCACTGGGTGGTGAATTGAGACATGACAAGGCAGATGTGGTCAAAGCCCTTTGGAAACAAGCAACGGAATCAGTAGAGAAACAAGATAATTATGATATGGAGAGAATAAGGCACCTGGGTGTAACCAGAGGGTCAGACAGGCTCACTACACTCAGAGGAAAGGTAAGACGGACAAATAACCAGATTGTGACAGGTACAATTAGTATTGGATCTCTACGCTGGCTGCTGAAGATGAGGATGGAGCACACATGGGAATGCCCAGAATGCTGTGATGTCAATTATCGACTCAACTCAGGCAGATGCATTGACTTTGAAGGAGGCTCCTAATAAGTCGACTCTTAGGACATGCTTGTTTGGGCAGGCAGTGAGTCTATTCTTGTTTTTTCCTTACAATGGGGCCTGGAACCCACACATGGATTTCAGCTACATGGGGCTGAGTGGTCTCAGGGCATGGTGTTCGCCTCGAGTGCTGGAGGTCCCGGGTTTAAGCCTGGTGAAGGCTGGGATTTTTTCACATGGACTTCAAGTAATTCACCCTGGTCTCTGGAAAGTAAGATCGAACACCCATGTATACTGATGTGCATCCACATGACACAATAATTTATAACACAGCCACAGATTTGCAGGCCCAGAAAGCTAACTTGCCAGAAAGTCACCTGCGTACATTACCTGAAAGTGGTATAAAGCCGAACACACTTGGCATGGCGGCGTTCCTGCCACCTGCGACCCCTGGGAACAAAATAACTTTCAATTAAAATTTCAATGTATATACTAAAGAGAGTCACGATCAGATTAAAAATTAGAAAGAGTGGCAACACTAGTAAAGAAAAGGGCCATTGTCATGCCTTTAGGCGTATTGGGCACACAGGGCCAAACATACTTTATAGAACAATCAACACTTGGTGGGTGATGTGGTCAACATCACGCCAGCCGCCTTTACTTCCCAGGTTACACCTGGTACCCATTTAAGACTGGATCGACCTGGGAACCAAGGTCATTTTTTAAGGAAAAAAAAGGTCGCCATTGTCAGGACCCCAACACACGACCTTCCGATCCGCTAGCGAGTGTCTAGCTGCTTTACTAAAGGGGGCCCACTCCCAATGGCAGCAGTAGATTTCATCATCATTTACTTGTTCTTGTTCACCGGCTGTTTGTCTCCTTCCGGAGTTCGCTCTTGTTTCAACACCCGAGTGCTGTGCTGTGTGCTGCTCTTGCTCCAACACCCAAGTGCTGTGTGCAGATTCATTTTAGCAATCAGACTTATCTGTATACAGACTGTTGGTTGCTTGCCTCTTAGGCAGGTGCACTCTTTTAAAAGATTTCCCCAGTAAGTCAACTCCTATGACATGCTTGTTGGGGATGCAGCGAGTCGATTCTTGTTGTCCCCCACAATGGGGCCCCGGAACCCACATGGGGAACTTTTCGATAGAAAACAGATGAAATGAGAAATAATGTAGACCAAAAAAGAGAGTCTGAACGTGTCAGCCAAGGACAGAGAGAATAAACACTAACAGGCACTCTTAATAGTTTACCTCAGCATCATAGTTCAGAACAGGAAGAAGAGGAGGTGACACTGCACACACGAACATTGTATTCTGTTGGTTCTGAATGCAGCAGAATGCTGGAAAGCTGAAGGAAATAATTCCAGTGCATCAAGAGGTAAGGAAAACACACTGGCAGTGGATAGGACAGGCACACGCGGAGAAAACCTGATAATGTTGAATGTTGAATTAAGAATCGACATCACAGCACTCAGGACACTCCCATAAGTGCTCAGTCCCCATGTTCAACAGCAAGCGAAGAGTTCCAATTCTGGTGACACCAGTAACTGTCTGATTGTATATCCGTCTCATCCTTTCCCTGAGTGTTGAGCGTCGGCCAACCTGATAATATAACTAGAATGTCCTTGCACTAGAACCGACATGGTCAAAAGTATGAAAGCAAACCATAAAAAAATTTAGACAGGACAATAAAATTGGATGAATTTAAGACTTGTGGACTCTGTCGCTGGAGTTGCTATATTTAATGACTGTCACCTCCATTTCGTGGACACCTTGGTGATCCTGGGAATTGAAGTGCAACAGTACTGATTTCATGGCACCATTTTGCACATCCAAAAGATGTCTAAAGCTGTCAGCCAACCATAGACCTGTTTCACTAATGTATTTCAGGGCACATCTCTTGCAGTTGATGGCATCAATAACACTGCAGGTTGTACAATAGAACGCTACACATATGTGGAAGGTGATGTTTAGGAATTCTAGACTAGTCACCTGGACCACATATAGACAGGTCCTGCATACAGGTCTGTAGCAAGAGAGCGTTTGATAAGAGCTCTAAAATTACAACTAAAAACATTACCTATATTTTATACATAATTGTTATACATTTCTTCTTAGTTCTGACAGGCTGTAAACTACCACAAAGTTAGTGAGGTGTTTTGTGTGTGTGTGGGTGGAGGGGCCTACTCCTTTGCAGAACTAGAATGTCTTTGCATTGGAACCCACAGGGGCATAGGAATAAAGGAAGGTAAAATAAACACATGGAGAAGAGAGCTGGATAATGAAGTGAGAAAGATGGGGAGAGCTTCATGTAATAGCGAAAGACAGAACGACTTGGCATGAGTTGGTTGAGGGTCTATGCTCCACTGGGGGATAAAAAGGCAGAAGCAAAAGACTCATTTGATCTAGTTAAGTTTTGTGTGCATATCCATTTTACAGATCTGACTTTATTGTAAGCAGACTGTTGGTTCCTTGCCTCTCAGGCAGATGCACTCCGACTTCAAAGGAAACATTCCATTATTAGTTGCCTCTTACAACATGCATATTAGGAGGGACAGTGGATCTACCCCCCACCCCCCCATAATCGGGCCCCGGAATCCACACACTACACATTTAAAACTGAAGACAAGTTAAAAATGAATATGTGCTACCAAAAAAATGTATAAATACCTGATAGGCTAACTCCAGATCCCCAGGGCTGGCGTACATTCATGGTTGAGCTGGCTGGCACTGTTACATTCTGGCTTACATTCTGCAAATTCACACTTCCATTCAGTGCATTACGATAGTCATATGCTTTTGGCATTAGATAGAGAGTATCACCAATGTGCGAAACAAATTCACCGTGACTTTTTATTTTATTTTCAATATCTTGCAGGGGTCCATATTTTGAATGATACTTCTCGATAAACTGCCAATATCCACACTGTCCATTTAACGGGAATAAAATAGATATCACGCGGTCAAGAAACTGCTTATCAGGGTAGTTTGCATCTGCGGCCATATTCTCTTTTCGGCCTCGAGCTCCAGCTACGTCTACTCCACTGATGGAACACTCCTCATCTGAATCAGAATCCACAACAAGCACCTCGTTTAACTGGTGCCTCGGTGGCGGCGGCTGCCTGAGGGAGACAAAGGTACCATCACACACAAGAACATCGCTTAATTTATCTGACAGCAAGTCATTCATTTTTGAGACACCAAAATACTTGCGTGACATGACTGTTTTGGTAAACTTTGTCAAATTATTCCAAAAACTGTCTTGTAAACACCGATTTCCCTTACAGGTGGCCAAGTAAGCAACAGCCGAGGTTTTCAGCGCTTCTTGTCGCGTTTCAAAGGAATTCATTATTCTGGGAGTTACTGTTAAGTTGTATTAAATACTTTAAAACTATTCCCTATTTCGCAGCCTCAGTAGAAGAATGTCTGAATAACCATGCTAAATAAGGCACAGAATCCAATGCTGCACATTCTACACAGCCTAACAACTGCACTAGCAAACTGAAAATCCTTACATGTTCACAGTACCTACAGCAACAAGGTCATATTGTTTCCTATAGAAAAGGTTCCTGGATAGAAATAAGGCACTGGGAAATCTAAAAAGCAATAAAACTGTAAATATACTACCATGCACGATCGCAATACTGTTCAGTTCTAGTTACATGTTACTTTTCGGACCTCTTTCCAGCGACTATGCTGCCGCCACAGCTGAGTCTCTTTTAAGCTAATGGAATACTCACTATATTCTAACTGCTAATGGAAAACTGACAACATTCTAATCATAAGCTAATATAATAATTACTATATTTATTATATATTCAATTTGTAAGCTAACGGAAAACTAGATTATAATTATAAACTAATGAAATACTTACTATAACGTAGTTATAAAAAAGTAAAGAAAAAGGACCATTTTCCATGCCTTTAGATTTATAGGGCACATAGGGCTAGACCTAAATTTTATAGACCAATCGACACAAGATGAGTGATGTAGTCAGCATCACGACAGCCGCCTTTACTTCCCGGGACTGCACCCAGTATCTACTCAGAGCTGTTACTGTTCCTCTTTGATGCATGTCAATAGGGTGGCTATCTTTAAACTGTTATCACCATGTACAAGGCAGATGGTCAAGGAACGAGCAATGGAATCAGTAGAGATAGAAGATTATTATGGCCTGGAGAGAATGAGGCATCTGAGTGTAGCCAGAGGATCTGGCCGGCTTACTGCACTCTGAAGATGTAAATGCATAGTGCCCATCAACAACACGACTGCAGTATTTGTGCCTTCTGGCTGACACACATGTCATTTGCAAGCATTTGTTAGCCTTGCTTTGATTAGTCTAGTGGGACACTGGAGTCTGTTATGCCATCACCTTTCACCTTTGTTTCCAGGTTCAAAAGTGGTGCCCCCCCCCCAAATGAAATCAGGTCAGTCAGTCCAGAGCAGCCACATAATGCTAGTCAGCCCTCAATAGAAGGAAGAAGGCATGGGAAGAATATGAGCATTTCCCGCCATTGAAGGAGGCTTCTAAAAATGCAGAGCTAATAGAATACATGGTGCTCTGGTACAGAGCGCACCCCACAAATCCTTATGTCATGGTCATTGACTGTTTAATCTAACTTCCGTATACTGTGCCCCTCATGTGTCATGGGCTACATCTTTAGAAGCCAGAAGGAGGCAGTTTACAGACATTAGATTTTGATTACGTATTTTTTAAAACTCATTTTAAAAATCTAATTAACTTTGCTTCCTTGGCATGTTAGACTTTTACTGGAACTTCTATGTCAATTATAGTTTCATTTGACAGTCATCAAACTACATCTTAAACCTAATTATGTACTGAGTACTACTTAACTACTATACTCTATACTACTCAATCGTCTATAGTCTATCTATCTTAAGTAAATTACATGTCAAAATGTATTAAAGTTATTTTTATATTTTAGATCAAATTACTTTACCGACTTTACCAACTAATTTTCAAACAACTTCTGGTCTGGAATCCACCAGATCAAATGACAAATGATTTGGCAATTATTAGATAATTATAGGTACAGCAAACCCGAAACGAAGACAGCAGGCGCAGCTATACGAAAATATGAGCTAGACAAACACCACAGATCCTTCTCTGAAAACATTAAAGTTATTTTCTATTTTTAGTTTAACTTATTTCCTAGAAATGTATGGAATCCACCAGATCAGAAGACTTAGCAATTTTTATTATAGTAATAAAAATAAAACTTAAAAATATTTGACTGCAAACACAGGCAACCCGGTTGCCAACCGTTATTAAAATATTAAACTTTCAACAGCGCATAATAATAATTACAGACTATTGAAATTCATATGTGTAGTCGAAATTACTGAAGTCAAATGTCGAAACTGAAACGGTCCATCTACGAGCACAGGCGTGGTTGCTACTGCAAAACAAAAATCAATTGTTGTATATTTGTAGTTGTGTCAAAGTACTTTCATTTTCAATTTCATTTTACTTGCCGCCATTACAAACATGGCTACCGCATGGTCTAACTACAAAAACATAACAAAACATGGTAACGGAACGAATGTCCACTGTCTTAATTTTGTGGTATTATAATAGAAATATACATGTAAAACTTATTTACGTTTGAGGTATACAAAGGAAAATAAATCACATGGTACATACATACAAAATTAACAATATTGGCGATTATAAAAGAGTCGACCTGCCACCTGCATACATCACTGCTTGGCTAAAAGTAAAAGAATAAATGTTTTGCAGTTACACTACACGTGAGAGGCTACTTGTTAACCAGTGAAGTGGAACGCCGGGTCTCTTACGTCTAATGCGTGACTTGTGAAAGTTCACAGCTCGTAGCAGTAGAAATCGTACTGAAGCTAGCTATGCGGGGAATATTTAACACTGAATTGAGTATTTTTGATTGTTGACATAAGAAAAGCTCGGTTCATTCACATAAGCGCTCCGTCCTTGTCTTCAGCAGCCAGCATGAGTATCATCCGTTCGCGTGTGGGTTCCCGGGTCCCATTCTAGGGAAAACAAGAATAAACTCACTGCCTTCCTTACCAACCATGTCGTAACAGGCGACTAAATGGAAGCTTCCAACGAAGTCGGAAGGCGTCTGCCCGAACGGCCAGGAACAGCCAACTGCACACAAATAAGCTTGTAAAACGGATGCACAAGGAGAATTCTGGCAGCAAGCCAAAGTCTAAATGAACAGCGACTAGGACTTTCCGCTGGAGCTTGCAGACCTTGAACGAAAAGGAAGAACAAGAAGAAGAATCTATCCCCGACGGTGCCAGTAGCAGTGTGTTTATATGTCCGTCTTGCTTTTACTTCTTCTTCTTCTTGTCTTCCACCGTGTACCTCATCGAAGTGTTGGGGGGATATGTAATGTCTGTTGATGAGCGCTTTCAAGAGCACTATTAAGACTGATGTTCATTTCTGTAAGGCTGTTCCTAATGCCATCACTCCATATTTTCCGAGGTCTTCCACTCGCTCTATACCCGTTGTAACGTTTCAGTGTGGCTCGCTGTGGCGGCCTTGCTTTTACTGAGGGATGAATCTCCGTGGGCGTCTTCGGGGTCAAGTGGTCAAGCCGTTTACCTCGCGCTCTGGAAGTCGTGGGCTAGTTTCACGGATGCACCCTTCAGTTCACGAGTGCAATTTTTACAGAGATCCCTGGGGTCGACCCAACGTTGGGTGGGTACAGGTACAATCATGAGGAGTAAAGGCGGCACATCATGCTGACCACATCACCCACCAACTGCCGTGATCTCTAAAATATATACCCAATAAGCCCGAGAGGCGTGGAAAAAGGTCCTTTTCCTAGGAGGCAAGTTTTTTTTTTTTTTTACTGTCCAGTCTTCGTCAGGAACTAACCCACGACCTTCCGATCCGCAGGCGAGCGTCTAGACGTTCCATCGTGTCCGAATTGTCTGCCGGTGTCCCTCTGCCATCTGTGAACAAAGTCTAATATGTGTCCGATAAACCAACGGTAAGCTTACCACTTGGTCGTCCAGGTAAGCTGACTGCTCTAATTATGCTACCACAACAACTATGTAAATACACTTCGTATCTCACAATACCTTTTGCACAGTCACCAATTTCGTCTTGTCCCTGTGCTGCTCGGTAGCACATCCGATTTACCAAACTTACGTTATCTTTGTTAAGGGAGATCATCATCCTGTGTGTACCGTTAGAGGTCACATAAGGCTAGCATTCGATTCATCCACTCTGCTCTATTGCATGCAATTTTCTCCATTTCTGACATGGGAGTTCAGCCCATCATTTCTTGCCTCTCGTAAAATTGTTCTTTTCAATGATTCCATCCATCGGACGTCCCCTCCCTTCACTCTCTCTCTCTCTCTCTCTCTCTCTCTCTCTCTCTCTCTCTCTCTCTCTCTCTCTCTCTCTCTCTCTTTCTCAGGCCGTTTGTTTCAAATTTCAGACCCTGTTTTGTAATTCTTTGCCCATTTCGCCTTAGAGCAGTGGTTCTCAAACTTCCGCGACCCTTTAATACAGTTCCTCGTGTTTTGGTGACCCCCCCCCCCCCCCCCCCCACCATAACTTTATTTTCATTGTAACTTCATAACTTCAGTGAATATGTGTTTCCGATGGTCTTAGACGACCCATGTGAAAGGTTCGTTCGACCCACAAAATCGCTGCCTTAGAGTATGTCCAATATATCTCCACTTTCTTTGTCTTATTGCAGTCGATAAAGGTATTTGTCCAGACATTTCTCTGATCTCCTAACTTCTTTTAAATTTATTCTATTTTATGCTAGTGATTTTTTTTCCCATACATTTATTTTCTCATTCTTTACTTTTTTCTTTACACTGTAAGTTTCGGTATTTAGAGTATCCTAATACATGACCAGACGAGGTGTAGTTCTACGAAACTTATCATGTCTGTGTATATACATAGGTCTGTTCCTGTTAATCTATGTTTGCGATGTCATTAACCACAGTCACACTTCATGGGTTAGCAAGGCTAAATACAAACAAGCCAAACTAGGAAAGCAACTAGGTTTAGACGCGCTGACTCTAAGACAACATGGGGCTAGGGCCGGCAGTCCTTATAATTTTTTAAGTGTGGGAAACCTTAAGGAGCCTAAGCCGGGTTTAAGTGTTTGATGGGTATAATTATTATAAATAAAAGTCGTTGTGGTGTAGCGGCTAGACGCTCGCCTGCGGATCGGAAGGTCGTTGGTTCGGGTCCTGACAAAACCAGACTTTCTTCGAAAATTACCTTGGCTCACAGGTCGACCCAGCCTTGAGCGGGTACTAGGTGCAGTCCTGGTAAGTAAAGGCGACCGGCTTGATGCTGACCATATCACCCACCACGTACGTTTT